CTTATATATAATAAATAATATTTACAGTCAATACATCTGTACAATGCATGTAATACATACAATCTATTATTATGACAATTTATACGTCTATTTACAGTTTGTTGTCAAACCTCAAACATCATCTACACATAGCTGCCAGGAATATAACCATAAAATAGACAACACAATCATGTAATTCACATTTCTCTATGTATTACATAATTGTCTCCTTTTCAGAGCAGCTCTGGTTCCAAGCTTTAAAAATTCTCACAAATATGCAAAAATACTGGAATATGTTTGTCATGTGCAAAGATAAAATGTTGTTAAGTCAAGTTGTGACTGAATTTCACAAAACTGAATCACACTCTACAACACACTGTAGTATATCCCAGAAAACCAGTTTTAGTAAATAGTGATTATACATTACACATTACTTACTGTGATTAACAACATGTAAACATATTTAATACATTATCAACCTTTAATAAAAAAAAAATCTCCATTTTCAACTTTTCGTAGTTGTCCATGTTATCATAATGCCTTTTCGTGGAACATTTTATACTCAGGATTTATCATGTATTTTATAAACTCTTCCGAAACTGTCACACTGAAATAAGTCATTCATTTCTCAACTAACGAATACATCTTAAATAAAGTTATATTTTGCAACATTTCTTCGTATTAACAACTTCTGCCAGCTTTGAAAACTTTTTTTCACTTCTTTTTGCAAGACAATTCTATAATTAATGTTTTAAAAAAATAGTTTAAACACAAAGCTCCTATTCCACAAATATAATAAATTATGATGGTTTTATTTAAGCTGTTTGCTAACTTGATACAGATCTGTTATACGATGACGTCAGGGACCCTGAGATAAAGCAGCTTGTCGACGAGGAACTCTACCACCTCACTGATGGAATATCAACACCTTCAAATCAATTATTGGGACAAAATGAAATAATTGTCTAAAAAAAAAAAATGAGACAACTGATCAAAATACATCTGGAAAATTTACTGTCAACATCAAGATACCTGACAAATGTTTATTACAGCACAAATAAACAAGTATGTTGTATGAGAATATAAATCCAAACTATCACAACATAACTACAGGCTGTTAACCAAGTCTTCTTCCAAATATAGGAGGAATATAGGAATAGTTTTCCAACAAATAACGGAGTTTTTTGCTAGTTTTGAGGCAATAGTAAATATAGGAATGGGTTGACAGGCTGAAACTACAAAAACTGTTTACAGTATGTTTACCACAATCTATAGATAAGTCACTTACACAGACAGACAGACAGACAGACAGACAGACACGCACGCACGTACGCACGCACGCACGCACGCACGCACGCACGCACGCACACACACACACACACACACACATATATTACATAAATATAATCATGATTTAAAACCTCCTGCATTTTACACTCACTACAATGTCAATAGTCTTAAGGAAACTGTTTAAATCTACCACCTTGTCACTACAATGTCAATAGTCTTAAGTAAATGTTTAAATCTACCACCTTGTCACTACAATGTCAATAGTCTTAAGTAAATGTTTAAATCTACCACCTTGTCACTACAATGTCGACAGTCTTAAGGAAAATGTTTAAATCTACCACCTTGTCACTACAATGTCGATAGTCTTAAGGTAAATGTTTAAATCTACCACCTTGTCACTACAATGTCAATAGTCTTAAGTAAATGTTTAAATCTACCACCTTGTCACTACAATGTCAATACAGTCTTAAGGAAACTGTTTAAATCTACCACCTTGTCACTACAATGTCAATATAGTCTTAAGGAAAATGTTTAAATCTACCACCTTGTCACTACAATGTCAATAGTCTTAAGTAAATGTTTAAATCTACCACCTTGTCACTACAATGTCAATAGTCTTAAGTAAATGTTTAAATCTACCACCTTGTCACTACAATGTCAATAGTCTTAAGGTAAATGTTTAAATCTACCACCTTGTCACTACAATGTCAATAGTCTTAAGGTAAATGTTTAAATCTACCACCTTGTCACTACAATGTCAATAGTCTTAAGGAAACTGTTTAAATCTACCACCTTGTCACTACAATGTCAATACAGTCTTAAGTAAATGTTTAAATCTACCACCTTGTCACTACAATGTCAATAGTCTTAAGGTAAATGTTTAAATCTACCACCTTGTCACTACAATGTCAATAGTCTTAAGGTAAATGTTTAAATCTACCACCTTGTCACTACAATGTCAATAGTCTTAAGGAAACTGTTTAAATCTACCACCTTGTCACTACAATGTCAATACAGTCTTAAGTAAATGTTTAAATCTACCACCTTGTCACTACAATGTCAATAGTCTTAAGGTAAATGTTTAAATCTACCACCTTGTCACTACAATGTCAATACAGTCTTAAGTAAATGTTTAAATCTACCACCTTGTCACTACAATGTCAATAGTCTTAAGGTAAATGTTTAAATCTACCACCTTGTCACTACAATGTCAATAGTCTTAAGGTAAATGTTTAAATCTACCACCTAGGCACTACAATGTCAATACAGTCTTAAGGAAACTGTTTAAATCTACCACCTTGTCACTACAATGTCAATACAGTCTTAAGTAAATGTTTAAATCTACCACCTTGTCACTACAATGTCAATAGTCTTAAGGTAAATGTTTAAATCTACCACCTTGTCACTACAATGTCAATACAGTCTTAAGTAAATGTTTAAATCTACCACCTTGTCACTACAATGTCAATAGTCTTAAGGTAAATGTTTAAATCTACCACCTTGTCACTACAATGTCAATACAGTCTTAAGGAAACTGTTTAAATCTACCACCTTGTCACTACAATGTCAATAGTCTTAAGGTAAATGTTTAAATCTACCACCTTGTCACTACAATGTCAATACAGTCTTAAGTAAATGTTTAAATCTACCACCTTGTCACTACAATGTCAATAGTCTTAAGGTAAATGTTTAAATCTACCACCTTGTCACTACAATGTCAATAGTCTTAAGGTAAATGTTTAAATCTACCACCTAGGCACTACAATGTCAATACAGTCTTAAGGAAACTGTTTAAATCTACCACCTTGTTCATGGTTCCTTTTTTATAGAGTTTTTTACATGTATAATATATTGTAATTACAAGTTTATGAAATGAAATATAATTTATACTAATACACTCTACTGATATTGTACACTGTTCTGATAAATTCAGATTGAAGACATGATGGTATGAGAATCACACAGGGCCCAGTTATTCCTGGATAATTTGACTGAATTTTTCAAAAATCACTTTGTTTTGCTATTCATGTTTTATGTTATTTTTTTCATTTTCGTCTTATAACACGCAGATTTAATTTGAAAGATCAAAAATCATGCTAACACTATTTTTTTTATCCAACTAGATGTGCATTTGTACACCTGACTAGATGTCCACTTGTACACCTGTCTAGATGTCCACTTGTACACCTGGTTAGATGTCCACTTGTACACCTGTCTAGATGTCCTCTTGTACACCTGACTAGATGTCCACTTGTACACCTGTCTAGATGTCCACTTGTACACCTGTCTAGATGTCCACTTGTACACCTGTCTAGATGTCCACTTGTACACCTGGTTAGATGTCCACTTGTACACCTGGTTAGAGGTTCACTTGTACACCTGTCTAGATGTCCACTTGTACACCTGACTAGATGTCAATTGTACACCTGATTAGATGTTCACTTGTACAATGTTTATCATTCCTAATTTTGATGCTTTCTTCACTAGTATTCCAACAATCCTCTTCTCCAATGATTAGACCAGATTGTGTGACATGTGTTAAGTATCTGTAAAGAAGTTAAAACAATACTTTTTTCAGTAATAAATGTATCAACATTTCTTCAGTAATAAATATATCAGTATTTCTTCAGTAATAAATATATCAGTATTTCTTCAGTAATAAATATATCAGTATTTCTTCAGTAATAAATATATCAGTATTTCTTCAGTAATAAATATATCAGTATTTCTTCAGTAATAAATATATCAGTATTTCTTCAGTAATAAATATATCAGTATTTCTTCAGTAATAAATATATCAGTATTTCTTCAGTAATAAATATATCAGTATTTCTTCAGTAATAAATATATCAGTATTTCTTCAGTAATAAATATATCAGTATTTCTTCAGTAATAAATATATCAGTATTTCTTCAGTAATAAATATATCAGTATTTCTTCAGTAATAAATATATCAGTATTTCCAAATAATGAATAAAAATTTAGAATATCACTACCTTCAATACACAATCCGTCATAATTTCCACATATTAACTAAACCCACTAGCATGGACAACATTATACCTAAACTTTACTGGGACACATGTGTTGACATATTAACACAAGGACAACATTATACCTAAACTTTACTGGGACACATGTGTTGACATATTAACACAAAGACAACATCATACCTTAACTTTACTGGGACAGAGGAGTTGACATATTAACACAAAGACAACATCATACCTTAACTTTACTGGGACACATGTGTTGACATATTAACACAAAGACAACATCATACCTTAACTTTACTGGGACAGAGGAGTTGACATATTAACACAAAGACAACATCATACCTTAACTTTACTGGGACACATGTGTTGACATATTAACACAAAGACAACATCATACCTTAACTTTACTGGGACACATGTGTTGACATATTAACACAAGGACAACATCATACCTTAACTTTACTGGGACACATGTGTTGACATATTAACACAAGGACAACATCATACCTTAACTTTACTGGGACACATGTGTTGACATATTAACACAAAGACACCATACCTTAACTTTACTGGGACACATGTGTTGACATATTAACACAAAGACAACATCATACCTTAACTTTACTGGGACAGAGGAGTTGACATATTAACACAAAGACAACATCATACCTTAACTTTACTGGGACATATGTGTTGACATATTAACACAAAGACAACATCATACCTTAGCTAGCTTTACTTGGACACAGGTGTTGACACATTACTCATTGGTTTCCTGGCATTTTTTGAGTTTTCAAAATCTTCCCGTCTCATTTTACTGAAAAAAGTACATCAGCACCAAGTACTGAATTTAACTAAAACTTACAATATCATTCTTAATCATCTGTAATGAACAAATTAGTGTTTTCAATATTGCAATGACTTTCTTTTGATTTGTACAAAGGATGAAGATTGCAAAATGTCAACATTTCTTTTCAGAAAGACAGAGCATATATGCTGTAAACAAGTAAACAGCATTAAACATATTTGTATTCCTTCCTCTGTCCTCTAAACATTTCCTGAGAATATAAGGGTCTAATCTTCTCAATGGACTGTATCTAGACTTCTCCTTGGACTTGGAGGGTCTAGACTTTTCATGGACTTGTTGTGGACTGTATGGGTCTAGATTTTTTGTGGACTGTATGGGTCTAGATTTTTTGTGGACTGTATGGGTCTGACTTCTTGTGGACTGTATAGGTCTAGACTTTTTGCAGACTGTATGTGTCTAGACTTCTTGTGGACTGTATAGGTCTAGACTTTTTGCAGACTGTGTGTCTAGACTTCTTGTGGACTGTATGTGTCTAGACTTCTTGTGGACTGTATGTGTCTAGACTTCTTGTGGACTGTATGGGTCTGACTTCTTGTGGACTGTATAGGTCTAGACTTTTTGCAGACTGTATGTGTCTAGACTTCTTGTGGACTGTATGTGTCTAGACTTCTTGTGGACTGTATGGGTCCGACTTCTTGTGGACTGTATGTGTCTAGACTTCTTGTGGACTGTATGGGTCCGACTTCTTGTGGACTGTATGTGTCTAGACTTCTTGTGGACTGTATGGGTCTGACTTCGTGTGGAAATATAGTAGAATTGTTTAATTTTGCAGGCCTCATACTTCCCAGATGTCCAAGTTTCAGCTACCCCGCAAGTAATAGTACCCATTAATCTATGAACTGGTGTCCATAAATACAGACAAAACAGATATTTTCAGATGTTCATTCACTGTACAAGTATTCACTGGTTATTTAATTTTGGGCTATCTTTATTAACTGTGAGTAAAGTGAAAGTTATCCCCCATGAATATTACCAACCATACGTAACAAGAATCCAGATTTCAGAAGGACTCTCTTTGTAAGTGAAGACAGTAGACAGAAACTACTTACGTGGCTAGGGACATTTCTTTGTAAGACACTTGTGCAATTCCTCTTCTCTGTCGTTTATTTTCAGGTTCATTACTGCAAAATATACTCTCATTGTGTAATTGCATAAGACAAGATTTGCAAGGATCATTTGTTTATCACACAAGTAGCTGACAGGTGCTCCATTTGTTTATCACACAAGTAGCTGACAGGTGCTCCATTTGTTTATCACACAAGTAGCTGACAGGTGCTCCATTTGTTTATCACACAAGTAGCTGACAGGTGCTCCATTTGTTTATTATTTTTGGTTATAGCTAAAGTATAGCATGGCTATACTCACAATTTCCTCTGTGTTGTACAGAAATAAGCTCAGATATTATTGGTGAAATCAAGCTTTGAAATAATTTATAGACTTCATTATAAGTTATATGGTATACAGAATTCCTGTCGACTTTCCTTAGCAGTTTCATAATCTGATCTCGATGTATTCCTACTAAGTTATTAGCAGAGCATTTGCCCAAAAATGATTTGTAAAATCAGAAAATTGACACAATAAAATTACTTCAATACTACATAATTATAAAAATAGAAGCAAAGCAATACATTTTGCAGAGTCTTTCTATTATTTCTTAAAGAGATTTCTTGTTGAAAAGTAATTTAATTAGGACATCTTGATTTAGATAAATACTCACCTTCCCATATCCAGTTTTGAGAAGTCAAAGTTGATGGAGCCAGTGGAGGGCTGTGATTCTATTGACGATTTGCTTTGCCGTTTGTCTAGGGAAAGAAGCTTCTTTCTGATATTCTGTAGTTGTTCAGAAAGTCCAAGAGTAGGCATGTCATTCTGTAACATCAACATTATAATTAATTAACACACAGCATCTTCCAAGTTCTCATTATATAAACCTTCTGACAAATTATGATTAATTAGCACACAACATCTTCCAAGTTCTAATTATTTAAACCTTCTGACATAATTAATTTACACACAACATCTTCCAAGTTCTAATTATATAAACCTTCTGACATAATTAATTTACACACAACATCTTCCAAGTTCTAATTATATAAACCTTCTGAATTATTCTAATTAAACCTTCTGACATAATTAATTTACACACAACATCTTCCAAGTTCTAATTATTTAAACCTTCTGACATAATTAATTTACACACAACATCTTCCAAGTTCTAATTATTTAAACCTTCTGACATAATTAATTTACACACAACATCTTCCAAGTTCTCATTATATAAACCTTCTGACATAATTAATTTACACACAGCATCTTCCAAGTTCTAATTATTTAAACCTTCTGACATAATTAATTTACACACAACATCTTTCCAAGTTCTAATTATTTAAACCTTCTGACATAATTAATTTACACACAACATCTTCCATATAAACCTTCTGTTCACACAACATAATTATTATAAACCTTCTGACATAATTAATTTACACACAACATCTTCCAAGTTCTAATTATTTAAACCTTCTGACATAATTAATTTACACACAACATCTTCCAAGTTCTAATTATTTAAACCTTCTGACATAATTAATTTACACACAACATCTTCCAAGTTCTAATTATTTAAACCTTCTGACATAATTAATTTACACACAACATCTTCCAAGTTCTCATTATATAAACCTTCTGACATAATTAATTTACACACAACATCTTCCAAGTTCTAATTATTTAAACCTTCTGACATAATTAATTTACACACAACATCTTCCAAGTTCTCATTATATAAACCTTCTGACATAATTAATTAACACACAGCATCTTCCAAGTTCTCATTATATAAACCTTCTGATATGATAATGAAATAAGATTTAGGTCATTTTCATCAATATCTGAGGTAAATACCAGTTAACAAAATCTTAATTCAACACAAAATCAATGGACAGGAAAATAATCTAATAAGACCAGGTGTTCCTGAATTGTATGCTATTTCTGCTTCATTGACGACATCTGCCATGTTAATATTGGTCAATCAATGCAAGTAATATTATGTTCCCAAACTAGAATCTGGTAAACAACAACAGAGCTTCAGAACATACAAAATACGACTGACCTGTCTGATATCACATCACATATGGCAATAGAATATTTTCCAAATTGATAGGATGATCATAAAAATTCTCCATTATCTTAATCAACCTGCATATCTGGAAAATCTGGGCTGTGAGTTTATATGTCATCTAGTTTTATTTCTATGAATTCGGATTCAGAGACATCACTGACTCTTCTACATCAGTCATACAAAAAGAAAGATTTACACTGAAAATGTACATAGAGAATAAGACCAGGAGTTTTGGGAGGGTAAGTGTCTTCTGCCATTTAAATCTTGGTCAATCAAAGTTAAGTCCTAAAATGAAAATGGGCATGTTAAAAGGCATTGGAAACCTCTAAACAGAATAATTCTTAATGAGATGTTGGTAGAGACCATATAATACCTCCAGGTGCAGATTTACATACCTCTTTGTTACTTCTGGTTATTGCTTCATTGCTTTTTCTGTTTCTTGGAGTAAGCCGTTCTACTTCAGAAGGTGAACTACAATTTGACCTGCGCCGTTTCTTAGTGCTCTTCTTTGAACTTTTAAGTGTCTTTAACTTTGTACTGCTTGTTTTATCCTTTGGGATGACCTTTGACCCCTCTTGTCCAGGTGTTCGGGGAGTTTTCTGTAACCTAAGCATGCTGCTATCTAAGTTATAGTTATCGCTAAGATTATCAAAATCAAAATCTAATTCCTCGTCTTTCATGGTCTGTTTGCTTGGCTTAAGACTTCTGCCTCGCTTGGTAACAAATATACCTTCAGCCAATCGTGGGATCTCATCTCCATCACAATCGATGACTTTCCTTTTCTTCTCCGACGAAATCTCCTTTGCTTCTTCATTCTTGATTTTCTCTTTTGTTTTATCTATGTTGGACTGTTCACTATTGTCTGAGGAATCAGAGCTTTTTCTACTGTTTTTCTTGTGGAGTGACAACTTTTTCTTTGCCTTTCCTGGTGCCGGTGGTGGTGAAGACAAGATGATGACAGATTCCTCAACCTCTTCTTCATTATATATATTTTCCTGAACATCTAATTTCCTCAAGTTTGCCTTTTTCGTAACAGACTTTAGCATGGATGCACCTTTTTTATCCTCGTCAGAACTAGCTGGGATCTCCTCATCATCAGAAGTTTCATTTACAGAATTAGTCTTTAGTGTTTGAGGTAAGCTAGATTTGTCTTCATCGCTGTCAAGTACCACAACCTCTGGATGTTCCTCAGTTGGCTGTATCTGCTGTTTGGAGTCAGCCTCAATCTCCTCTGTCATTCCTTCCTTAACTTTTCTTGTTCTAGATCGAGCCCTGGACTGGCTTCTTTTAAAGGCACTCTTTTTCTCATTCCTGGTAAAATCTTCACCTGCTGACTTTGTTTTCCTTATAACTTTGTCAGGAGTTCCTTCCATATTGTTACAATAAATATTTCCTGACTCTATCTGGGATGCTGGTACATCTGTTTCAACATCAGAATCAACAGGTAGATTATCCTTCCTCCGTCTGCTTTGTGATCTTCCCCTGGTTTTTCTATCATCAATATTAACATCTTCATTTTCAGGCAATACTCTCCCCCTTGACCTTGCCCTCCCCCTTGACCTTGCCCTTGAAGTGAGGCCTTCACCCTCTTCATTAAGTTCAGAATTTTTTAGTCTACTTTTTGATTTTTGATCAATATTCTCCTCATCCAAGCTTCCTCTTTCAAGTGACTTTGATCTTGACGTCTGACCTTTGTTCTCCTTTTCAAGTTCAGATTCTGACATAATTAAATGTGAATCTCTGATTTGCCTGCTTCCTGATTTAAGTTTCAATTCACAAATATCAGAGTTGTCATCTTCATTCTCCTCCATCTCTTTGCGAAGTCTACTTTTAGACCGTGTCCTGGTTTTCAGAGATTCCTTTTCTCTAACAAAGTCCACATCTGCATCAATATCTGTTTTCCTTTTGATATTTTGTGATCCAGAGTTGGGACTTTTAGTATTTTCACTGTTTTCTGACCTAGATACAGAAGTGGACACCGGCTCCACTCTTTCCTTCTTTTCTGGAGCTAAAACAACATCATCTTTTGCTAACGTCATGTCCTCTTCTGGAAGCTCTTTTCGTCGTCTGCTCCGAGATCGTGTTCTGGTTCTCAAACTTTGTTTTTCAATGTCTTCATCCATACAACAGTTAACATCCTTGCTCCTGTCTCTACTACAAGATCTTTCTTTCATTTCACTCTCTTTCACTTCATTGTCAGCTTCCTCAGTGTTCTGTCTTCGTCTGCTACGTGATCTCCCTCTTGACTGGCAACTTTTTGTTTCCTCTTCTGTTTTGGTAAGATCTGATTCTTTGTTGTTTGCAGAGACAGGTGAAGCTACCCCTTCTGATGTATTATGTCTTCGCTTACTACGAGACCTCCCTCTCGACTCTGAAACATTATCCATATTTTCATCTCCCTTTGTTTTTTCTTCCTCTTCTCGTCTACAACTTTGAGACCGTGCCCTTGAGCTACAACTTTCATTTCCATCTCCTTTTCTTGTCCGGCTTTTTGATCTGCTTCGTTTCTGAACAGGTGGTTCAGGCGAGCATTCCTTTAAAGGTTCATAGTACACTGGGTTATCAGGAAGTATTTTGATATCGGTTTGTTTACTTACAGTGGGAGTTTTACTTTTCAGTTCTTGTTCACATTTCTCTCTGAACTGACTCAGTGACGGCTTGTTACCAGTGTCTCTCAGAGACTCATTCATAGATAAATCATACACAGAGCCTGTTGTCTTTGTGGTATCGTCTTTCGCCTTTGGAGTCCTATCATGGAAGTCAAATATAGACTTCAATTCCTTGGGTGATTCTGGCACAGTGTCTTTTCGCCCTTTGCTCCTGCTTAATTTTATCTTTGACTTTGAACGAGCTTTCAATGGCAGTTTGGAGGGGACTGGTTTTCTTGATCCATCCATCTCTTTTCTGGATGCAGAGAAAACAATCTTCCCAGGCCGTGGAATGCGAAATTCCACTGATGCTGGTTTGCTCACTACCTCAGAATCAGATGAATCAGAAGAGTTTGGCAACAAATTGATGCTTTCACTTCTCTGCTGTAACTCCTTGAGGACTCCAGATTCTGTTGAACTATCTGTAGCCTGATTCTGTTCAGAGTTTGCCACCTGTATCAGCTGTGTACTATCAATTACTTCTGTCATTTCCATGTCTAGACTGAAGCACTGAGTAACATCGTCACAATTTCCTATTAAAACTGGTGACAAGCTTCGATTGCTTGCCGATGTTGGAAGTGAAGGTGGGAGTAAGTATGTTCTCCGTCTATCCTCTACAGCATCTCCTCCTGTATCACTAGACAAACATTCAGATGACTTGGAGGTGCTTGGTTTACTGGACTCTGTAACCTGTTCTACTTGAGGCACCACAAAAGTTTTTCTTCGAACATGTTCATCAGAGCTATCCGTACATTCAGACTTACTCTGTTTATGGAGCTTTCCTTTTGATTTTGGCATTGAGGAAACATTCAGTGACTCTGACCCTAACTTTAAACCAAGGACAGGTGTCTCGTGTTTTGATGATGGAGATCTTGTGGAAGAGTAGTTTTCTCCTATGCTTATCTGGCATTGGTCAACGCTTGTCTGTGACCCATTTGCGGCTAGTTTCAGGGTTCTGTCTTTCATTTCTGAATTATCTTTCTTGGATAACATTGACCTTGATGGTGAATTGTCAGATATCCTGGAATTGATAACAAAGGTGCCTCGGCGATCAAACTTTCTGCTTGCTGTGGCAAGACTCCCAGTAGGAACATCCAACGTTTCCATGGAAACGGAGTGTGTCTTGGAGTCTGAAGTAGAATCTTGATTCCTCAGTTTCAACACCCTTTGTGGGGCCATTTTTACACTATTGCCTCCAGTGCTATCACCCACAGACACCATTTTCTTTGGTTTCACACTTTCGTCATCTGCTTCTTCAATGTCTGAAACAGGTATTAAGCAGATTAAAAAGGGACTATTTTTCATGATACACAATTTTTCAAAAAAGGTATTAAATAGAGAGATCTGTACTCATGTATGTTATTGATGGGTGGGGAGAGAGAGAGATCTGTACTTGTGTATGTTATTGATGGGTGGAGAGAGAGATCTGTACTTGTGTATGTTATTGATGGGTGGAGAGAGAGAGAGAGATCTGTACTTGTGTATGTTATTGATGGGTGGAGAGAGAGAGAGATCTGTACTTGTGTATGTTATTGATGGGTGGAGAGAGAGAGAGAGATCTGTACTTGTGTATGTTGTAGATGGGTGGAGAGAGAGAGAGAGATCTGTACTTGTGTATGTTATAGATGGGTGGAGAGAGAGAGAGAGATCTGTACTTGTGTATGTTATTGATGGGTGGAGAGAGAGAGATCTGTACTTGTGTATGTTATGGGTGAGAGAGAGATCTGTACTTGTGTATGAGATTGATGGGTGGAGAGAGAGATCTGTACTTGTGTATGTTATTGATGGGTGGAGAGAGAGAGAGATCTGTAATTGTGTTTGTTTTAGATGTGTGGAGAGAGAGAGAGAGATCTGTACTTGTGTATGTTATTGATGGGTGGAGAGAGAGATCTGACTTGTGTATGTTATTGATGGAGAGAGAGAGAGAGAGAGAGTACTTGTGTATGTTATTGATGGGTGGAGAGAGAGATCTGTAGTTGTGTATGTTATTGATGGGTGGAGAGAGAGAGAGAGAGAGAGAGTACTTGTGTATGTTATAGATGGGTGGAGAGAGAGAGAGAGATCTGTACTTGTGTATGTTATTGATGGGTGGAGAGAGAGAGAGATCTGTACTTGTGTATGTTATTGATGGGTGGAGAGAGAGAGATCTGTACTTGTGTATGTTATTGATGGGTGGAGAGAGAGAGAGATCTGTACTTGTGTATGTTATTGATGGGTGGAGAGAGAGAGAGATCTGTACTTGTGTATGTTATTGATGGGTGGAGAGAGAGAGAGATCTGTACTTGTGTATGTTATTGATGGGTGGAGAGAGAGAGAGATCTGTACTTGTGTATGTTATAGATGGGTGGAGAGAGAGAGAGATCTGTACTTGTGTATGTTATTGATGGGTGGAGAGAGAGAGAGATCTGTACTTGTGTATGTTATAGATGGGTGGAGAGAGAGAGAGATGTACTTGTGTATGTTATTGATGGGTGGAGAGAGAGAGAGAGAGTACTTGTGTATGTTATTGATGGGTGGAGAGAGAGATCTGTACTTGTGTATGTTATTGATGGGTGGAGAGAGAGAGAGAGAGAGAGTACTTGTGTATGTTATTGATGGGTGGAGAGAGAGAGAGAGATCTGTACTTGTGTATGTTATTGATGGGTGGAGAGAGAGAGAGATCTGTACTTGTGTATGTTATAGATGGGTGGAGAGAGAGATCTGTACTTGTGTATGTTATTGATGGGTGGAGAGAGAGAGATCTGTACTCGTGTATGTTATTGATGGGTGGAGAGAGAGAGAGATCTGTACTTGTGTATGTTATAGATGGGTGGAGAGAGAGATCTGTACTTGTGTATGTTATTGATGGGTGGAGAGAGAGAGAGATCTGTACTTGTGTATGTTATTGATGGGTGGAGAGAGAGATCTGTACTTGTGTATGTTATTGATGGGTGGAGAGAGAGAGAGATCTGTACTTGTGTATGTTATAGATGGGTGGAGAGAGAGAGAGATCTGTACTTGTGTATGTTATTGATGGGTGGAGAGAGAGAGATCTGTACTTGTGTATGTTATAGATGGGTGGAGAGAGAGAGATATGTACTTGTGTATGTTATTGATGGGTGGAGAGAGAGAGAGATCTGTACTTGTGTATGTTATTGATGGGTGGAGAGAGAGATCTGTACTTGTGTATGTTATTGATGGGTGGAGAGAGAGAGAGAGATCTGTAGTGTATGTTATTGATGGGTGGAGAGAGAGAGAGAGATCTGTACTTGTGTATGTTATTGATGGGTGGAGAGAGAGAGAGATCTGTACTTGTGTATGTTATAGATGGGTGGAGAGAGAGATCTGTACTTGTGTATGTTATTGATGGGTGGAGAGAGAGAGATCTGTACTCGTGTATGTTATTGATGGGGGGAAGGGGTGGGGGGGTGGGGTGGGGAGAGATCTGTACACATGTATGTTATTGATGGGGGGAAGGGGTGGGGAGAGATCTGTACTCGTGTATGTTATTGATGGGGGGGGGGGGGAGGGGAGGGGGGATGGGGAGAGATCTGTACTCATGTATGTTATTGATGGGGGGGGGGGGTTGGGGGTGGGAGAGATCTGTACTCATGTATGTTATTGATGGGGGGGGTTGGGGGTGGGAGAGATCTGTACTCGTGTATGTTATTGATGGGTGGAGAGAGATACTTTGTACTCGTGTATGTTATTCCTGTGCCTTAGATAATAACTCTCAGAGTCACACCTTCATTGTCACACATTCTCTGATCATTCAAGAGTAATACAACAGAAACAAGAAAACATTTCACAATCTCTACTTGGTAAAATGCAAAACATAAAACATTACCAGTGATGGGTTCCACCAGATCAATGGGAGGTCTGATATCATCAAGCAGCACTGAAGTTTCTACAATCATACTCATATCATGGGTGATGCCTGAGGATGGAGTCAGTTCATACCCTGTAGGTAACTCATCCTGACTTGGTAACATTGCAGGAAAGCCAGTTTTGGGAAGTTGAGAAAAAAGAGACCTACAACGAATTAATATTTAAAATCAAAATTTGAAAGTTCTTGTCGTCAAAGCAAACTGAATTGTTTGATCTAGTTTTCTATTTTTCATTTTTTTTTTCTTACACAAAATTGCTTTAAATAAGATTTCACATTTAGTTTCTTTGAACAAGTGACCTAGGAATCTATTGATTTCTGTCTTTCTTTTTCTGAAAAACAGGAGTTTCTGTGATAAATTCCCTTCTAAGGCAACTGTACAGATATCACACTGTAAACAAACATCTTTCAGTGGTAATCTTATTTTAGAGCTTTTCATGCTGAAAATATTGCACTGAAATATGATTGCTCTTACTGCAATTTCTGTAATTAGTTCATAAAGAAATAATTATGGAGGCGCTAATTCATCATTGTGCTAACTTAGGATATTGTGTTCAAATCAGATAAGTATATTAACAGTATATGTAGAGACAGTAATACAGCTATTCTTTCTATTTTGTTTTTTGCTATAAATATCTCAATTTTATATTGTTGCTAAAAACATTGAAAAGGCAACACTATAATTATTCTGACATATACAGAATTACATTCATCCACATATTCTTTCTTTTGGAAGCTATGGTCTGAAAACCTAAGCTTGGATGACAACTCTGGTGATGCTACTGACCAAATGATCCAGAGCCATACAGAAATAAAAGCTGTTTTATTCTAATAATATACCTCCTACGTCTCCAATTTGTCATGCTTCTTTCTATTCTTGACATTTTACTTATCATCAATATCAAAGAAATGTTCGCGTCTGTTGTATATTTTTCCCCTGAATTGCAGTAACCTTTTTCAAAAGTCCGATAAAATGAGGAAAAATGACGGAGAATCTACTGTATTTATCCGAAAGGATGCCCCAAAACTTTGTCCTGTAATAAACTCATTTCCTAACTATGATTATGAGGTAATGAGGTCACCCCCCCTCCCCCCTACTTATTGTCTCGTGTTGGCCCCTCCTGGCCTCTATGTCCCATGTTGGTGGGCCTGGACTTATGATCCTGTGTTGGTGTCCCGAACTGATTTTCCTTTGTTGCTGGCTAAATACATTAGTGATCGCTTACAAAACCGTAATCTGGTCAAAGGCAGGCTGTCTGACTTGGTTAATCAAGTACATAATCAGCTAACACATTGTCATTCAGAAAGTAAATGAATTTTCCAATATAAAAAATTTTGCTGCTTGAACATATAATTGCACACTTACCTAGAATTTGAATAAGAATAAAATGTGCTGGCAATTCACTATTATTTATTAACAGTAAATGAAATTTATTTTTGCTAAAACAGAGGAAAATATGAAGGCACTAATAATTGATTATGAAAAATTACATTTGATCATCGCATCAGTTGAGGTTATACAATTAGTTCCTTGATCATATCTAATCATTGTCCCATCATTACAGACATATTCCATCCAAGTTATAAAATTTTTGGCTTTTCTATACCTTATAAGGACTTATTCAAATGACTTTTAAATTTAATGTTAGCATCAAAATATCTTGTCTTTGTTCAGTTTGGACAAGCGAAATTGGTGAGAATACTCCTAGAGTAAATATAGCACATCGGAAAATCCGGAACTGAAAGGTCACTGGATCACAGATTTTGTGCAGAGTATTGGGTAAATACACAAGTGTGTATACTGTTCACTGAAACTTTTGCTGGTGTTACAATGTTAATACTTCTGTAGGCTTATTTTCTGTTGATTTTATAATTTGCACAAATATTTCATTCTGTTCAGCTTTTAACAGCGCAAACCTGATATGACGCAATCAGGGCTATGTGAGCTAGATATATGAAGAATTGCTGCAAATTAAAAATCTGATGTTTTTAAAATGGTAAATTGAGGTGTGCGATTTCCATAAGAACATAGTAGGTGATTCTGTACAGGTTTTCTTCAAAAGCATCCCAAGAAATCCTAACTTGTGGCAAATATCCCTTTAACAAAAGTACATGCATCCCTTGTTTTTGTAAGCTTCACCTGCAATGACTTGCTAAAGCTCCATGAGAAATGGAAGTGTCACTGGCAGAGCTACCCAGGGAGGCGTCCCGATGACTTGTGCGATGGGACAGAAGATTACACATGTCTGTTACATCATCCATACAGGCAAAAGCATCATAGAAAAGTCGTCGCATACCAACCATCTTAGTTTTCAGTTCCAACATGTGTTTCTGCAACAAAAGGACCAAATCTGTGCTCTAATACCAGTGAAATTCCAGAAATCATTTAATTGATGAAAACTGATTATATATAAAAAAATCTTTTACCATTCCTGATGATAAGTTTTATTACTGACTAATTAGAATGTTCCTTTTCATGTGATTCATTAAAAACTATGCAAATTTTCCCATTCAGATGAAGAGATGCAAATGTAGCAAATTTTGACAAAGAAATTGATTTACTTGAACTTGGAAGCTTATGTTTAGTAAGAATTTTAATTTGTATGTTTATAGTGTTAGAAGTGATTCCTTGAAAACAACAGCAGATGCGGGGCCCTAACTATACAACGTTAAAATACACAAGATTTTTTCTCTGTTATCACAAAGACCTTGTAGACAATAATAATCTACCATTACAGAACATGTCATTATTTGAAGCTTCATCATATTCCTATCCTCAACCGACCTCAGGTGTAAGGAACATCGTTAATCAAGTGAAATGAAGGGAAGTAACACTGGGAGACAAGATTCGAATCCATTGTATGCCAATTTTTTTCACAGTTAAGTACCAGTATATTAAACTAGTCTACAGTAAGGGTGAACGTAAATTTATGTAAACAAATTAAAAGATAAATAACTGTAGTAGTAGTGATCTAGTTACCATGGCAACACAAATTTCAGTTAACAAAAAAAAAACTTGCATGTACATTTTCACATATACAAAGAGTCCCTAATTACATCCCTGTGTAGTTTCAATGAAATCGGTCAACAACATCAGGAGAAGATCCATCTAATCATGTGTCTGATGTGATTACGATAGCAACCAATACACATTGTATGTTTTTTTTCAAAATGGTACCATTGTAATTGTCTTTCCTCAATACCCTTATGTCCCAATTTTCAGCACAATCAAACAATATCTCAATTTCAACCAATCAGAAGACTCCATCATGTTTCCAAAGTAACGGTTTTGGAAAAACTTGATGTGTCTAGTTACAGGAATTGATAAGTTACAACGCTCCACCAAGTTAAAATAAAATTGATCAAAGGATTGATGAGTTACTGCTGTTACATACAAACCTGAGAATAGTGACCTGGTTATGATGGCAACCCAAATTTCTGCTAAAAAAATTCCTGCATGCACATCTACACATATCCTTGATACTTCAAGGGTAATTGATCACTTTCACTTTCTGCACCTCTGGATCATTTTATGGCAAAATTGAAAGTACAAGCAAAATAGATTGTTTGGTTTAAAGAGAAAAAAACTTTAAAAAAAAAAGACTTATACACTCCTGTGGAGATTACAAAGGAGCAATACCCAACTTCAAAGCCAGTACAGAATACCATTATGCTACATTGAGATTCCTTTAATAATCAAAGGATCAAACTAGTCTTCTCATCTTATCCACAAGAAATCTTCAATTTTGCCATGAAATGTTCCAGGGTTATAAAGAGTGACACTGATCAGAAGCTCTGGAGTATCGAGGATGATATATACACGATCCCTAACATTCCTGTATAGTTTCATTGAAACCAACTAAAACTTCCCATCTTAAACATCAGGGCAACCGGATATATGCCATGCTCTGCCATTCATTGTTACTGTGTAATTTGCTGTACCTTGAGCCTGGTGTTAACTTCACTTTCAATTTCCTCGTCTTTGAGCCCTGCTACTCTCTCCAATGTTGTCAGTTTCATATGAAGTTCTTGATTATTTCTCTGTAGCTCAAGGTTAGCATCATTAGCGATACGAAGAGCCTCCCTCGTTCTCTCTAAGTTAAAGGCTAGGGCCTTGTTGTTCGCCCGCAAACTCTGCTTCTGAATAGATGTACTCACTAAAAGGAAACATGAAACAAACTTTAAGGGAACTTTGCAGTTTATAAAACGAATGTTTTACTTCAGTAAAACTGCTAAACAAAAACAATGTTTCACTCAGTTATACAGTAAGATAAAAACAATGTTTACTTCAGTTATACAGTATAAAAAGTTGAAGATAAAAAACACTCAATATAACAATTAACATGCTCACTCAATTTCTTTTTATTGTTTAGCTGCCAGGTGTATTGTTTCTCTATGTATAGACATGCTTGAAAACTGTTCTGAGCTCCTTGTTTTAATAGAGTTCTATGGTGTGAAAACACTTTTCTGGTGTAAGGTATGAAGTGTATATGACTACAAAGCTTTCGTGGGACAACCTTACATACATCACCATTAACTCAAAATCTTTTCCTCATTCCAAAATATTTAATCATGAAATTTTACTATTCTAAACAAGAAAATCAATTTCAAAACAATGATATCCTAATGTGGTGTGATATTAAACAAAGTCTTTTATTCTCATTGAATTTTCAAAATACACAAGGTATTATATAATAGGAAAATTGTTTTCTCACATCTTTTCAAAACCATAGATATTGATAAATAATAGTTGTTCTTTTCCTTTATGAATATTTAAGGAGGAATCAAAACTAATTTCAATTTACGTCAAGAAGTTAACGTATCACTACTTATATTGCTACGACCAAAAACTCACTACTTATATTGCTACGACCAAAAACTCACTACTTATATTGCTACGACCAAAAACTCACTACTTATATTGCTACGACCAAAAACTCACTACTTATATTGCTACAACCAAAAACTCACTACTTATATTGCTACGACCAAAAACTCACTACTTATATTGCTATGACCAAAAACTCACTACTTATATTGCTCCGACCATAGCTAAATGCTTTCTTTTTCTTGGTCGACGAAACATTTAAATCAGGTTTCTTCTTTTTGATGCGTTTTAACACTCTTGGCTTCTTTTCCTTTGGAGCATCAATACCCATGTCTGTGTCTTTTTCCTCCTGTTTAAATTGTAAGATAAAAATTCATGATTAGAAGCATGATACTGGAGATGTGTTTAAAGCACACAAAATTGTTAGAGTCAATTAAAATTAATTTTTTGTTGGGAAGCAAATAAATATATGTGACAGACTGTGAGACAGATGAATTAAAGATTTTTTTTCCAAACTGTTCTATACACACTGAATTTAGAATTTGCTATCCCAGATCCCATACAGCCATGATAATTTGCCCCTGTGTACACTCATTTTCCCCTGTGTACACTCATTTTTCCAGACCATTCCCCATCCCAGATCCCATACAGCCATGATAATTTGCCCCTGTGCACTCATTTTTCCAGACCATTCCCAATTTGGCCCAAGTGTTCACCCATCTTTCTACAGACATTTCATTCCCCATCCATCCCTGGTCCACTCCAGTCTGGTAATTATAAATGGCCCATATGTTCAACATTTAACAAAGGACGATAACTTTTTGAAATATTGTTTAATTAAAATGTTATTCACAAGATCAAACTCAAGTCATGGTTTTCAAGACTACCAAGTTACATGTACAAAGAAATTGGTTGAAAGTGAGAGAGGAGATAAAATGTTGAAAAAAAAATATTGAAAAAAATAAAATAAGTAAAGGGCAATAACTCTTTCTAAAGTTATAAAATCACAATGTAAATTATAAGCAACATATCACTTCATATAATGGTTATAAAACCTACCAAGTTTCAGAGAAATATGAGAAAACCTGAGATGGAAACAAAGGGCAATAACTCCTTCAAAAATTGTTTAGTCAAACTGCTGTGTAGTAAAACACAACTTCATATTTTTTCCCAATAACGATGCCTTTCAAGTTTGACAGAAGTCAATGAAAATGAAAGAGATGATCATTGGACAAGATATCATCATGGTAACAACAAGGGGCAGTAACTCTCCCAAATACAGTTTAATCAAATTCCTGCTTTGGAAAACACAACTTCATGTCAAGGTGATCATGCCTACAAAGTGTCACGTTCACAAGTAGTTATTTGATATTTATTTTGATTCTTGTGAGTATCTTTAATGTACAAGACAGAAGTATGTCAGGCGTAACTGTATCAGAAGAGGGGCACGAAAGAGACCTTGGACAATACGGGTGGACATGGTATTGTCCGTTACCTGAGTCGATATATTGAGGTCTTTTATATGTGAACCAGGCACAGAATACAGACTGTGGTAAGTTTGCCATTTCTATATTTCTATTCATTATTTAGTTTTGGTATTATTTATGTATACCAATGTATTTATCAGGTCAAGCCATCTAGCTATTGGTGCGGTCCAATCATGCACGACTATTGTGATTGATGTTTATGCAGGGGAAATATGTTACATTTTCTAATGTTTTGAAGTATATTTACCCAAAATATATGCATTACAAGTATATTTAGCTAATTTAAACCTAACTAAATTATATGTGCTGTGCTTTAATTGTTTAAACATTGCATTTGTTTGATATGTAAATCTATGGAAGCCCCGATCCATTTAGACATAGGTAAGCATACTGTGTACGCGGTCTAGCGGAAAAAGTATGGAAACCTAGATGTGTCATATTGTAAAAACTTTAGATTTTGTAATATTTGTGTATACTTTGGACCGGCACACTATTATAAGATACTTAATGACATATTGTTTTAGTTATAATGTTTTCTAATTATGATGATAAAATAATTGGTGTTATTAAGGATATTTTCTGAACTAAGGCTATTTTTGTTAGATGAGAAAGTAACCGAGCGTGATGAGTGTAACTGTTATATTTAATTAATTATTGTAGCTTCACATGACGGCAGTAGCCGACTCAGCAACCAGTCAGGACCAGGCGTGATGCACATTTTCTTCATCACACAGACTTGTGTCAGGAGAGTCATGAAGCTGCTGTGAATCTGCGGGACATGCTTCGGGAGGACACCTGTTGGTACTTTATTCTTCGCTGGATACAAAGGGAAGTTCAGGCATGCTTTGCTTGGAGTGGATGGATATGCGGTGTATCTATTGTGTGGCTCTGGATTGAGCTGTGCCACGTTGTTGGTGGACGACCATGGAACTGTGTTTTTTTTGCTGCAGATGTGAGCTACAGAATGTACCTGATGACTTATATATGAGGAATGAGTTTGAGTGAGTAAGTGAGTGTGTCCATTTATTTAGAGTTTGATCAGTTATGTAAATAAATATTTGTAATTGTAATCAGTTCATATGTATTCTTTTTCCCGAATCACAAGCTGAAGTTCGTCCCACGTAACAAAATGTTTGAAAGAAAACTGTTGAAACCTACATAAAGAGATTTTCAGATAAGATTAACATTACAAAAACAATAATGGGCTGTAATCTTCTAAATACATTTGAATCAAATGGCCATTCAGAAAAAACACACATCAATTCACGCCACTGCGATTAGGCCTACCAAGTTTGAAAATGATTGGTTGAAAGCTGAGGGAGGTGATCTCTTGACAAATAAAAGTTTATGACGGACAGACAAACGATACCATAACATAAATATGTATGTACTGTCAAAAATTTTGACAAGCATATGAAAATATATTACATTGGAAAGATAGTGTAAATTATCATGCCATTTTAGGTATGCAGTTTCCACTGGCCCTTAGGTTAAGATGTAGAACATTTGTACTAAACAATGTTTATTAATAACATATTGAGGTCCATAGATCTAGACTCATGGATGGATGCTCAGAACATGTTAAGAACCTATAAAAATGCAAGGCTGTTTCTGGAGTGTGTTTTGAGGAAAACAGAATTAAGAAAAATGTGTACGCAAAAGTACCTTATTCTTGATTTTGAAAAAAAAAACTGTCAAGAATCATCTTGTTTTGAACATTGTGTTAATGTCTTCCGAATTACAAAGAAACAGTTCATTTCCTTTTGAATTTGCCTGGGGCCAATTTTTTATTTGTAAACGGTCGCGAGATATCTCCTTGGTCAGTCACTGAAATATTGAACAGATTCTACAAACATTTGACAGACGTACAACCTTTTGATGGCCAGATCTGTTGTCCACGTATTACTTTAAGAAACAAAATATTTCATGTGACGTAGGCTTGTAAACCTGTGGTCTAGATCTTGGAATGCATCGAATAAAGATACTGTCTTACATACACACACACGAGCATATTCATATGATGAATCGTTATTACAATTGAAGCTCGGATAGACATGACCAGGCTCTCCACTCTAGACACCATAGATCGGCTGACAGAAAGTGAATTAAGTGGGCCTAAACCAAAATAACCGGACGTTCTGTATTCGAAATAAAGATACTATACAACTAAAATAGCAGGAACAATATATTTACTATATTTTCATACGTGATTCCTGCTGTTAAAGTAGTACAATAGCTATGTTTCACACATAGCACGTCCGATTCTAGATGTAATCAGCTGCTTTGCTTCAATTCACATCAGCTGTTGTCATGCATTTTAAACTAAGACATCGTACGATCTCACCATTTTAATATGCTATCCAGATCCGCCTCTTCCAATGTTGTATATATATCCGACCACATGTACATCCAGCAGCTAACTCACTCGATGTTTACAATATTGCGACCGGTGAAGACATTCAACCGTTGGCGCTATTTCTTGAATTGTCAGGGGAGACTACTTTCGCAAAGCGATTTATCTAGGTTACACACCACAGTCTAGAAACAGTCTGGCCGGTCTTATTTCATATCGCTTTAGCACCTTACATTTGTAGTTTTTTTCGGCATATTGTCATGATGATTTCTGGAAATTGCACTTACCTTTATTCATGCTCTTGCAATTAATTTAATTAAAATAGAATATTCAGTACTGATTTCCCCCCCCCCATTATGTTCCCTATATGTAGATATAGAAGATAAGCATTTACGAAAATTGTGAAATTAAGCATTTTATTTTCATCTTCCTGTATTTTATGTACATCAATTCTTGTATTCGATGTGAGTGCATTCCAATGAAGATTTTTTAGTTTATATGTGACGAATGGGGAGTCTTTTATATTTTGAAAATGTCAAATAGCAATGGGTGAAAATTTGATGTGATATATAGTAAATTTAACAGTTATTCAATGATCACTGTATAAGCAGACATTACTGCAGTTTTCAAATGAAAATGTATCTTGAAATAAAAAGAAATAAAATAGCTAACAAGGTTCCCTAGGGGTCACCCACCATTGTTTGATCTTTGTATGTCTTAAAAAATCAGAATTTTTCCTTCTTTCTCTTCCCTCCTCTGTTTTTTTTCCCTCTTAATGATACAAATATCAGAAACATCTGTAACAAATTTTCACTAATCAGTCCCAAGATCAAATGGGCACAACTAAGGCCCTAGTGAAACCAACATTTCAAATTTGAGGGTGATTCATTCTGTGCTTCTAAAGAAATAGCTATGGCAAACTTTATATAAGATCTGCCAGTTATTTTGTTTTCCTGATCAGTCTAAAAATCAAACGGGCACAACTAAGGACCAAGGTTAATCCACATGGGAAACTTAAGAGTGATCCATCTCAGAAATAGCAATAACAAATTTTCTTTTTAAAAATCAAATATGGCTGCCTGTCCGCCATTTTTTTCTAATCAGTCACAAAATCAAAGGGTATAACAAGGGACCAAGGGAAACATACATATGAAATTTGAAAGAGATTCATCCAGCACTTCTCAAGAAATAGCAAAATTTCATTTTTGTAATCCATGATGGCTGCCATTTAAGCCATTTTGTGTTTCTGATCATACTCAAAATCAAACAGCACAACTTAGGATGAAGGGAACCTAGATATGAAATTTGAGAAAGATGTATCAAGTTCTTCTCAAGAAATAGTAATGACAATTTTTTGTAAAAGGACAGACGACAGACCACGGAAGTAGAACAATTTGAATAGCTCTGGACTAAAATGAAATTTCCGTAATATGTTTATCATTATGGAGTTCTACAAAGCAAATAAGTCTATAAATACTCCATATTTATTTAGTCAGCACTGTTGCCATTACTTCATTGATCATATAAATAAAATTCATGAGTGCAATAATTTTATAAAGGATGATAAAAACACACATTATATCAATCAGTTAAAGAGGAATGCTTTAATCTTCTTGTACTTTTAAATGGTTGTCATTGTACATTTGATTTATTTTTTTATTTTTTTACAAAATTTGCCCTTGTTATATTGATTCTGCATGAGGTTGAGATTTAGTTATAAACAGATCTTTTTTTCTTTTTAATAACCACTGGAAATTATCCTTGTTATTATTACTTTCGTTCATTAGAGGATGTACAACTTTCAGGGGACTGGTACAGAATGGGACAGGATGTACAGCTTTCAGGGGACTGGTACAGAATGGGACAGGATGTACAGCTTTCAGCAGACAGGTACAGAATGGAATAGGATGTACAACTTTCAGCAGACAGGTACAGAATGGGATAGGATGTACAACTTTCAGGAGACTGATACAGAATGGAACAGGATGTACAACTTTCATCAGACTGGTACAGAATGGGACAGGATGTACAACTTTCTGGAGACAGGTACAGAAAGGAATAGGATGTACAACTTTCAGGAGACTGGTACAGAATGGGACAGGATGTACAACTTTCATCAGACTGGTACAGAATGGGACAGGATGTACAAATTTCAGGAGACTGGTACAGAATGGGACAGGATGTACAGCTTTCAGGAGACTGGTACAGAATGGGACAGGATGTACAACTTTCAGCAGACTAGTATTGTATTGGTATAAGAGAGAAAACACAAGACACTTAATATGATCTCAATTAGAATCTTTATTATCTTTAATTTGCTCGGGTCTCTGAGAAATACCAGTGTATTGTAAATGAATAAAAGAAGGACATTATACACCAAATGACTTCTAGTACTCCAGTTCTCACATATGATATTGATCACTTGTGTATAATGAAGTAGGATCCTAATGGTATATATTTAATATAATAATATGTGCACAGGCTCTGGAGTTTTTTCTCAGTATCATTTGATATTCTCTGATGTGTAAAACGGTGCTACCAATGGGAAAAATAAGTTGTGACAAGTACCTGTTCATGACTACACCTTGGTGTTTAAGCCTGTAAAAGAAGAAGTGTACCTAGCCAGTCAAAGCAATGAAAATAAATTAATATGTATCAATTTGACATTAATAGGATCTTTCCCTAGCTGGAGGGTAGGACAAAGAAATCTCTCCCCGAGGAGGAGATTCTTGATTGTCTAACCTGAGACTTTGCCGAGGGTTAGATTGTCAGGAATCTCTTCCGAAGGTATAGCTTTCTCTATCCTACCCTCAAGGTAGGCAATGATCTTTTTCTACCCTTTTTTCCCTTGAAAATAAATAAGCAAATAAATACACGTGACATATAACCATTGATATAGTCATTTGCATTTGAGACCCAAATGACAATTCTTATTGGCGTCCATGACCCCAAATGACCCTGACACGTCATAAAAATGACATCATTTACAACATGAACCAGAAATGTCACTTTCCGTGCATGCAGGCTGTCTTGCTGGGGTTAGACAGAAATACTTTACCCTCACCGGAAGTTGAGGATATTTCTGTCCAACGGGGTTGAAAATATGGACACCAGTTTTAACTGTGTAGAATAATACAATACTGGGTACCATACCTCAAGACACCAGTAATGGACAATACTGGGAACCATACGTTAAGATGCCTGTAATTGACAATACTGGGTACCATACCTTAAGACACCTGTAATGGACAATACTGGGTACCATACCTTAAGACGCCAGTAATGGACAATACTGGGTACCATACCTTAAGACACCTGTAATGGACAAAACTGGGTACCATACCTTAAGACACCTGTAATGGACAATACTGGGTACCATACCTTAAGACACCTGTAATGGACAATACTGGGAACCATACCTTAAGACACCTGTAACGGACAATACTGGGTATCATACCTTAAGACACCTGTAACGGACAATACTGGGTATCATACCTTAAGACACCTGTAACGGACAATACTGGGTATCATACCTTAAGACACCTGTAACGGACAATACTGGGTATCATACCTTAAGACACCTGTAACGGACAATACTGGGTATCATACCTTAAGACACCTGTAACGGACAATACTGGGTATCATACCTTAAGACACCTGTAACGGACAATACTGGGTATCATACCTTAAGACACCAGTAATGGACAAAGTGTTTTTTGCTCTAGCTTTTAGGCAAACAAGTTTGTGATAATGAATTCACTCTATGGCACCTGTTATGTATGAAATATCACTGGAATGATATGAGAGGATCATCACAAAAACACAAATCCATTGAAGTTACAGAATAGGATGTAAGTGTTTAATGAGACTTCAATATCTGTGGCAGGTGTCAAAAGTAGACTCAATTCAGGTGCGTAATGTAACCTAATACCATGATAAAGGAAACCTTTATAAAACTGATTTACGTTATTGTCTCATTTCAAAAACATAAGATATGCAAGATTCAATGCCAGCGATGTGAAATAAATCTATCATCAAACGAGAAATTAACAGAACTCCTGATGACTTTCCCCTGTGTAGAGGATATTACATGAGTTCCCATTTCATGATATCTATGAAATGAGTCTGAGAATTTATCTTTTTATCTGGTGAAAGATTAATGAATAACTATTTTCTTTAAGCTTGTATCAAACTGGAAAGAATGAACAATTCTGTAATTAGAGTTAACACACAATCTTTATAAATTTTGCAAACTTTCATGAAAACAGCATTTTAATGGCCTAATAAATTTTATAATGGACATTTTTTTAAAAGGGAGATTCTTAAAACATAATCAAAATGCTTTATGAAGAGTCTGACACAATCATGATTTTATTCACATAAAATCGACCTAGAAGTTGAATTCTTCAACAATAATCTGCTTAAATCTCCTAAGATGGGAAGACATGGAACAAACATTCAAGTGACCCTGATCAATATGTCAGGATTGATTAATTACAATGATGCAATATCCAATGTATGAAAAACACAGCACTTATAAACATTGCACCAACAGGTCCTGTCAAAAAATCCACAGGGGATACAGCTAGTCCTTTCAAAGTCACAGGTTCAGAGACTAGCATTGTCAGTCTTGTAAGATCATTTCGCTGTAATTTAGTACCTGGTAATACAAAGAAATGTTGTCATGTAGTTTCAGCCTAAAGTGGTCTCGAGATTAATGGTCTTGATGAACAGTGTTTCAATGTTTTTGATTTTCAATTTTTTGTCAACAATTTTTAAAAAAGGGAATACAGTTTTCAGGAAAATTGCAAAACTGGCTTCAAATTTTTGTCTTTTGATTTTCAAACTGTCCTCTTTCTGCGACTTTATTCCAACCTTAAAACAACAAAACACCAAACCCCTCAAAACTAAATGAATGTGTTCTACTTCATTTTCTTGGTGGATTTCTACATTATCTTGCAGACTGCAAAGGACTAGATCAAATATCAAAGCAAACAAATAAAAAAGGTTGTTTCAGTGATAGATTAATATTGGATAGTATCTACTTGTAAAATTCTACCAAAGATGTCATCACAAAACACCAAATCTCTTACATTACAGCTTATCTTTGACAAGAATTTTAATTCAAGACATATTTCACATTCTTCACATTCCAGATGTTTTATATAAATGGCTAGTTTCTTGTCCTAATTCCTTTACATAGAGATCATTGACAATGCATCTTTCTCATCATTTCACTATACAGAAGTATACTTCCATACTGGTTTGTTGAGACACCAGACATTTTGAACTTCTTCAAAATGTGTAGTGATATTTAAGACATCAGAATCAAATTAGAACCACTGTCATGTGCCTGTCATCTCCCGTCTAACTTGTTTGGCAGGCGGAGGCATGAGATCTCTGTCACTACCCCCGCTCACAGGCGGACGTGTTCTCACTTGTTCCTGTTTAGTTAAATGGCTTGGTAAATTCTCCACAGCATTGAATAGAATGTCTTTAGTCACTGGTGTCTGTATACTCTGCCAAACTCCTGCAAAATACAGCAAAAATGATGTTCACAATAACAGCCAAACCATCAATGCTACGTCTATTATGTAAATTACTGAATACCATCACATGAATATTGTCCAAGTTTTTTAATTTTTATGAAAAACAAAATTCACTGACAGATGGTGTGCTGCCCCTAATGGGAATTTCATCTCTGTTGACTACTGGATATTCCTACAGACATTGACATGGAAACTGGAGGCCCTGTTAACATGGAAACTGGAGGGCCTGTTAATATGGAAACTGGAGGCCCTGTTACAATGGAAACTGGAGGCCCTGTTAACATGGAAACTGGAGGACCTGTTAAAGGTGTTCCTTTTTCTGTTAATTACTGAATATTCCTACAGACATTGACATGGAAACTGGAGGCCCTGTTAACATGGAAACTGGAGGCCCTGTTAACATGGAAACTGGAGGTCCTGTTAACATGGAAACTGGAGGTCCTGTTAACATGGAAACTGGAGGCCCTGTTAACATGGAAACTGGAGGGCCTGTTAATATGGAAACTGGAGGACCTGTTAACATGGAAACTGGAGGCCCTGTTAACATGGAAACTGGAGGGCCTGTTAATATGGAAACTGGAGGGCCTGTTAATATGGAAACTGGAGAGCCTGTTAACATGGAAACTGGAGGGCCTGTTACAATGGAAACTGGAAGGCCTGTTAACATGGAAACTGGAGGCCCTGTTAACATGGAAACTGGAGGGCCTGTTAACATGGAAACTGGAGGCTCTGTTAACATGGAAACTGGAGGACCTGTTAAAGGTGTTCCTTTTTCTGTTAATTACTGAATATTCCTACAGACATTGACATGGAAACTGGAGGACCTGTTACAATGGAAACTGGAGGCCCTGTTACGATGGAAACTGGAAGGCCTGTTAACATGGAAACTGGAGGCCCTGTTAACATGGAAACTGGAGGGCCTGTTAACATGGAAACTGGAGGCCCTGTTAACATGGAAACTGGAGGTCCTGTTAACATGGAAACTGGAGGCCCTGTTAACATGGAAACTGGAGGCCCTATTAACATGGAAACTGGAGGCCCTGTTAAAGGTGTTCCTTTTTCTGTTAATTACTGAATATTCCTACAGACATTGACATGGAAACTGGGGGCCCTGTTAACATGGAAACTGGAGGCCCTGTTAACATGGAAACTGGAGGGCCTGTTAACATGGAAACTGGAGGCCCTGTTAACATGGAAACTGGAGGTCCTGTTTAAGGTGTTCCTTTTTCTGTTAATTACTGAATATTCCTACAGACATTGACATGGAAACTGGAGGTCCTGTTAACATGGAAACTGGAGGCCCTGTTAACATGGAAACTGGAGGTCCTGTTAACATGGAAACTGGAGGCCCTGTTAACATGGAAACTGGAGGCCCTATTAACATGGAGGCTCTGTTAACATGGAAACTGGAGGACCTGTTAAAGGTGTTCCTTTTTCTGTTAATTACTGAATATTCCTACAGACATTGACATGGAAACTGGAGGCCCTGTTAACATGGAAACTGGAGGCCCTGTTAACATGGAAACTGGAGGCCCTGTTAACATGGAAACTGGAGGTCCTGTTAACATGGAAACTGGAGGCCCTGTTAACATGGAAACTGGAGGCCCTGTTAACATGGAAACTGGAGGTCCTGTTAACATGGAAACTGGAGGCCCTGTTAAAGGTGTTCCTTTTTCTGTTAATTACTGAATATTCCTAGAGACATTAACATGGAGACCGGAGGTCCTGTTAACATGGAAACTGGAGGCCCTGTTAACATGGAAACTGGAGGTCCTGTTAACATGGAAACTGGAGGGCCTGTTAACATGGAAACTGGAGGTCCTGTTAACATGGAAACTGGAGGTCCTGTTAACATGGAAACTGGAGGCCGTGTTAAAGGTGTTCCTTTTTCTGTTAATTACTGAATATTCCTAGAGACATTAACATGGAAACCGGAGGTCCTGTTAACATGGAAACTGGAAGGCCTGTTAACATGGAAACTGGAGGCCCTGTTAACATGGAAACTGGAGGCCCTGTTAACATGGAAACTGGAGGCTCTGTTAACATGGAAACTGGAGGACCTGTTAAAGGTGTTCCTTTTTCTGTTAATTACTGAATATTCCTACAGACATTGACATGGAAACTGGAGGTCCTGTTAACATGGAAACTGGAGGCCCTGTTAACATGGAAACTGGAGGCCCTGTTAACATGGAGGCTCTGTTAACATGGAAACTGGAGGACCTGTTAACATGGAAACTGGAGGCCCTGTTAACATGGAAACTGGAGGACCTGTTAAAGGTGTTCCTTTTTCTGTTAATTACTGAATATTCCTACAGACATTAACATGGAAACTGGAGGACCTGTTAACATGGAAACTGGAGGCCCTGTTAACATGGAAACTGGAGGCCCTGTTAACATGGAAACTGGAGGGCCTGTTAACATGGAAACTGGAGGACCTGTTAAAGGTGTTCCTTTTTCTGTTAATTACTGAATATTCCTACAGACATTAACATGGAAACTGGAGGACCTGTTAACATGGAAACTGGAGGCCCTGTTAACATGGAAACTGGAGGGCCTGTTAACATGGAAACTGGAGGCCCTGTTAAAGGTGTTCCTTTTTCTGTTAATTACTGAATATTCCTACAGACATTGACATGGAAACTGGAGGCCCTGTTAACATGGAAACTGGAGGCCCTGTTAACATGGAAACTGGAGGCCCTGTTAACATGGAAACTGGAGGTCCTGTTAACATGGAAACTGGAGGCCCTGTTAACATGGAAACTGGAGGCCCTGTTAACATGGAAACTGGAGGTCCTGTTAACATGGAAACTGGAGGCCCTGTTAAAGGTGTTCCTTTTTCTGTTAATTACTGAATATTCCTAGAGACATTAACATGGAAACTGGAGGTCCTGTTAACATGGAAACTGGAGGCCCTGTTAACATGGAAACTGGAGGTCCTGTTAAAGGTGTTCCTTTTTCTGTTAATTACTGAATATTCCTACAGACATTAACATGGAAACTGGAGGTCCTGTTAACATGGAAACTGGAGGCCCTGTTAACATGGAAACTGGAGGCCCTGTTAACATGGAGGCTCTGTTAACATGGAAACTGGAGGACCTGTTAACATGGAAACTGGAGGCCCTGTTAACATGGAAACTGGAGGCCCTGTTAAAGGTGTTCCTTTTTCTGTTAATTACTGAATATTCCTAGAGACATTAACATGGAAACCGGAGGTCCTGTTAACATGGAAACTGGAGGCCCTGTTAACATGGAAACTGGAGGTCCTGTTAACATGGAAACTGGAGGCCCTGTTAACATGGAAACTGGAGGGCCTGTTAACATGGAAACTGGAGGCCCTGTTAACATGGAAACTGGAGGCCCTGTTAACATGGAGGCTCTGTTAACATGGAAACTGGAGGACCTGTTAACATGGAAACTGGAGGCCCTGTTAACATGGAAACTGGAGGCCCTGTTAACATGGAGGCTCTGTTAACATGGAAACTGGAGGGCCTGTTAACATGGAAACTGGAGGGCCTGTTAAAGGTGTTCCTTTTTCTGTTAATTACTGAATATTCCTACAGACATTGACATGGAAACTGGAGGTCCTGTTAACATGGAAACTGGAGGCCCTGTTAACATGGAAACTGGAGGCCCTGTTAACATGGAAACTGGAGGCCCTGTTAAAGGTGTTCTTTTTCTGTTAATTACTGAATATTCCTACAGACATTAACATGGAAACTGGAGGCCCTGTTAACATGGAAACTGGAGGCCCTGTTAACATGGAGGCCCTGTTAACATGGAAACTGGAGGTCCTGTTAAAGGTGTTCCTTTTTCTGTTAATTACTGAATATTCCTACAGACATTGACATGGAAACTGGAGGTCCTGTTAACATGGAAACTGGAGGCCCTGTTAACATGGAAATGGAGGCCCTGTTAACTGGAGGCTCTGTTAACATGGAAACTGGAGGCCCTGTTAAAGGTGTTCCTTTTTCTGTTAATTACTGAATATTCCTACAGACATTGACATGGAAACTGGAGGCTCTGTTAACATGGAAACTGGAGGCCCTGTTAACATGGAAACTGGAGGTCCTGTTAAAGGTGTTCCTTTTTCTGTTAATTACTGAATATTCCTACAGACATTGACATGGAAACTGGAGGCCCTGTTAACATGGAAACTGGAGGCCCTGTTAACATGGAAACTGGAGGCCCTGTTAACATGGAAACTGGAGGTCCTGTTAACATGGAAACTGGAGGCCCTGTTAACATGGAAACTGGAGGCCCTGTTAAAGGTGTTCTTTTTCTGTTAATTACTGAATATTCCTACAGACATTAACATGGAAACTGGAGGCCCTGTTAACATGGAAACTGGAGGCCCTGTTAACATGGAGGCCCTGTTAACATGGAAACTGGAGGACCTGTTAAAGGTGTTCTTTTTCTGTTAATTACTGAATATTCCTACAGACATTAACATGGAAACTGGAGGCCCTGTTAACATGGAAACTGGAGGCCCTGTTAACATGGAGGCCCTGTTAACATGGAAACTGGAGGACCTGTTAAAGGTGTTCCTTTTTCTGTTAATTACTGAATATTCCTACAGACATTAACATGGAAACTGGAGGTCCTGTTAACATGGAAACTGGAGGTCCTGTTAACATGGAAACTGGAGGTCCTGTTAACATGGAAACTGGAGGCCCTGTTAACATGGAAACTGGGGGTCCTGTTAACATGGAAACTGGAGGTCCTTTTAACATGGAAACTGGAGGTCCTGTTAACAGAAACTGGAGGTCCTGTTAACATGGAAACTGGAGGTCCTGTTAACATGGAAACTGGAGGGCCTGTTAACATGGAAACTGGAGGCCCTGTTAACATGGAAACTGGAGGGCCTGTTAACATGGAAACTGGAGGCCCTGTTAACATGGAAACTGGAGGCCGTGTTAACATGGAAACTGGAGGCCCTGTTAACATGGAAACTGGAGGCCCTGTTAACATGGAAACTGGAGGACCTGTTAAAGGTGTTCCTTTTTCTGTTAATTACTGAATATTCCTACAGACATTGACATGGAAACTGGAGGTCCTGTTAACATGGAAACTGGAGGGCCTGTTAACATGGAAACTGGAGGGCCTGTTAACATGGAAACTGGAGGTCCTGTTAAAGGTGTTCCTTTTTCTGTTAATTACAGAATAAATCTACTTAGTATTTCTTCTAACATTAATGAGGAAACATGGGGCCTCTTATGGGGTTTCAACTCTCTAAATTACTGGATAGTTTTACTGAAAATTTATACCTACATTGATGAGGTAACAGGGGGCCTCTTATGGGGTTTCAACTCTGTGAATTACTGGATAGTTTTACTGAAAATTTATACTGACATTAATGAGGTAACAGGGGGCCTCTTATGGGGTTTCAACTCTGTAAATTACAGAATATTTCTACTGACATTAACACAAAAACAGGAGGCCCCTTATGTGGATATCTGTTCTTTGCATTACACAGTAGAGTCAAATACAAGATACTTACCCATAGCTGTACTGTAAGATACTTACCCATAGCTGTATTGTAATATACTTACCCATAGCTGTACTGTAAGATATTTACCCATAGCTGTAATATAAGATACTTACCCATAGCTGTACTGTACGATATTTACCCATAGCTGTATTGTAAGATACTTACCCATAGCTGTATTGTAGCTGTTAGGGTGAGATTTATCTGTTCGCTGCCTCATAAACTTCCACTCCTTCCCATCCCAAGAACACTCCACAATTTTACCATCAAGGTCCTTAATACTCTTAGTATACTGAAAATAATATAAAGCCAATTAATGACCATCATTCTTTACGAACACTACAGTAGTCCTACTTAAAATGGGTTAAGACTGGAAAAGCAAAGTACCGTATTTTAGTCACACCAGTATACCGTTACAAGTATATTCATACAAAAGAAGGATTTAAAACTAATTGCTCTTTTTCCCAAATTGGGCCCCACACTTCCTGACCAGGGGGCCCAGACCACAATAAACATCATCCATCTGCCCCAACGGGGTCAGCAAACAACTTATACAAGTCTACTTCACCCAAGCATGCATCATACAAAAATTAGGGCAGATACCAGCCATTCATACAGAAGGTTTTTAAAAAATATGCACTATTTCCCAAATTGGGTCCATCCTTTCCAGACCAGGTGGCCAAGTCCCCCAATTTATACAAAACTGATGCCCCTTCATTCAAGGATGCTTCAGACCAAAATGGGCAGAATCCATAAATTCCTACTGAGGAAGAATTATAAAGAATGTTTTTATTTCCACTTTTTGGTCCACCTCTCCTGACCCAGCTGGCTAAGAACCACAGTTTATATATATATTTTCTATCTATTTCCCCAGTGGGGACCTTTGCCTTCCACCCTTGGGGTAAGACACTAAACATACCAATTTGATTCCCCCTTAACCAAGGACACTTCAGACAAAACTGGGGCAGAATCCAGGCCTTCCTAAAGAGGAAGAAGGATTTAAAAGAATTTGCTGATTTCTCCTGTTTGGCCCTACCCTTCCATCCCCAGGGGGGCTTGACCTAATGTCTATTCAGAATTGATCACACTTTACCCAAGGATGTTTCAAACAATAAGGACAGAATTCTGACATTCAAACAGATTACAAAAGATTTTAAAGAATTTGCTTAATTTCCCCTATTGGGCATTGCTCCTCAGACTCTGATAGGGAGGGAGTGGGGGCACAGACCCACCATTTACAGAAATCTGAGTGTACTTCCCCTTAGGATGCTCATGACCAAATTTGGTCAAAATCCAAAATCCACTAAGTTGTTCACAACTAGAAGCAATTTGTAGGAGAAGTTGAGGGAAGCTGTGGTATAACATAAACTCACTTAACCCTTCATGACAGGCGATCTAATTACCTTGATACAAGACATGAGCGCAATGTCTAAGTTGAAAGGAATCTCTCACCATTTGCAGATGCTACAGTTCCTACTTGATCAGATTGCTAACCCTCAGATTGCTTACCCTCATCATGGCCATTGGGGGTTCCAGTCCCAGCACGTACAGATAAGCTTTGTTTTCAGCAAGCATCCTGTGGCCAAGAATGAAAATTATTTTTGTTCTCTGAAAGTCTAAGCGTCTCATCCAAAAAGTGCCTTAATGTCTCTTGTATTTGAATCTATCATTTACTGGTATTATCATTTATAGACAGGTATCTCAGAAACTGTGGCTGCCTTCACAGACAGGTATTAGCTGTATACAGGTGTTTTTTACAGACAGGTGTTAAAGGATAAATGTCTGCAGGTAAGTTAATGTTTGCCTACTATTCCAATAGCCTTGCTTTGTGACAAAAGTAATAACTTTCCTCATTAGTACAGGTTCAAATTATCTTAATTATCAGTTTAGAGTAAAGATTTGTTCCAATACTCACTCCTCCAAGTCTACCTCAATATGACACTGATCCTTATTTAACTAGAACTATCAATTGGATTTCTGCTCCACATTTCTCTTTTCATAAAAATCGTGAGTTACTGAGATTTTGAGTTACCCTTCGCGTTTCTCTTTTACAATCTTGAGTTTAAAGTCGATGGAGTTTTGATCTGGAGGTTTCCACTTGAGCACCTCCATACATCTGCCAGCACAGTATGGCTGTAAGTTGGATAAACAAGGGGAAAATCTCAATTAACAGTTAAAATCATATGTAGAAGAATATTAAATATGTTTATAGTCATAATCATACACAGGGGAATATTGTCTCTAGTCACAATCAAAGTAAAATATTGTCTACAGTCATAATCATACACAAGGGAATATTGTCTCTTGTCACAATCAAAGTAAAATATTGTCTACAGTCATAATCATACACAAGGGAATATTGTCTCTTGTCACAATCAAAGTAAAATATTGTCTACAGTCATAATCATACACAAGGGAATATTGTCTCTTGTCACAATCAAAGTAAAATATTGTCTACAGTCATAATCATACATAGGGGAATATTGTTCATAGTCAACATTATAGGTGTGTTAACAAACAACATCAGAAATTTGGAAAATTGCAAAAGACAATACACAGTAAAAGTTTTATCAGTAATTCAACATCTGATTGATGAATAAACAACAACGTCTCAATGACTCTAATTTGTGACAGAATAATGGTACACACAACTTGAATCCTAGTTTTTAACATCTAGGTTTTGTTTTATATTATGGTGTGGTGGGTAACTTCTGTGAACAAAAACACATACTTACATCAGGTACAGGCTGGAAGACTAGACCATCCACCTCATGGCTGACTTGCTTTGAGAAATGGCCGTCTAGTATCTGTATAAGAAATCCCCAGGATTAAATGTGATAAATATTTAGACTTTAACGTTTAATAATAAATACAGGGATTCATTAAAAAATGTTAAATGTTCAAAAATTATACTTTTTATCCAACGACTACAAATAATCTTCATTTTTACACAGAGTATGTGACATCCTACAAATCACCATCATGAGGGCCCTGTATGACCTTGTTTCATTCTTACCTTCCGACAAACTGTGACGTCCCAGAAAGGTTTGGCCCTTATGCTAAATGGCTCCTTGTTCTTGTCCAATTGTCCTTGCGCCATTTTTGCATAACGTGGTCCAATGATTTCTTTCTCAATACAGTGTAATCGTGTATTAAAACTGGTCTTTCCGACCTCGTTTCCCTGAAAACATTATTTTTCCTCTTCCAACATCAAGCAGACAAAACATCAGCATTCTCTAATGAAGTTTACAAAAGTTCATGTTGATAAATAAAAAAGAATACAAATGTGCACATGGCAAATAAAACAGAAATGCTCAAACTCCTTTCATTACATGCATACATTTATATTTTGCAATGACAGAAACTGCCATGTTAAAAAACCACTATTCTTCAAAAGATATCATGAGGAAAGCAACATCCGAGAGAGATTAAATGGCTCCTTATTCATGTCCAATTGTCCTTGTGTCATTTTTGCACAACGTGGTCCAATGATTTCCTTTTCCATCAGTGTAATCATGTATTATAACTGGTCTTTCCAACCTTGTTTCCTTGAAAACATGATTTTTCCTCTTCCATCATGAAGCAACAAGTCACAGCAGCCTCATTAAATATGTGCAGAATTCACCGTTAATCAAACTTGGACAATGGATTAAGGTAACAAGTGTACCAAGCAAGTTTCATCACAATCCGACCAGTCCTTAAAAAGATATCAGGGCTCTTGACCTGCCAGATTTGGTGCCGAATCCCAATGCAAAATAGTATCTTCCAATTTAGACCCTAAGTTTTCCCAATTCTAAGGAAAATGCTGCTATTTTTCCCAATTCTAAGGGCCCCTGGCCCCTGTCCCAAAATGGGGTGTGAGAGCCCTGGATATTATGTGGAAAGCTGCATCTAGAAGGACAGAAGGACAGAAAGACAGATCGATGGAACCTATTTGAATATCCCTGTTAAGATTAAAACACAATCCTGCTGAGCGCCTTGTCAGAAATTTAACCAGAGTCTCCAGCATTATAATCCAGGACTCTACAATTTCAATGAAAATGGCATGCTCCATCAGCTGAATGCCAATGACAGTATTTAACACTGTGTACAAGCCAAAACAACCTGCTCCTTTTATATCTGAATGCTACATAAACAGCATGCATGGCAATGGAAGCATTCTTACCTCAAATCTTACAATGTCGTACACGAGGTATCGTGGGACCGTTCGGCCGTCAATCTTGTCTAAGATCATCTCCTAATAAGGTAATAAAGGAATATGAGTACAAAGTTTGTCTACAATAAACAACAATGCCTGATACAAATATTGATATTCAACTTCAGATCCAATGAAAACAAACACCCCCCTCTCTCTTATCCCAACAGGGGTTTGTTCATTTATGGCGACAACACCATTTATTTGCATTTTACATATAACAATTCAGACATAAACTGAAACAGACCTGCAAATATCACATCAAACACAGGCCTCAAAGCACACAAACTCGTCAGAAAGAAAATTAAGGAATCAACAAAGACACCTGGTCCAACAGGTCTCGCTGATGAATGAAAACAAAGAGGGAGAGAACATGGAGAAAGCGATATAAACATTTTGCTTTTGTTTTTTGTTTTTAGCGGTGTAAACTTACCCCATCAAGGAGAGTATCTTTGATGCTACTTTTAGGATCCTTCCTGCGTGGAAATTCAAGGTTTGGTACATGGAATACAGTATTATCTCGGTCAAACATGAACACTTCATTCTTTCCATCAATCAGCATCATATATCTGTAATTATCAACCGATTGGAAACCTTACATAACTGTCTTTACATAAAAGCATAATCTCTTAAGCTTTATATGGCATTTCAAGTAAACATCTTTCTGGCTTCAGACTACCAGTTTTGTTTGTCAGTGCAACCCATATCTATTTCATCATAATTGACATATTTTACTATATTAGACACAAATAATAATGGCAGATGGAAGTTTTTTCAGTTCAAGGCTTTGGTTTTCTTACCAAGCTGAATGTATCACTTATCAACCTTTTTTTTATCCGCTGAGATCTCTGAACAAACCAAGACTATTATCAACATCTACTTCTAATTCTAGTGATACTTTCGGTCTCGCATAAACAGATGGGTCAGCTGATTCTGATAAGAGATAAGCCAGGTACAGATTGGGACTGAGACTGGAGGGCAGAACAATCAGCATTGGCAATATAAAGAGTCCATCTGTTCCTGTCTGAACTAACTGGCTGTCAGGTACAGATTGGGACTGAGACTGGAGGGCAGAACATTCAGCATTGGCAATATAAAGAGTCCATCTGTTCCTGTCTGAACTAACTGGCTGTCAGGTACAGATTGGGACTGAGACGGGAGGGCAGAACATGCAGCATTGGCAATATAAAGAGTCCATCTGTTCCTGTCTGAACTAACTGGCTGTCAGGTACAGATTGGGACTGAGACGGGAGGGCAGAACATTCAGCACTGGCAGTTTAATGAATCCATCTGTACAAATCTGAACTAACTCAATAAATATCATTAGATTTAATAATTTCTGTATAATACAGGGTCTGTGCATGCATATACTGTCGGAAATATGCTGTTAAGTATGTCAAAATAGGTGATATTTTTGTTTGTTTTTCAAGTTTGACAGGAAATTCACAAACTACACTTTGACCATTATATATATATCTGAAAAAATATAATTCAATTAAGAGAAACGCTTTGGGAAGTAAGACATGTCTGAGGTTCCTTAACACGCTCCATTGTCTCCTTGTAGTTGACCTTGTTCTTATTTGAGAGCATGAAGGATGAACAGAAAACTGTTTCTTAAATTCTACTTTACTTTACAGAATTCCGTCGAGTACCTTGTTCCATCAGCTTTCCAGCTGACTTTGTACGGTTTCTTTTGGACAAATGACAGATTCTTAATATCCATTGAAACGGGTTGTGAACCAGGAAAGCCAGAGCTGAAAGTACAATATTTAATATACTGTAAAACTAAATATATTTCCATGTTTTCATGAAATCCTTCATTTATCTCCAAGATATCATTAACAACAGGAACACACTGCTTTTCGTATGACAACAACATTTGTTGAGGTAACAAACCTTATCTTATATCCAAATCATACCTTCAAGGTCTGACCTCTAACTCAAGATTTCTTACTTATAACCCCTTACTTGCGACCTTAACTCTTGACCTTTATTTTTGAACTCTAAACCCTCGCCCATACATGTGAGAGAGTTACCTGTTCCAGCCACACATGAGTTGGCAACGTCTCTGTATCTCTGCCAGTTTGGGTTGTAGACGAAGTTGTGATACACCTTTCACACCCTCCATAAACTTGGCATCCTGTAACACAAGTTAAAGATAAACCACATGTAGGTTACTGTAAACATACTATTTTTGGTAGAATCAAATTTTGGACAATGATGAATTTGTGCATTTTCTGTAATTGCTATACAAACAACAAACATAAACTACCATTAGCACAATCAGATTTTAGCAAACTTTCTTTACCATGAAAATATATATAACATTACTGCTAAAATGTGTGTTTAGCGTAGTAACAAACCCTTCCTAAAACACCTCGTTAAACATGTCAAACTATTCCAACAAAATTAAAGGATTTCATAATATTTTCATGAATTAAATTAAGCACTTAACTTCTGTAACATACAGTAGTATGATACAAACTATAATGTCTTTGGATTAAACATTAAGGAGTAAATGTGAGGGCAATTGTTGTTGCAACAGAAGAATTTTTCTAATTTTCCTTTCCAATTCAACAGACAATAATCTAATTGAGGTAAAAAGAACTGCAATGCTTTTAAATTTACCTGTAAAATAGGGTCACATGACCTAAAAAGGTGTATAGATAATCAACAATGTGAAAGATATGTAAGTTTACTTTTTTGACAAATTCTCTTCTTCGTCCTTTAAATCCTCCTCCCTCAGCAGAACTCTCACCATTAATAGCATTACCATTATCATCCTGGTCATCCGTTTCTACAAATATAAACACATCTATATGTCTTAATATCTAAAACGGTAAATAGAATGTCATTTTTCAAATAACATCATCTGTTGATAGAATAGAAGTTCTTATAACAAAACCAGTAGAAGATTAGAGTGTGACATTTCTATAACTACACCATTACCTTCATCAGACAAATAACCAATGTGGAGAGTAACACTGGTCATTTGTCTGATGAAGGTAACAGTGCAGTTATAGAAATGTCACACTCTAACCTTCTACTGGTTGTGTTATATTAACTGTAAGGTGACGGTGTAGTCACTGAAATGTCACACTCTAATCTTCTGCTGGTTGTGTTATAAGATGAAGGTGACGGTGTAGTCATTGAAATGTCACACTCTAATCTTCTGCTGGTTGTGTTTTAAGAAATTCTATTCTATTGACATCACCAACCTGAAGAAAATGTTCCAAAATGACATCATCTGTCATTTTCTAATTACCCAACATCTTACACATATGAACTGAGGACTTTTGGACTGTGTAATTTTTTTATTAATAACATATCATGGGTCATTTAATGATATCAAGGGAATAAGAGAAATAGCTATGTAATCAGGGTCTACAGAAAGAAACTATTATCTCTTCTCTCTCCTAGTATACACTATGGCCAAATCCAATTCTGACCTACATGGTCTTGATGGCAAAATGGCACAATCACTCACTTTTGGTTTGTGCGTGCACAGTGACAGTAATGATAAAATGCCGGTTGGGAAAATTAGGTTAGTGCACCAAAGCCAAGTGTGTCATCAAAAACAATGAAAGAGTATATAATTCTGCACCTTACCATCACACCAGTCTGGCAGGGCAGGGGCCGGAGGCGTATCTTCCTTTTCACCGTACCGTGTGAACAACTCTTCCAGGTAGTCCTGTTTATATATACCAGGTGGCCTCGCCTAGAATCAGCAATACACAATAGCACTATACAAAGTCTGATCTTTCTATGATTAGATTTGTGAGTCGTATTCACCCATAAAATCAAGTGATTATGAGAGAGATTTTTTTTTTATTAAACAAGATTAAAGTCCTCTTTATGATGTTTGATATTACGGTAAATTTTAATCCTCAAGCAACTTACCTGGGAAAATGTATGGACAGCTGCCTCTATACTGTAATGTAAAATAACTGTTGAAACAGTGCGTTAAATAAAACTAAATTAATAACAGGCATTTGGTGGTGGTTTTCTTTCTACACTACATCTTGGAATACCTCGAGCATTATTATGATTACATTTAATCACATTAGATAAAAAAATCTGTCAATGTGACTAACAGGAATTTCTCTTGTATTGTAGACAAATCTGAACAACCCTAATCAAACTCTAGATTGGATGTATATGATGCAGTAAAAGAAATTCCAAGCAGGGTATTACATCTTGTGTTTTTGTAACAGGATTTATCCAGATATGACCTCAGTGACATTTTGAGAAGTCCTAATACCGAGAGATCTATCAGTGTATTTTTTCCACTTGAATTTTAATGCCTGTATCAATTAATCAAATATGGAAATACATTATTAAATATTTCTGTTTTTTCCTTGATTTAGGGAAAACAACACACTCCTCAGCTAGAGGCAACAGGACAAAAAATATCACTTTAAAGACTTTCAGAAATTTGATAGGGTTATGTCTGACCTCCATGACAACTTCTCCACCAGGTAAGCACAGATCAGGAAGCCTGTTCTGTTGAAGCCATGAGTACAGTGTACACCTGTTGGAAACAAACATAAGTCTGTACAGAAAACCTTAAAAACATATTGCTATCTTTACTTATGTTTGGTATTCTACAAAGTTTTCAAAAGAATGTTTTAAGAATTACTATATACATAATGAGTTTATATAAAATTTTCTGACAGTAAATGTATGTAAACAAACAACACATGTTTCAATAACATGGCTTGCATGGGTTCAAACTCCATGCCTACAAATGAAGCAAAATATATTTAGTAATCTATTTTGTATGGTAGAATACCTTACCAATGATTTCTAGTGGTTTTTGAGAGATGAAATGGTGACATAGATTGTTGAAAATATCCACATGTTCACTAGCAGGTGTTTCTCCATGACTGCAAAACAAATTAGTACAAGGTCAACAAATAAATCTACACTGAAAATCTTATGCATGTATTTAAATAATGTAACATTCCTCAGCCAGCAGGAGGCCCTAAGGAATTTGGCTTAAACACTCAACCATATAAGGTACATAAATATATTTACAACAGAAGCCATTTAGCAGTAGAATTTTAAGAACTGCATAGGAAGAACTTTAAATGAAGTGGATGTTTTTCACTTTCAGACTCAATAACTTCTACCCCCTGAGAAGAATGCAGGTTCCTGTTCTAACAGCTTTGAATCCTGTTCCACTAAGGATAATTCTGGTCAAGTTCAGTCCTAAACACTTCTAAGCAATAATTGAAATAGAGCTTAAACTAGAAAATATCTACCTGCTATGTGAATCAGAATATGACTAGGAGTAGATGTGATGATACTATGGATATTTATAAGTGAAGCTTGTTGTGAAGTTCCCAAGACATGACAAAGGTTTGGAACATTATGGGTATTGGGTAAATTTATTAGCCTCCCAATAAAATAGTGGGGGCATAGGTTTGAATTTTCCAAGGAAGGATCATCATTTTTCAATTGGGACTTTCGACAGGGGATTGATCCCATTAACACACCACTAGCATAAACAAGATACTTACCAAACTTTACATGACTTACCCTCTACACTGGAGTTTAACATATTTACAGTCATGATTCTTTTCTATCTCCTCTTTGTTGTAGAATCTATTGGTGTTTGTTAGGTCAATCAGGAGGCCCATTTTCAGCTAAATACAAATAATGTCATTAAACTCAGGTATCAATGCTATATATCATATATCAAACATATGAAAAAAAAATACTGTGATCTTCTTCTTCAAGAACAACACTTACATTACTTTGTTAGATAAACAAGAATACAACTAGACGGACAAAAATTACCTTTTTTTCCACAATAAGCCCAAGGGGCCAACATTAAACTGTAAAATCATATCTTTTCATTTGGATCAAATTTCCCGATGTTCCAAAAAAATACAAATGTTTGTTGGTACCAGATTTTGTGGTTAAATCTTGATGACAAAATCCACAAGTACTATACTCCATGTACTTTAATCCCTCTTTTACATTTCTAATTTCTGACTATCTAAATTCTTTGAATTAGAATACCTACAAATTCAACGAAGATAAATTACCAATGAAAATTGATGATTTTACAGTACTTCTGACTCAAGTACTACAGTACCATTAACATTTGTTAAAGCATACAACACACTTACTTTCATGGTTTTCAGGGAGGAAAATAGAAGATCTGGGTTGAAGCGACTGTACTCTGGTATCTGGTCATCATATTTACTATCCAACATAGTCTTGAAGGGCAAAAACTTTCCTATAAAAAAGTATTTCATAAAGTAACTTCAAGCTTAAATTCCAAAAAATACATAGTTGAACTTAATGGTTAATGAATGTTTCCCTGTGTACAGCAATGCAAGCAAAACAGGACCTAGAGGAGTACAGAAATTTTGTTTGGAAATGCTTATAACCTATTATCATACTGTCAGAGTTCTGCCTTGCACTGCCAAGTGTGTCAGGACAGGCTTGTTTGATGAGTGCATAATGCCAAGCATTGCCAAACGAAAATTTATTCAAGTGATTAGGTTGGTGCAGACGAACAGATATTAGTAAACAACATAATATACCTTGAACAAGCACTCCTTTTCTGGGACAGTTGACCCATCTGGGTGGACAGCCGCCTAACTTCTTACTCATTGTGATTGGGTTATCTTTCCTTGATGAGGGCCATTGTGTCCTGACAAAATAACATAGAAAACTTGATTACAAACCATAGTTTAATGATGTATTTATTTCAATTCAACTACATTCTGAATAATCACACTAAGATTACTTTGCATAAATTTGTTTGTATAACCCATGTTTTGAGAAAAAGAAATGTGTCTGATTCAAGTGAACATTATCTCTATCAAACATCGGATACAAATTTAGTTATGTAATGTCTGTGAATCATGTCTTGTGGCTGGTGAGACATGACTTAACAGTGTGCTTCTTTAACGGGACAGGATTAGTATGCCATTAGGGATCAAACCTGCGACCCCTGGCTTGCTGGTCTGCAATTCTACTGATCAAACTAAGGGCAAATTGCCTCTGGCGGGAAGCTAGAAGGTGACCATATCTTGACGTACACTTAAAATCTGCCTTACTTGCATTAGTCCAAATTATTTTGATGTTCTTTCAATGTTTAAATCTACACTCCCAAGCCAATAAATCAAAGTCAATAGCACATCAAAATAATTTAGACTTCTTTATAAGGAAAATGAGACTTTGAGAAATTTTATTGTGCTTGACAAAAAGGAGAATTAACCTTGTCAACAAAACCAAGAAGTTTCAAATTAAACTGTCCATTTAAAAGATACAGAGAAATTAAGGAAAGTCGTTTGTTCTCAACATGTTGGTTGAAAATTTTCTCCATGTGCGACTAAGCAAAATAATTAGATGCTCTATAAGTGAAATTCAGTATACTAGCTATATTTTACATATAGATCGACGGTGTCTGGTGACTAAGCTGGGATAGGTTTCCATTCTGTAGTTGTGTGTGTCTGCCAAGGCATCTAGAAATAAATTACGGCTAGACAGAATACACTGTGATTTAGGTTCTATCTGTATGTAAATAAATAGTCATAACAGTAATAATATCCGATTAATTGTAATATTTGAAATCTGTCATACCATTTGTGACATCCACACAATGAGAATATCACAAAGTTTAGTGCGTTTTGCACTTTACGTTCAATTTCTATTTCTTTCAACCGGAAGTCAACAACAGTCGGAATACCTTTGATTTATTTGTAACTATACATGAAGATATTTAAGACTATCCGAAAATATTTTTTCCCCTGAAAATATAGATTTGTATTTCTATGTATAAATATTATGTGAAAAACTCTATAATGTTACGATATTAAATGATTCATGATTTGTTCTCTATGGAGTAAAACATAAATAATAACGACAACGAGAACTGAACGAGATTTCAAAAAGAAAACATGGCTGCGCCCATTGGAGGAAACACGAGTTAGTTTTCAGTAGAGAGCTTAATCTGTTAGTGCTAGTTCTGTATATGATACTTTTGTTCGTAGACGGTAAAGATGGCAAGACATCATAGATTAAAGAAGCGAAAACCTATTTTAGATTCAGGAAAGAAGAGAGGTGGCACACACAATGCTAAAAACAAGAGGACAGGACCTGCAAATCACATGAAAAAACACGTCCCTTCCAAACCCAGTTTTCAGAAAGGAGACACGGACAACCGGGAGTCTAAAAGAAAAAAGACGAAGAAAGTGTCGTGGAAATCAAAAGGCAAAATGGAGGAATCCGACGATGGTTCTGAGTTTGAAGAGGTGTCTGAATCTTTAGTACAATATAAGGTGATTATCAGCTGCCCATTATGAGAATTTGTGGAAGTTGAGAGTACATGTCGTCTTACTAGCCTTGGCTCGTGAAAATTTCCCTTGCGGCTATAGACCGAAGTGTCGCTGGTTCGAACCCAAGCCATGGCAGGATGTTTTTATTATTCCTCCTATTACACATGTACAGGAATCTAGATAAGTTATTTGTTTGCCAGGTTCATCGTCCCATGAACATTCAATGTCTTCTTAAGGTGGGGGTCTCTGATAGTCTAGCCGATGGCTACTTCAAACCGCCATGGAAGGGATAATTATCAGTTGATGATGTACTCTGATTAGTCAAAATACACATAGATCATAGATATACACTGTGTATGGACATCTGTACAACAGTGTCACATACATGTACAAACAAACTCCATTTACTGGGTTTGGTTCTATGGCATTGATATACATATTGAGCACTTGCCATCATCTTTACCAGGATGCACATAGTGATGTACAAATCATCAATATCTACCTTATCATATCCACTGAAAATCCACAAGGGAAAATCCACTGGCCATGGGCCTCTGTAGATACACCAAACAAATATCACCCAGACCTAAGTAAGAGTTGAACCCCTTTAATTCACTGAAGGGATTGGTTGTCAGCTAATGTTTGACTGCATGTAAATATTCCTTCAAATGCTTCTGATCTTATCCTGACTGTCAAACCCTCATGACATTGTCATCACAATTCATTCCATTTTTTCCCCATGTAAAACCACTGCTTTGAAAGAAAGCTTCTTCCCCAAGAGCTGTTCTTCTGCAGAACTCCCTCCTTCCTAACTTGGCATCTGGTGTTACACTCTCCTGTTTTAAATCTGCTAATAGCTCCTTCCAATGTAAACCTGCTCAAACCTGTATAAAATATTTGTTCTGTGGAAGTATTACTACTACATGAAGTAGGTCTGAATGTAAAAGGATGAAAGTCATTATATTAATATTGTCCAGGTTTGGTAAATATTATAGCAATAATTATTTTAACCATTACATTTTTCCAGCCCCAAGAAGATGAGGATTCCACAGACACAGACAGTGATAAAGAGTTACAGGAAACACGGAAGCTAGTCACACAACAAAACAGAAAAAAGAAGAAATCTGGAGGTTTTCAGTCCATGGGTATGGCTATTAGTTTAAGATATTTGTATTATATTTGCCTTACTTTGAGGTAAGAAGGAACAGACACTGAATGCTTTCCCACCCTTAATTGATATATCAAACCATGGATATTTGGACACGATACTTCAGCCGGTTTTCCAAAATAGAGATACAGGTTATGTCAGTAAAGATGATGTGCATGGCCAATCAATGTTATGAAAGACCATCAGAATTCTAGTAGGGCCTTCATGGTTTCACCTCCCTGTAAGTCACATAATAATACAATTATAGTCAAAAATAAAATCAAACAGTTCTGAAAGAAATTTCTAGACTATCTATATTAATTTAACAAAACAACAAAATTTTTTTTTGTTTAAACACATCATTCATACTTTCCATTTTCCAGAGTAAGAAATACATGTAGCTACATACATATACACTTAAACTTTTATATATTATAACCAAATAGTGAATTGCAAGCATTTTCCTGACTAAGACACAGTTACAATATCAATAATTTTCTAGCACAGTAAAGAGTAATTATAATATGGTTAAATACAGCGTCTTTGCGAGACACACAAACATAATAAAACAAAAAACTCTCTTCTGTAGAATTTTATCACATCCTTATATCAATTACTTACGTTAATTATACCTATTCAAATTGCATTACCTTTGTTATTTGACAAACAGCACTTTACCTTGCACAGAAGATACATTCCTCTTTTATTTCTATATGTTCAATGCATCCTCATAACATGCCGTGGTAAACTGGTAAATAACGAAAGTGTACAAACTTTGGTATAACAAGGTCTTCACAACAGTTATTCAACCAATAATAGTTAGGTCTCGACATGACCGAAATCTCAGGACTTCATCTATTTGCTGCAAATTTTTATATCAAAATTGATTCTTTTTTACCTTTAGTAAAACCAGTTTGAGATTTGATCATATTTGGAAATATCAATTTAATTTTATTTGCTATTGCTGCATATATCAGATTTTCAACATATGTAAATCTATAACCTGTTTAGGTTTTTCTGAAAGGAAAAGATTATATGAATATAAAAGTTGTTTGCTTAATTTATTTAAAAAAATTCTGTTTTGAGTATGAAAATGTACATCAAGAAAAACTTCAACTCAAGTTGAGATTTTAAGAATTACACATATTCAACCAAACATGGTAGTGTTCAGTGATCTGAAATTGTAACAACATTATTTAGAGTGTGGTGATTTCACACACTACACATCAGTATTAAGATATTATTATTGTGGTCTGTTCAGGTTAAACAGACATCATGTTAAAAACATTAATTTGTTATTGATTGTATAAATGATAAATGTTTTTCCTAGCATTAAGTTACATATTTTCATCATATTGTAATAGGTGAATTCTTTTTTCATTGAGTTGGTAATGTATGTGAATGTTCTTATATCACAACCAGTTAAAAAATGTTTTTGTGACATTTCAATTAACACACTCTTACCTTCATCAGACAAATGACCAGTATGAAGCGTACATGCAATGAGGTATACAGTCAAGAAGATGACAATGAAATCACCAGATTTTTCAACTGTTTTATTGTATGTACATGTACGTACAAAAACATGTACTCGACCTTCCATCCAATTTAATGACCAGTACCTCTAAACAAAACCTGGAGCCCCAAGGTTGGATAGGTGTCTTACTGGAATAGCCTCAATGTGGAAAGTAGCAAGACAAGATTGCAATATGATTATAGAGAAAAAAAATCAAATTGGTGATATTCCATTTGTACTTTAGGTGATACAAAATGATTTGTATTTTTCAGGTTTCTGTCACCAGGTGTACACAGGTATAATACGAAAAGGCTACAAGATACCAACACCTATTCAAAGGAAGGTAAGACATTCAGACTGAAGAAAATCCTTCTGATTTCATTGATGGAAAAAACTTTTTGCTTCAAGATTTTGGAAAATCAGTGAAAGTATAAAGCATGAAAAAATTAAGAATTCCATTGTGTAATAATTTATATAATTCAGACAATCCCTCTGATTCTGGAGGGAAAAGATGTGGTTGCCATGGCCAGGACAGGAAGTGGAAAGACGGCTGCTTTCCTACTCCCAATGTTTGAAAAGCTGAAAATGCATACAGCCAAAGCTGGAGCAAGGGCACTGATATTGTCCCCTACAAGGGAATTAGCGCTACAGACCCTCAAGTTCACCAAAGAGGTAAAAATGATGAGTTGATTTAATTTCCAAACTCTTTTTATAATGTATTATGAATGCAATTGGTGTTATGTCCAATAACTCAATTTGGTCATGTGACCTTTACTTTGGCAACACGTGACCTTTACTTTGGCAACACCAATCTGCCTATGACAAGGTTGTCTGTGTTGTTTTTCTATTTTGATTTATTAAAATTATTTGCTAGACTGAAGGTATTTGTGGATACTTGTAAATACTCCAAAGGTGAAATAAAGATATCTATAATTTACCTGGTAAATCTTGATACTAAATATAGAAACATTCAGGGAAAACCTAATAATTTTTGATGTAGTAATATTTTGGAAAACATGATGATTATTGATGCTGTCTTATCCTATAAAAAACCCAGGAAATCTAGTGAATCTTGATTCTGCAGAAAAATTTTGGTTAATGTTGGTGTAATTTGACTGTACATGTAATTATATTTGAATCTTGAAACATTCAGGTGAACTGGATTTGGCATATTTCTATACATTATCGTCAACTGTTGTGTGAAAAATAAAGTTTAAGTCATTGACAACCTGACCACATCCAACTCCTAACTTATAACATTTATATAGACTGTTGTTATAAAGGAACTTACTACAATATTTTCTTTATAGCTTGGCAAGTTTACAGGTCTGAAGGCTGCGGTCATTCTGGGAGGTGATAAGTAAGTTATGTAAATGGTCTGTGTGTTTAGTTCGTCATCTGTCATAATTGCTCATCCATCCATCATTGAAGTACCTGATGAATCATTCTCGAAAATCTCACTAAGTTGTAGAGTCCCTTTGGTCTCTAGTTGTGTATGTAATTTATCCAGCTGAGTATAGATAATTGGTAACGGGATACTGTGTGGTTGGGCGACACTGTGGGGTCACAATCACTTATCACCTAGATACCTGTAGTTCAATTCCCCAGAGATGTGGGGTCAGCTTCCCAACCACACGTGTTTTTACTTGAGTACTCTGATATCCTCCCAAAATAAAATCACACACACTCTCATCAGTAGTGGTTTATGTAGGTTGTAATAACTTGTTCTGCAATCATTGTAAATAGATGTTTACATTATCCAACTGATTAACCACTAATCAAGATCATACAATGGTAGGTGCCAACATCCCAAGGATCTCTGGTTATTGTCTTGCAGTATAATGTAATGCAATCTTCTTGAATTTTCATTAGTGTCTTTTCTTTTCAGAATGGATGACCAATTTTCTTCGCTACATGAAAACCCTGATATGTAAGTACATATATTTATGTGCCAGTATGCCTCTGCTGTGAAATCTAAATTTCTCACAAATAGGAAGAAAATGTTTAATGGTAAGAGTAATGTGTTTCTAAAGAATTTATAGATATACCACATCAAACGTTCTGGTGCTAGAGGATACTTGATTGAACTTAAAATCACTTCTGTGTTTATTTTCTGTGTTGTTTCAGTATCATCGCCACGCCTGGACGATTACTTCATGTGTTGGTCGAGATGAACCTACGATTGATGAACGTTGAGTATGTAGTGTTTGACGAGGCTGACAGGTAAATACTTAACATATTTTTCAAAAATTATTCTTATTGTTTGGAACATATAACTATAGGGGAGATAGTATTTTAAATTAAAATATTAAGAACAAAAAGAAAGTCATCTCACTGTTGTTTACTGTCACAGAATTCCTGTAAACATCAAAACTGTTGTTTACTGTCACAGAATTCCTGTAAACATCAAAACTGTTGTTTACTGTCACAGAATTCCTGTAAACATCAAAACTGTTGTTTACTGTCACAGAATTCCTGTAAACATCACAACTGTTGTTTACTGTCACAGAAAGAAAGTCATGTAAATCTTGAAACTTGTTGTTTACTGTCCCAGAAAAAAGTCCATGAAATTTTTAATCCTGTTATTCACTGTCACAGAAAGACATGGCAGAAAACATTGACAGAAAGTCCAATAAACATCAAAATCTGCTGTTTATTGTCACAGAAATAAAGTACTGTATTGAACCCTGTCATTTACTGTAATCTGGCAGTGATTGTATTGTTGTGTTTGTATTGTGGCCGTGATTGTATTGTTGTGTTTGTATTGTGGCAGTGATTGTATTGTTGTGTTTGTATTGTGGCAGTGATTGTATTATTGTGTTTGTATTGTGGCAGTGATTGTATTGTTGTGTTTGTATTGTGGCAGTGATTGTATTGTTGTGTTTGTATTGTGGCAGTGATTGTATTGTGGCAGTGATTGTATTGTGGCAGTGTTTGTATTGTGGCAGTGATTGTATTATTGTGTTTGTATTGTGGCAGTGATTGTAATGTCGCAGTGATTGTATTGTTGTGATTGTATTGTGGCAGTGAATGTATTGTGGCAGTGATTGTATTGTTGTGTTTGTATTGTGGCCGTGATTGTATTGTTGTGTTTGTATTGTGGCAGTGTTTGTATTGTGGCAGTGATTGTATTGTTGTGTTTGTAATGTACTAAAACATTCCACCTCTTTATATCTTGATTGACTTATTATTTCACCAGATTGTTTGAGATGGGATTCCAAGAACAACTCCTCGAGATTATACACCGTCTGCCTGAGTCTCGCCAAACTCTGCTTTTCTCTGCCACCCTCCCCAAACTGTTGGTTGACTTTGCCAAGGCCGGTCTCCATGACCCAACTCTCTTAAGACTTGATGTGGAAACGAAGCTTAGCAACCAGTTAGAGGTCAGACGTTATGATGTAATCTCCAGGGATCAATATGAATCTTTAAATTCTAAATTGTTTTATGCCGTATTAAATATGCTTTTTTCCACTGACTATTGCCACTTGCTGTAAGAACTTCTTTGAATTCTGAAATGTCACACAGATTTATCATGTAGCATGGCCTCATGATTATAATTGATGCAGAAAGTTGACCATAGCAGATATCCAACAGTTTGCCTTGAATTGATAGCAAGAAATTAAGACATGGTAATTCCTAACTTGAAAAATGTCAATTGACATAGATAGGTTGTCAATACTTGGATTATATTTTCATATTTTGTGTAACATTTTCCACACTTAACATTTCCTCAGAAAGCTTGCTTTTTTGTCCTCCCACCCCCCCCCCCCCCCTGAATTTACAGTCATTTGTTTTTCCTCATTGTTTTTTCACTGTCATGGTTGATTTTCCAGATGTCATTTTTTCATTGCCGAGAAGACGACAAATCAGCCTTGTTATTACATATACTGAAGAATGTAATAGTGGAGGAGAGACAAAGTGTGATATTTGTAGCTACTAAACATCACGTGGAATACCTCAATTTGGTGAGTTAACCATTACAAACTACAAAGACCAGGTGTTTCTGAAGAGTAGGCATCTGATCAATCCAAGTTAGAAATGTCACATTCTCAAATGCAAACAAGGACAACAAAAGAACCAACAGGCAAACTAACGAGTATCAAATACGTCATGTAAACTTTGGTTGATCCAAGTAAGAAATGTCACGTTCTCAAATAAGAACAAGGTATATAACAACAAAGGTACCAACAGGCAAACTAACGAGTATCAAATACGTCGTGTAAACTTTGGTCGATCCAAGTAAGAAATGTCACGTTCTCAAATAAGAACAAGGTATATAACAACAAAGGTACCAACAGGCAAACTAACGAGTATCAAATACGTCGTGTAAACTTTGGTCGATCCAAGTAAGAAATGTCACGTTCTCAAATAAGAACAAGGTATATAACAACAAAGGTACCAACAGGCAAACTAACGAGTATCAAATACGTCGTGTAAACTTTGGTCGATCCAAGTAAGAAATGTCACGTTCTCAAATAAGAACAAGGTATATAACAACAAAGGTACCAACAGGCAAACTAACGAGTATCAAATACGTCGTGTAAACTTTGGTCGATCCAAGTAAGAAATGTCATGTTCTCAAATAAGAACAAGGTGTATAACAACAAAGGTACCAACAGGCAAACTAACGAGTATCAAATACGTCGTGTAAACTTTGGTCGATCCAAGTAAGAAATGTCATGTTCTCAAATAAGAACAAGGTATATAACAACAAAGGTACCAACAGGCAAACTATCACACAAAGAAATGAGGTCTTCAAGACAATTGGGATTCAGCAACGATTACTTAAAGTATGTGTAATTTATCTTATAACTAAGTATCCTATAACACAGTTTATTAGTACTTCCAGTAACTCTAACGGTGCTGTAACTAAGCCTGTGTAATTTATCCTATAACACAGTTTATTAGTACTTCCAGTACCGCTAACTCTACTGTAACTAAGCCTGTGTGATTTATCCTATAACACAGTTTTTTTAGTACTTCCAGTACCTCTAACTGTACTGTAACATTTCTTCTCCAGCTACTAGAGAAAGCTGGTATCAGCTCCACCTACATCTATAGCTCTTTGGACCAGACTGCTCGTAAAATCAACATTGCCAAGTTTCAACTGAAGAAAGTGAAGGTTCTTTTGGTGACGGATCTTGCGGCTCGAGGAATAGACATTCCACTGCTGGACAATGTGATTAACTACAACTTTCCAGCCAAGTCTAAACTGTTTGTGCATCGAGTTGGTAAGAATGGAGATCATATAATAATATCGAGTGGATCATATCCAACAGTTACACCAACAAGGACAGCTTTCCTCCAAACTGTATGATAAACATGATGATTTTGTTTCCCTATTTTAAATTTTATATTTCTAAATATATTGTTATAATCTGTAGTAAGAATATGTTCTGTACTAACAGGTAACAGGTATTGTGTCTGTTTCTGTAATCAGTATCGTGACACATCATCAAATTATGACAAAAAGTTTTAAACAGTTTCTAACTGTGACTTATTAAAAATTTTCTGAAATCACACAGAAATTACTAAAAAGAAAGTATCCAGACACCTCAAGCATGGTTTATTCATTGTTGTTAAATAAATGAATTTTACAAACACTTTTACATCTGTCACACATGGATGATGTCATTTCTTTAATTAGAGTTGTGATAAACATCAGTCCTCATGTCATTTTACTTTCTTGCTTCCCCTGAAAAACGTCTTTTGATCATGATTGTTTTGATTAAATGGTAAGACATGGCTAATACAGTTGACAAGGTCTAAACAAAAATGATTTAGGAGCATTCTCCCTGTGTACAAGTTTTGAAATATTTTTACCTACTTGACAAGTTGTTGGTGACTCTCTTTGAATTAAGGTCGTGTTGCGAGAGCTGGTCGGAGTGGGACAGCCTTTTCCCTGGTGGCTCAAGATGAGGTTCCATACCTGATAGATCTACATGTGTTCCTAGGCAGGCCACTCAAGGTTGTCTCTCAACAGACAGGCAAAGGTCAGAGTTCAGAGAACATTGTTCAATAACGATTAGTACAAAAATAATGATACTGCTATCTTGTACAAATGACAGCTGTTTTTCATATTTTTCTTTGTTGTTTATTTTCAAGATGAGGATGGTCTCTATGGCAGTGTTCCTCAGACTGTTGCCGATGAGATGAGCGAAAAGATCCGTATCTGGACATCACAGTCTATTGACTTGGTTTGTATCCATTTTATGGAGCTAACTCTAGATCCACACTGATTTTAATCTCTCTAGATCCACACTTGTTTTAATCTCTCTAGATCCATGCTGATTTTAATCTCTCTAGATCCACGTTGATTTTAATCTCTCTAGATCCACACTTATTTTAATCTCTCTAGATCCACACTGATTTTAATCTCTCTAGATCCACACTTGTTTTAATCTCTCTAGATCCATGCTGATTTTAATCTCTCTAGATCCACGTTGATTTTAATCTCTCTAGATCCACACTTATTTTAATCTCTCTAGATCCACACTGATTTTAATCTCTCTAGATCCACACTTGTTTTAATCTCTCTAGATCCACACTAATTTTAATCTCTCTAGATCCACGTTGATTTTAATCTCTCTAGATCCACACTTATTTTAATCTCTCTAGATCCACACTAATTTTAATCTCTCTAGATCCACACTGATTTTAATCTCTCTAGATCCACAATGCCGATTACAGACATTTCCAGTCACCGATGACTGTATAGAGAAAAATCACTGGCGTTTAACTTATTTGTAACGAGTGACACAGGTAAATTTTTCTCCGACATCGTTGTGTACTACACGGTCACCGCTGACGGACTCCCGCAGCTGGGGCAAAATACAAAATACCACATACTAATTTACCTGTATGAATATTGGGACAACTTCCCTTACCTGTTAAAACAACACTGCAGTCCCTTACTGTTATAACAACACACAGGATTTCGGGACAAACAGGATTTATAAATTTTCAGTTTTGGGACAAACAGGATTAAACCAGGTCAGCTATCGGAACGCTTTTGTGTTTTGACAGAAACGTTTACCTGTCTAAACAGCAACACGCCTGTATCCAATGATGTCTCCATTGTCTCAATCCGGGATAGCCTCTGCCGTGAACAATAAGGTAAGTTAGCTGAAGGAAAGATGTTTTATCGGGAATTGGCTTACGGTAGGTCGATCATTAGGTGTGTCGATGTCGTTAATTGGGCACGAGTTTGTGATTTCTGCAGTCATAACTTAGTAAACTAGTGTATTTGAAAGGGCCCGAAATAGGCTTCTTAACGTTTTTGATCGACTATTAAAATAGCAAGAAACACAAGATATAATTTTGTTGTTTTTACACTAGGTTGCCGATTTTGTTTTATATTTTTGTACATATTTTGGTCACATCAGATTTGGCCCTTCACTAAGATAGATCGTTAGATGAAATGGGAAAACGTAAACTCCCCTTTAGTGATAGGGATGGGAAAGTACCCAGATTGTCATCATTTGGTTTTAAGACACCATCTATTGAAAAGAAAATGACAGCCCTGATCAGGTTACTAACAAGGGCAGTAGTTCAAGAAAGTTTCTAGATAGTTGGAAAATTGGCAGGCCATGGCTAAAATATGACCCAGAGCAAAAGCTCATGTTTTGTGACATATGTATTAAGGCATTAGTTAGAAATAGTTTCACTGATGACTGCAGTAAGAAAGAGTGCTTGGTTAAGCATGAGAAAGGATCAGGTATATACAACTATTCATCATTTATGTAAATTTAGATTAAGTAATTCAGAAATACTATACAGCCTGGAGGATGGTACAATGTAGTTACTCATTACAGCCTGCTTGGCACATGAATTAGAAACACAATCTTTTAGTTTAACGATTATGTCTTTATTATCTCTGAAATGTTTTTAAGAGATATATTACTTAGGAAGTTACTGTAATAAGTATAATACTTTGATGGTGTAAAATAAGGTTCAATGTAATCCTGTATCTCTCTGCAAATGTCCAATTCTATTCTAAATTTTATTTTCAATTTTACAGATGAGAACTCTCACTCTGCTGCTTTGGCAACACAACAGCAAACTGTCGAGATGCAGAAGGCCTGTAATAATTCCATGTTTATAAACTCTTTTACCATATACTGTATTATGTTTGATGTATTGTTGTTAAAACAGTGAATAAATAATGTAATTATATAATTAGCATATGTGTTATTATTATATGAGGGAATTAAGGGATCGGGTGAGGGTGAGTTTCTTGCACGCTTATAGCAAAAAAAATTTGGTTTGGCGAAACTGAATTTTGACCCAGAGCTAGCCCTGTGTGTGAAAATAAACTAACCATCCTCACATGTAAATCTTCTGTGTACAAAAAGGATTTTGTCACCTGATTTCAAATTTCATTTCAGGAAAACCTTAAGCAGGTCTGTTTGAATGCCCAGAAGAAGTATGTGAAATCCCGTCAAGCACCTGCAACTGAGTCTTTGAAACGTTTTAAAGAATTAAATCGTAATGGTGTGATTCCTGGAGTTCACCCTATATTTGGTAAGTTCAATGGTTAGAGTTTTATCAGTAAGAAATCTTTTGATCATGGACAAAATTTCAAAGGCAGTTAATCTACATTTTCAAACATTAATAAACCAAATACATGAAGTCAGAATTATCTGATTTTTTCAAAACAGTTGAAGTGACCAATGACCAAAAAAAAGTTTCAGGCCATGTACAAGATACAAGAATGTTTAGTTCTTATTAAACAACGATCATAATCTTGAAAGAGCTTGTATGTCAACAAAAACTAATCATTTATAAGAAAGGCTGCTTCTATTCAAAGTGATAATCAATTTAATGGCACAATTATTGTTCTATTTAATAAATTTAACCTCAGAAGAGGTGAATGAAGTCTGATATCATTGTATATAATAAACTTTACACCTAGGAGAGCTGAGTGAATTCTGATATCATTGTATATAATAAACTTTACCCCTAGGAGAGCTGAGTGAAGTCTGATATCATTGTATATAATAAACTTTACCCCTAGGAGAGCTGAGTGAAGTCTTATATCATTGTATATAATAAACTTTACCCCTAGGAGAGCTGAGTGAAGTCTGATATCATTGTATATAATAAACTTTACCCCTAGGAGAGCTGAGTGAAGTCTGATATCATTGTATATAATAAACTTTACCCCTAGGAGAGCTGAGTGAAGTCTGATATCATTGTATATAATAAACTTTACCCCTAGGAGAGCTGAGTGAAGTCTGATATCATTGTATCTAATAAACTTTACCCCTAGGAGAGCTGAGTGAAGACTCGGAGATGGAGCGTATCAACCTACTGAATTCACTCAAGACCTACAAGAGTAATAGTGTAAGTATGTAAGGAACTTTTAGACTAAAGGAGACAAGGTGACCTTTGAACTCAAGGGTACTATTTCCATTATTATATTTATATTATATATTTTATTGTATTATCTTAGGTTTTATCAGAAAATATTGTAAATCATGATTCTAAATATTACCAGAATAAAAAAAACTTGTAATCTGCCATCATCAGATTAAGGTTGTCCATAATACAGCAGCTGTCTTTCATCCCGAGTAGCCATTTTAGATTCTTACAGGTTAGTTTGTTTCTGTATTTCTTAAAAAGCTCTAGATGGCATCTCAAGTTTCCTATGTGGGTATTCCTTGTTTTCTAGATGTATTTGTGCATTTTTGGTTTGAACTGAAAACAAAAATAGGCACCAGGCAGCCAATTTTAGGTCATCAGACCCAAAGGGTCAAGACCTATAACTATCATGCTTCATCCATTGTGGTGTGCTCCTGCTTAATGCCTGGGCAGAATTCAATAAGAAAATTAAAGTATGCAATACACAGAAATTCCAACACCTGTTAAAAAATTATATACTGAATGAAAGAAACACTGTAGATAATGAAACTTTTTGATATCTGTTTTTCAGACAATTTTTGAAGTTAATGCCACAGCAAAGACGCAAGCATTTTCTGTGATGAAATCAAAGAGAGGCTGGCATCAGAATGTGATAGAACGCAAGACTGAAAATATATCAGCCTTCAAGCAGAAATCACTGGAAAAATCAGCAGTTGAGAGGCAGCAAATACAGGAAACAGTGGAGGACAAAGAACTAGAGGTGCATTATGGGATAGACATGTGACTTAGATTTCAACTTATTGTATCAGGAGTTGAGAATAGTATAGGGTAGATCAAAAAGTCAAAATAAACTACAGGGTACAATCTTAGGCAAAGTGAAAAAAAACCCTATTACATCAAAATCTGATCACTGAAATCATGGAAAACTGAAGAAATAATTACAGAGTTTGCATTAAACTGAAATTAAAGAAAATTATAATTTTGTTCACATCCAATCTCAGAAATATTTTTATAAATGATTTTACTACTGACAAAAGGATACAAACTGGCAAAGATTGATATATATTTATTGTGTAAATCTTGATTTTTTTCTAATTAGCTTAAATTCTTTTTTCGACATTCTAACTTTTGAAAATATCAGACTGCGTTTTCCAAAGTAATTGGAGGAAAAGCAAGTCAACGATCCTTCACACCAAAGAAGAAAAAACGCAAGTTTGTTGAAATAAAGGATGAAGAGAATTACCTCCATTATCGTCCTGCTGATTTCCAGTCAGAGCGAGGGTAGGTCATATATAGTTACACTAGAATTCTATACCGGTAGGGTCAATGTCACCACAGGTAGGTAATGTATAGTTACACTAGAATTCTATACCGGTAGGGTCAATGTCACCACAGGTAGGTAATGTATAGTTACACTAGAATTCTGTACCGGTAGGGTCAATATCACCACAGGTAGGTAATGTATAGTTACACTAGAATTTTATACCGGTAGGGTCAATATCACCACAGGTAGGTAATGTATAGTTACACTAGCATTCTATACTGGTAGGGTCAATGTCACCACAGGTAGGTCATGTATAGTTACACTAGAATTCTGTACAGGTAGGGTCAATGTCACTACAGGTAAGTCATGTATAGTTACATTAGAATTCTACAGAAGAAGATTCATGGAATAGAACAGGTTATATCTATAAAGGTTCTCAATGCACACCTAAACACCAACATAATCATTAATACTTCTCAAATGCCTGTAGGTTCATTAGATAAATCTCATCATTCCCTCCCTTGCATCTGGATTGGTGCTCTCCCTTGTTTGCTTGTTTGGTGCTCTCCCTTGTATCTGGGTTTGGTGCTCTCCCTTGTTTCCTTGTTTGGTGCTCTGCCTTGTTTCCTGGTTTGGTGCTCTCCCTTGTTTCCTTGTTTGGTGCTCTCCCTTGTTTCCTTGTTTGGTGCTCTCCCTTGTATCTGGGTTTGGTGCTCTCCCTTGTTTCCTTGTTTGGTGCTCTCCCTTGTTTCCTTGTTTGGTGCTCTCCCTTGTTTCCTTGTTTGGTGCTCTGCCTTGTTTCCTGGTTTGGTGCTCTCCCTTGTTTCCTGGTTTGGTGCTCTCCCTTGTTTCCTTGTTTGGTGCTCTCCCTTGTTTCCTTGTTTGGTGCTCTCCCTTGTTTCCTTGTTTGGTGATCTCCCTTGTTTCCTTGTTTGGTGATCTCCCTTATTTCCTTGTTTGGTGTTCTCCCTTGTTTCCTTGTTTGGTGCTCTCCCTTGTTTCCTTGTTTGGTGCTCTCCCTTGTATCTGGGTTTGGTGCTCTCCCTTGTTTCCTTGTTTGGTGCTCTCCCTTTTTTCCTGGTTTGGTGCTCTCCCTTGTTTCCTGGTTTGGTGATCTCCCTTATTTCCTTGTTTGGTGATCTCCCTTATTTCCTTGTTTGGTGCTCTCCCTTGTTTCCTTGTTTGGTGATCTCCCTTATTTCCTTGTTTGGTGATCTCCCTTATTTCCTTGTTTGGTGCTCTCCCTTGTTTCCTTGTTTGGTGCTCTCCCTTGTATCTGGGTTTGGTGCTCTCCCTTGTTTCCTTGTTTGGTGCTCTGCCTTGTTTCCTGGTTTGGTGCTCTCCCTTGTTTCCTTGTTTGGTGCTCTCCCTTGTTTCCTTGTTTGGTGCTCTCCCTTGTATCTGGGTTTGGTGCTCTCCCTTGTTTCCTTGTTTGGTGATCTCCCTTGTTTCCTTGTTTGGTGCTCTCCCTTGTTTCCTTGTTTGGTGCTCTGCCTTGTTTCCTGGTTTGGTGCTCTCCCTTGTTTCCTGGTTTGGTGCTCTCCCTTGTTTCCTTGTTTGGTGCTCTCCCTTGTTTCCTTGTTTGGTGCTCTCCCTTGTTTCCTGGTTTGGTGTTCTCCCTTGTTTCCTTGTTTGGTGCTCTCCCTTGTTTCCTTGTTTGGTGCTCTCCCTTGTATCTGGGTTTGGTGCTCTCCCTTGTTTCCTTGTTTGGTGCTCTCCCTTGTTTCCTGGTTTGGTGCTCTCCCTTGTTTCCTGGTTTGGTGATCTCCCTTATTTCCTTGTTTGGTGATCTCCCTTATTTCCTTGTTTGGTGCTCTCCCTTGTTTCCTTGTTTGGTGATCTCCCTTATTTCCTTGTTTGGTGATCTCCCTTATTTCCTTGTTTGGTGCTCTCCCTTGTTTCCTTGTTTGGTGCTCTCCCTTGTATCTGGGTTTGGTGCTCTCCCTTGTTTCCTTGTTTGGTGCTCTCCCTTGTTTCCTTGTTTGGTGCTCTCCCTTGTTTCCTTGTTTGGTGCTCTCCCTTGTTTCCTGGTTTGGTGCTCTCCCTTGTTTCCTGGTTTGGTGCTCTCCCTTGTTTCCTTGTTTGGTGATCTCCCTTATTTCCTTGTTTGGTGATCTCCCTTATTTCCTTGTTTGGTGCTCTCCCTTGTTTCCTTGTTTGGTGCTCTCCCTTGTATCTGGGTTTGGTGCTCTCCCTTGTTTCCTGGTTTGGTGCTCTCCCTTGTTTCCTGGTTTGGTGCTCTCCCTTGTTTCCTTGTTTGGTGCTCTCCCTTGTTTCCTTGTTTGGTGCTCTCCCTTGTTTCCTTGTTTGGTGATCTCCCTTATTTCCTTGTTTGGTGCTCTCCCTTGTTTCCTTGTTTGGTGATCTCCCTTATTTCCTTGTTTGGTGATCTCCCTTATTTCCTTGTTTGGTGCTCTCCCTTGTTTCCTTGTTTGGTGCTCTCCCTTGTATCTGGGTTTGGTGCTCTCCCTTGTTTCCTTGTTTGGTGCTCTCCCTTGTTTCCTTGTTTGGTGCTCTCCCTTGTTTCCTTGTTTGGTGCTCTCCCTTGTTTCCTTGTTTGGTGCTCTCCCTTGTTTCCTGGTTTGGTGCTCTCCCTTGTTTCCTGGTTTGGTGCTCTCCCTTGTTTCCTTGTTTGGTGATCTCCCTTGTTTCCTTGTTTGGTGATCTCCCTTATTTCCTTGTTTGGTGCTCTCCCTTGTTTCCTTGTTTGGTGCTCTCCCTTGTATCTGGGTTTGGTGCTCTCCCTTGTTTCCTTGTTTGGTGCTCTCCCTTGTTTCCTGGTTTGGTGCTCTCCCTTGTTTCCTTGTTTGGTGCTCTCCCTTATTTCCTTGTTTGGTGATCTCCCTTATTTCCTTGTTTGGTGCTCTCCCTTGTTTCCTTGTTTGGTGATCTCCCTTGTATCTGGGTTTGGTGCTCTCCCTTGTTTCCTTGTTTGGTGCTCTCCCTTGTTTCCTTGTTTGGTGCTCTCCCTTGTATCTGGGTTTGGTGATCTCCCTTATTTCCTTGTTTGGTGCTCTCCCTTGTTTCCTTGTTTGGTGATCTCCCTTGTTTCCTTGTTTGGTGCTCTCCCTTGTTTCCTAGTTCCTTCTCACTTGGAAATCTACACTTTCCTTGAAGAACTAAAACTTTTCCACATTTAATCGGGCAGATATGGCAATTTCATTTCGCAGCCTTGGAAAATAATGGTACATATCCATGGTTGGCCTATGTTTCATGATGTACATAATAATAAAATCATGGCCATTTTCCTTCTATTAGTCTTAATTCTTGTGCTGATTAGATCAGGGTCAGGGTTAGATAAACTGAAGGGGTAGGGTTAGATAAACTGAAGGGGTAGGGTTAGATAAACTGAAGGGGTAGGGTTAGATAAACTGAAGGGGTAGGGTTAGATAAACTGAAGGGGTAGGGTTAGATAAACTGAAGGGGTAGGGTTAGATAAACTGAAGGGTCAGGGTTAGATAAACTGAAGGGGTAGGGTTAGATAAACTGAAGGGGTAGGGTTAGATAAACTGAAGGGGTAGGGTTAGATAAACTGAAGGGGTAGGGTTAGATAAACTGAAGGGGTAGGGTTAGATAAACTGAAGGGGTAGGGTTAGATAAACTGAAGGGGTAGGGTTAGATAAACTGAAGGGGTAGGGTTAGGGGGGTTTAGATAAACTGAAGGGGTAGGGTTAGATAAACTGAAGGGGTAGGGTTAGATAAACTGAAGGGGTAGGGTTAGATAAACTGAAGGGGTAGGGTTAGATAAACTGAAGGGGTAGGGTTAGATAAACTGAAGGGGTAGGGTTAGATAAACTGAAGGGGTAGGGTTAAAAACTGAAGGGGGGTTAGATAAACTGAAGGGGTAGGGTTAGATAAACTGAAGGGGTAGGGTTAGATAAACTGAAGGGGTAGGGTTAGATAAACTGAAGGGGTAGGGTTAGATAAACTGAAGGGGTAGGGTTAGATAAACTGAAGGGGTAGGGTTAGGTAAACTGAAGGGGTAGGGTTAGATAAACTGAAGGGGTAGGGTTAGATAAACTGAAGGGGTAGGGTTAGATAAACTGAAGGGGTAGGGTTAGATAAACTGAAGGGGTAGGGTTAGATAAACTGAAGGGGTAGGGTTAGATAAACTGAAGGGGTAGGGTTAGATAAACTGAAGGGGTAGGGTTAGATAAACTGAAGGGGTAGGGTTAGATAAACTGAAGGGGTAGGGTTAGATAAACTGAAGGGGTAGGGTAGATAAACTGAAGGGGTAGGGTTAGATAAACTGAGGGGTAGGGTTAGATAAACTGAAGGGGTAGGGTTAGATAAACTGAAGGGGTAGGGTTAGATAAACTGAAGGGGTAGGGTTAGATAAACTGAAGGGGTAGGGTTAGATAAACTGAAGGGGTAGGGTTAGATAAACTGAAGGGGTAGGGTTAGATAAACTGAAGGGGTAGGGTTAGATAAACTGAAGGGGTAGGGTTAGATAAACTGAAGGGGTAGGGTTAGATAAACTGAAGGGGTAGGGTTAGATAAACTGAAGGGGTAGGGTTAGATAAACTGAAGGGGTAGGGTTAGATAAACTGAAGGGGTAGGGTTAGATAAACTGAAGGGGTAGGGTTAGATAAACTGAAGGGGTAGGGTTAGATAAACTGAAGGGGTAGGGTTAGATAAACTGAAGGGGTAGGGTTAGATAAACTGAGGGTTAGATAAACTGAAGGGGTAGGGTTAGATAAACTGAAGGGGTAGGGTTAGATAAACTGAAGGGGTAGGGTTAGATAAACTGAAGGGGTAGGGTTAGATAAACTGAAGGGGTAGGGTTAGATAAACTGAAGGGGTAGGGTTAGATAAACTGAAGGGGTAGGGTTAGATAAACTGAAGGGGTAGGGTTAGATAAACTGAAGGGGTAGGGTTAGATAAACTGAAGGGGTAGGGTTAGATAAACTGAAGGGGTAGGGTTAGGTAAAATGAAGGGTTAGGGTAAGATAAACTGAAGGGGTAGGGTTAGATAAACTGAAGGAGTAGGGTTAGGTAAAATGAAGGGTTAGGGTAAGATAAAATTAAGGATTAAGATAAGATAAAATCAAGGGTTAGGATAAGATAAAATGAAGGGTTAGGGTAAAATCAATTTTGCATCATATATTTGTACAGACAAACTGGTCAACATGGACCTATAGATTTTCCCACAGTAGAACTTTGTAGTAATTTTTTCATGACCTCTTTCATGGCATAGTATGCTGCTTCAGTTAGAAATTTTAATTTCAAAATTCTGTCAGAATATTACTTCTTTTTATGGCATTTCACAAATCAAATGCTTCCAGAAACATTTTTAAATCTTCTGTTTGGAAAAATAAAGTAAAAGTGATGGAAGATAAGTTGTACATCTGATTATTGTTACAGGTTCAGTCTCGGCTCAACGTTTGATAAAGAGACTTCAGCTGTCCAGTTTGACATAGCAGGAGACGATGATGATGCTGTCAAGAAACTCAAGACTTCTGTACGATGGTAAGATATATCGGTACATGCTTAAAAAAATAAAGAAAATACAGACACATCAACAGAATCACAACTCTAACTTTATTTGATAAAATTAGAGCAAAATTTGAACAAAACGAAGATTTACATGAAAACCCTTGAAAAGGCACAAGGAGAACAAGAATTTGTGTACAACAAGGTTAATGTTATCTGATTCATAGACGACTTCAGCTTGGAAAGATTGGTCAATCCAAGGAGGCTGTGTCACAGACCCAGGGTTCATATAAATGTATGGAATCATATGTGTATTAGTTATATGAACTGATATAGAATCAGAGACTAAGTAACCAACACCTCTTTGATGTTTCTACGATGCAAGGGATTAAGAGAATATGATTTCAATGTTTATATTGTTATTTCTGAGAGAGAGAGAGAAAATAGGACTGAGAGAACAAAATTTCTATTTTTCTTTCAAATTAATGTGTTTATTGTTTCAGGGACAGAAAGAAAAAGAAGTTTGTGAGGGATGATAGCAACGACCCAAAGAAAAAGAAGATAAGAACTGAGAGTGGGGCGTGGATTCCCGCCTCCTACAAGTCTAATGCATATCCTTTATACCTCATAGTTTCTAGACTGACAATGATGTTGTATTGTCAGTACAATGATGTTGTATTGTCAGTACAATGATGTTGTATTGTCAGTACAATGTTGTATTGTCAGTACAATGATGTTGTATTGTCAGTACAATGATGTTGTATTGTCAGTACAATGATGTAGTATTGTCAGTACAATGATGTTGTATTGTCTGTACAATGTGTATTGTCAGTACAATGATGTTGTATTGTCTGTGTAATGATGTTGTATTGTCTGTACACAATGATGTTGTATTGTCTGTGTAATGATGTTATATTGTCTGTACAATGATGTTGTATTGTCAGTACACTGATGTTGTATTGTCTGTACAATTGATGTTGTATTGTCAGAACAATGATGTTGTATTGTCTGTACAATGATGTTGTATTGTCTGTACAATGATGTTGTATTGTCAGTACAATGATGAAGTATTGTCTGTACAAGGATGTTGGATTGTCAGTACAATGATGTTGTATATCTGTACAATGATGTAGTATTGTCAGTACAATGATGTTGTATATCTGTACAATGATGTATTGTCAGTACAATGATGTTGTATATCTGTACAATGACGTAGTATTGTCAGTACAATGATGTTGTATATCTGTACAATGATGTTGTATTGTCTGTACAATGTTGTTGTATTGTCAGTACAATGATGTATTGTCAGTACAATGTTGTATTGTCTGTACAATGATGTTGTATTGTACAATGATGTTGTATATCTGTACAATGATGTTGTATTGTCAGTACAGTGATGTTGTATTGTCAGTACAATGATGTTGTATTGTCAGTACAATGATATTGTCAGTACAATGATGTTGTATTGTCACTAGAAGGATGTTGTATTGTCAGTACAATGATGTTGTATATCTGTACAATGATGTTGTATTGTCAGTACAAGGATGTTGAATTGTCAGTACAATGATGTTGTATATCTGTACAATGAAGTTGTATTGTCAGTACAATGTTGTATTATCTGTATAATGATGTTGTATTGTACAATGATGTTGTATATCTGTACAATGATGTAGTATTGTCTGTACAATGTTGTATTGTCAGTACAATGATGTTGTATTGTCAGTACAATGATGTAGTATTGTCAGTACAATGATGTTGTATATCTGTACAATGATGTAGTATTGTCAGTACAATGATGTTGTATTGTCAGTACAATGATGTTGTATTGTCTGTACAATGACGTAGTATTGTCAGTACAATGATGTTGTATATCTGTACAATGATGTAGTATTGTCTGTACAATGTTGTTGTATATCTGTACAATGATGTTGTATTGTACAATGATGTTGTATATCTGTACAATGATGTTGTATTGTCAGTACAATGATGTAGTATTGTCTGTACAATGATGTTGTATTGTCAGTACAATGTTGTATTGTCTGTACAATGATGTTGTATTGTACAATGATGTTGTATATCTGTACAATGATGTAGTATTGTCAGTACAATGATGTTGTATATCTGTACAATGATGTTGTATTGTACAATGATGTTGTATTGTCAGTACAATGATGTAGTATTGTCAGTACAATGATGTTGTATTGTCTGTACAATGTGTATTGTCAGTACAATGATGTTGTATTGTCTGTGTAATGATGTTGTATTGTCAGTACAATGATGTTGTGTATCTGTACAATGGTGTTGTATTGTCTGTACAATGATGTTGTATTGTCAGTACAATGATGTTGTATTTTCTGTACAATGATGTTGTATTGTCAGTACAATGATGTTGTATTGTCTGTACAATGATGTTGTATTGTCAGTACAATGATGTTGTATTGTCTGTACAATGATGTTGTATTGTCAGTACAATGATGTTGTATTGTCTGTACAATGATGTTGTATATCTGTACAATGATGTAGTATTGTCAGTACAAGGATGTTGAATTGTCAGTACAATGATGTTGTATATCTGTACAATGATGTTGTATTGTCAGTACAATGATGTTGTATTGTCAGTACAATGATGTTGTATATCTGTACAATGATGTTGTATTGTCAGTACAATGATGTTGTATATCTGTACAATGATGTAGTATTGTCAGTACAAGGATGTTGAATTGTCAGTACAATGATGTTGTATATCTGTACAATGATGTAGTATTGTCAGTACAAGGATGTTGAATTGTCAGTACAATGATGTTGTATATCTGTACAATGATGTTGTATTGTCAGTACAATGATGTTGTATATCTGTACAATGATGTTGTATATCTGTACAATGATGTTGTATTGTCAGTACAATGATGTTGTATTGTCTGTACAATGACGTAGTATTGTCTGTACAATGATGTAGTATTGTCTGTACAAGGATGTTGTATTGTCTGTACAATGATGTTGTATTGTCAGTACAATGATGTTGTATATCAGAACAATGATGTTGTATTGTCAGTACAAGGATGTTGTATTGTCTGTACAATGATGTTGTATTGTCAGTACAAGGATGTTGTATATCTGTACAATGATGTTGTATTGTCAGTACAAGGATGTTGTATTGTCTGTACAACGATGTTGTATTGTCAGTACAATGATGTTGTATATCTGTACAATGACGTAGTATTGTCTGTACAATGTTGTATTGTCAGTACAATGATGTATTGTCAGTACAATGATGTAGTATTGTCAGTACAATGATGTTTTATTGTCAGTACAATGATATTGTATTGTCTGTATAATGATGTTGTATTGTCTGTACAATGATTTTGTATTGTCAGTACAATGATGTAGTATTGTCAGTACAATGTTGTATTGTCTGTACACAATGACGTAGTATTGTCCGTACAATGATGTTGTATTGTCAGTACAATGATGATGTATTGTCTGTACACAATGACGTAGTATTGTCCGTACAATGATGTTGTATTGTCAGTACAATGATGATGTATTGTCTGTACAATGATGTAGTATTGTCTGTACAATGTTGTATTGTCAGTACAATGATGATGTATTGTCTGTACAATGATGTAGTATTGTCTGTACAATGACGTAGTATTGTCAGTACAAGGATGTTGTATTGTCAGTACAATGGCGTATTGTCAGTACAATGATGTTGTATTGTCAGTACAATGACGTAGTATTGTCAGTACAATGATGTTGTATTGTCAGTACAATGACGTAGTATTGTCAGTACAATGATGTTGTAAAATATTTATGCTGATTTTGTACTGATGCTGTACTGTGGCAGTGTAACATTGTACTTATATCTGGTTTTTCCAACCTTGCTGAAAGATTTTCGGCACAGCGCTTACTAAAGAATAGAGAAGATTGAAGATTGAAAAAACAAAAAGTAAATCTATCGCTGGTTTTGTTTGTTAGTTACCTCAGAGTTATGTCATTTGTACATTTGCATTCTTTGCTTGATAAAGGAAGCTGACATTTTTGAAAACTCACAATGTACCGTTTGGTATTGCTATTTGCACTTATATATATCTATATCAATTTTATGAATCTGATTTCAAGATATTTCCTACACAGGCTTCTTAAAGCCAAAATTTGTTTCAGTTTTATTATTTCTTTCTGCCTCAACTGCTTAGTGAGAAAGTCCTTGAACCTTAATTTAAATGTTGTTGTCCTTAACGTGTCTTACATACAAGGAATGGCAGAATAAAAACAAAGTAGACGATGCGGAGATCGATCACAGTGATGACGACGACGATAAACAAAAGAGCAATCATATCAAGGTTCTAGGAGGCAAGGGCAGGAAGTGTAAGTATAATACAGCTTGCCGTGTTGTAACCTTGTAAAAATAAAATCAACAAGCCAGAAGTCACGGTTTTTGATCCCTTGTAGAGATATTAAAAGAAGTAATGATCTCGTTTACACCTGCCAGAAATCAGTTTTATCCAGGTCTCCATCATAAAGAGTAGTACAATATAGAATTTATGCAATAAATACTTTTTATTTTCCAAGGTTTCAATAGATTAAATACCCCTTTGATGCATGACAATGATTTTAATAGAATACTGTAAACTGTATATTCTACAACCATGAACATTTGTTAAGAATGTCAAATTTCTCAACACTGGAACGTTTGTAATCATAAATGATATTTTAATTCGGATTGATTAAATTAACCAAAGCAGTGTACTATTCAGGCAAACAAACTTCTGAAATTCTCTTCAAATCGGCCAAATCACTTGGTTCAAAGGGTAAATGGTCTATGAGAGTTCGCTGTGTGTCATGGGACTGAGAAAGCCATCGTCTTTCTGGTCTCAGGGATTTGAATCAGATTATGGCCGATATCTTGATCTGTTGTTGTGTTAAACAAAGTGTTATGATATAATGTTATAGTGGAAAAAAAGGTTTCAATATAAATTGTCTGTAATATTTTGACATCTTTTTCCTATACAGGGCATACACGAGGTCAAGAGGATAGCCAGAACAGCTTGAAGAACAGCTCTAGGAAAGGCAAATTCAAAATTCCAAAACAGGAGCGTAAACGTCCTGAACAGATCATGAAGACCAGAAATGTAAAAGCTCGTAAACAAGCTTTCCAAAAACATCAAGAGCAGGCACGACAAAAGCGTAAAAACTTCTCCGCAAAAATGTCAAAAAAGAAAGGACGAAGATAGAGATGTTAAAAGAGTGGTTATTTAAAGTAAAACGATGCTAATAGATTTCTTCTTGTTTGTTGTTTACATGTAGATAACTGGTAGCTCTTACAACATTCGGATGTATTATAAAATAGGCAGTGATTACTCTGTCAGTTAAAACCTACGTAAGCTCAGGTGAGGATCTGTTGGTGGTTCAATTCTCCATTTCTGTACATGTGGTTGGTTTGTGTTTCTGAGAAGCAGTCTGGTCTGTGACGCCCTGATCATATCATTAGGCACGACACTCTGCCTTAATTGATCTGGATGGTTTGTGATGGGCCTCCAGTATATAATTCAGTGAGGTAGCCACCGACCCTCAAAATAATCCTGTTTACGAGGCGATAAATCCAACAAATTGATATGTTAAAGTATGAAATGCATGCACTATTATTAACTGATGAATGCTGAGACCTCTGTATAACAGGTTTATAATTCGAAACACATATAAGGATGGTGAACATGTTGTTATTGGATGTACTCCCCTCAGATCCATGTGCTGAAGATATTGTTTTAACCTAACCTTCCATTTTTGGAATTTTCCGTAAAACACACACATACTTGTTCATTAAGTGGTTGAAAATATCAGCAAAAGACAAGAGGCTTACTTTAAAATTTTACTTGTGTATCACATGATCAATGACAATATAGACTGGAAATGATACTGTCATAATTTCACAAAACGGTTGATGGGAAACATACAAAACGTAGTTCATAGGTAACATGACGGCAACAACAGTCCTAACAACATAACCATGAACAGCATTTATCTGCATAACAATATCAACATATAGTGTTGCACTATCCATAATGCTACACAGATATATGAACACATGAATTGCAATTAAAAACCAACAGAATAGCGAGCAATGTCTAGGAACACAAAATCAGTGTAGAGTAGATGCTAGATTCATAGCACCAATTAAAACAAACGTCTCGTTGACTCTGAATATGTCGGTAACAAGTATCCATTCCTTTACATTAATCAATGAATGGATTTCTACAACTATTTGGAATGCACAATGTTGGTATACAATCATCCAATTTATCTACCCTTTTCAGTTGGGCTAAAGACATCATTGAAAATAACGGATAATCTACCGTGGCAGCAAGAATCAGGTTTAATAAAATGTATTCAAGTTTTAAAACAACGAGGGGAAAACTTAAACATTTCTGCAAATGTTTTAACATATCCGGGTCCTAAAAAGTAGATTTCACATGATTTACATTAAAACACCGAAAAAATGGTTGCAGACATTTAAGATTATCTGTTAAACAACAGTATTTCATTTTGGCATTTTATTAATAGTTTAAAACTTGTCGAGAATGATTTTTACCAGAGAATAATGTTTTGTATTTCGTACAGAATTAGTCATGCATCAGATACATTGATGAAGTTCAAACTGTTGACAACATCTGAATCTATCAACACATCAGATACATTGATGAAGTTCAAACTGTTGGCAACATTTGAATCTATCAAACTGTTTAAGAAAAATAAGCGAATCTGTCACCAGATATAACTATAAATTTGTTAATCCTTTTTGGATTTTTATGGAAACCTGAAAGAGTAAGACAAAGGCAAGTAATTCTGGTCGATATTGAGTATTATAAAACATGAATTTTTATGTTTTTATCATCATCACTTCCTGATAACTCATGATGGTCTATAAATTTTAGAACTTGAACTCCAGTTGTCATCATCCTATGTATGGTGAGCTTTATATCAATAAAACAATCTTTTGACGCAGGATTCAAATTCAGTTAAAAGATAGGAATCTATCAAAATTGACAAATCAATTTTTTTCATGAAAAATGAATATAAACCAGGAACTTTTTGCTTTAAATTATTCACGATGCGGATTCTGTAATTCTCATGCAGTGTTGAATTTCTCGGCATTCTAAAAAAAGATGGCCACAAGGGGGAGATAACTCAAAAAAGAGGAACATCATCCTTTTTCTACATAATTTGGTACTTGTGGGTTTTAAGGCATAAGGAACTAATATACTCCCTCATTTTTTCCAGAGAACAAAATTCTAAATTCATGTACGTTAAATCAACTTGTCAATTTAAGTATGAAATCATCTCTTTCGGACCTTTCACTTTTATTATTTCAGACATTTTCTAGTTTATAATTTCAATTGTAACTGACTTGTCACAATGTGATTACTTAGATATACCTTACAGCACAGACCAGACACACAAAGAATGGTGTTAATTCAAATTCCTAAACAAGAGGTACATAGGGCCTGTATCACTCACCTAACATGCTTAGCTGAAATTGCTTCAGACCGGGTGAGCTAAAAAAAAAAACCCTCCTGTAACCCTATGACCTTTACCAGTGACCACTAAAAATCTCATCCCAAACCTGTGTCACATGGACTGAATCTGTTGGGAGTTTCACCAGAAATATCTTGTTCACACTTTTTGCCTTTCCAAAGTGGTCAAGTATGTCCTTTGATCTTTAAAATTTGACCGATGATCCCCATAAATCAGATGTAAACCACTGATGTGATGACATCAATTTGCACAAATCTGTAGAGTGGTTCATCAGATACTTTACACAACGTCCATGCTATGACCCTCACACAGTAGGTATATCTGAAGTAATTTGCATTCTAGATCACTAAACACTGAGGAGGTACACTGTGTCAAATAATCATAAAAACTACTATGACAATCACTTTAAAAAAGTTGCTTCAAGTTGTATCAAGCATAAACATTGCTCTATTTTGTATAAGTAGGATCTTCTTAAACTTTGATATAGAGTTATCCAACAGCACAGGGGGATCTTGTAAAATATATAACTCCCTAGAGGTGAACTGTCCTCTGTTATCTTTATACTATACTGTTACAAAGCTTTACTCTTCTTCTTAAATAAAAAAAATCACATTTTAGCAAAAATACACATACTCATTAATATATAGTACAATTCAATCTGAAATCTTGTGAGGAGTTACTTCCCTTTAATTGTTACCAGTAGTGTGAGCTGCTATCTCACCACAGACACAGGTCCTAAGTCATGTGAGCTGCTATCTCACCACAGACACAGGTCCTAAGTCATGTGTGCTGCTATCTCACCACAGACACAGGTCCTAAGTCATGTGTGGTGCTATCTCATCAGACACAGGTCCTAAGTCATGTGTGCTGCTATCTCACCACAGACACAGGTCCTAAGTCATGTGTGCTGCTATCTCACCACAGACACAGGTCCTATGTCATGTGTGGTGCTATCTCACCACAGACACAGGTCCTAAGTCATGTGTGCTGCTCTCACCACAGACACAGGTCCTAAGTCATGTGTGGTGCTATCTCACCACAGACACAGGTCCTAAGTCATGTGTGCTGCTATCTCACCACAGATACAGGTCCTAAGTTATGTGTGCTGCTATCTCACCACAGACACAGGTCCTAAGTCATGTGTGGTGCCATCTCACCACAGACACAGGTCCTAAGTTATGTGTAGTCCACATGTAATGATAAATGCTGAGATTTAAAGCGTAATGCAGTCCCCACAACACATGTGTCTTTAATAAAATATCTTCAATATTCCTCAATACAGCAATAATTTATGTTGTATGCTTATCCAACAATGGACAGTTGGAGTGTAATGCTTTGTATAAAATATTTTGTCACTTACAAGCCAAATAATGTTTTCTCTCTGTTGTAAAATATTATAGATTAACTTTAAACTTGTTACCTTCAGATGTTCAAACCAAATATAAATAAAGTGATTTTTTTAACTTCAGAAATTAAACACAATATATCAAACAATTTTTTTACATAAAATCTTCTTTAAATATATACAAGACTATGAAAGCTCATATGTACAAGACAAATAATTTCTGCATGTCTTATCTTTATATTGTCAGTGAATCTTTCTGACACACATATATCCTTGATCATCACCTTTAGCAATAGTGATATTACTACTGTAAATCAATCATGGCTATGAACTTTTCTAAAAAAACTTTTTCATAACAGATTGAAGTACCTAATTGTACTTTTCTGAAACAGACTATATCATACTAAAATAAGTGAACATTTTCATAACAGACTGTATCATACTTTACTTCTTGTAGTTTATGCAAAATTGTTTCAATTGCAAGAATCAACGTCTGTGAAATTGTTTGTATCATAAAATCTGATAAACTTTTACAAAATGATTTCCATCACAATTTACTTAAAAAAAATTACTTCAATCAAATTATTTGTTTAACTTTGTGAAATTAAACTGAAAGCTAAAGAAAGATGGTTTATAGTTTTTGAGGAACATGCACCTTCACTACAGTTCATCTGTAGTCATCACAACTGTTGACACGATAATCAGAAAAACAAGTCTGCTGCTGCATCTCCTATTTATAAGGAGAGAATGTTACCTAGATAATGGAGCTTGACTGAGGTCAGGCTATTTTAAAATAAATTTGTAATGAAAATGAATGAGAACTGCCGACATGTCAGTGCAATGACAGTAAGATTGACTAGATACAGTTTTTCTGAGATGAGATATACCATTAAAAATATTACACGATTTAGTCCCAGTCATCAACACCAGGAGGTGCTGGCTGATTTCGTGGAAGTCGAGGCAGTGGAGGTCTCGGTCTAATGATCTCTGTGGGTGGACCCCTTAGGGGGTTGGGGCCATGGGGAGAACCCATCTCCATTAAAGGTCTAATGGGCATTCTTGGTCTCTGCTGATCAGGTGCTGCCATGGAGACATTTGATGGCACAGTTTTTGGTCCCTCAAGTTTTTCACCACCAGGTGGCAGTGCATGACTAGGACTTGGGGAGGAGGACTGAGAATGTGTCACGGCTTGGGAGGGAACAATAAGGGATTGTGAGGAACTGGGAGAATAAGTATCATCCTCTTTTAATTTGGCTTTCTTCAGTTTTGGTTCACTAAAGTCTGAATCTGATTGTTCCTGGGAGTATTTATGGGGTGGAGGTTGAAGCCTCATGTCCTGGTCCTCTGTTGGAGCCAGTGATGAGGACATATCACTTTTCACTCTGTAGTCTCTGTCCTCCACATTGTGTACAAAGTTCCTCATATCACTGTCCTCCAAAATGTCTGATGATGCAGGCAAGGGAGGCAAATGGGATTGTTCTTGCAGAGCGAGAGGCACCCTAGGTTTGCGTCCATGTTTGTCTGACCATCTGTGGTCCACATCTTCCATCACGGGTGAATTAGACATCTCCTTAAACTCTTTCCAAGATGTTGGTCGAATACGCTCATCATGATCCTGTATCCTTCTGAAATCCTGATCCTGTGCCTGCCTCATGTCCTGATCAAGTGACCAATCTGGCGAGTCTTCATGCAACTCTTCCTCTCTCCAGTTACCAGTCCTGCGGTTGTAGTCATGTGTATCAACGTCAAACAGACTGGGGATTCCCTGTTTTGATCTATGACTTCTGTGTGGTCGTCGTGATCCTCTTGGTGCCCCATGTAACCGAGGGCCACCGCTGATAGGTCGTCGGTCTTGATGCCTTGATGGCCCACTCATGTTTGGGTGTCTTCCACGGTTATGTCTGGGAGGAGGCATACCAGGCCCAGGCGGAGCCAAGGAAGGTCCAGATGGGGGCATACCAGGTCCAGGTGGAGGCAAGTTGGACCTTGGTGGAGGCATACCTGGTCCAGGAGGAGGCAAGTGCATTTCAGGAGAAGTATATTGTGCTGGCCCACCTATATTACCTGATATTGACATTGGAGGCATTTGTATGTGTGTGGGTGGCGGGCCTTGGGTGGGCATTCCTATCCCTGGCAATGGTGGTAGTGGTGGGGCCGGAACTGTCATTGCCTGCTGGATTTTCTTAAAGGAAGCCTGAAGAATGACCCTACCAACAGGGTCTGTAGCCTGAAGCACAATCTCAGGTGGAGGCTTAGGCTTCTGGTTACCTCCTTTACCTTTGCCCTTTTTGTCCTCATTTTCCTCTTCTTCATCATCTGGATCATGATCTGGTGGTGGGGGCGGGGGCTCCAATGGGAGAGGTGGAGGCATGTCCGGAGGCATGTCTGGCGGTGCTACTGGAGGCTCAGAAGGAGGCTCAACAAGAGGATCTGCCATCTGAATGGAATGACGAGGAAGTGGGGGAATCATCTTAGAAGGCATGGTGTCTTCATCCAAGTCTAGACCTGGGATGAAATCTGGGGCTGTAGTGTTTTCATATACCGGCTTGGGTTTGTGTTCACCCATACTTTCACTCTCTTCTCCTTCGCTGTCTGAATCTCCGTAATCAAATTTGAGTAAAGACACATCAAATCCAACTCTCTTTTTCTTCTCTCCTCCACCCTTGACACGTGTAGTGATGATACTTGGTGCTGGTTCCTGCTGTTCTGGAGCTGACTTTGGGTCAGGATCCATGACTGGCACACTACTAGGCTTGGCGGATTCTGGAGATGATGCTTTTGGTGGCTTGTTTTCATCCAGATTCATGTTTGTTACATGGCTGTAGTTACCAGGAATGCTGGAGAACAGTGACTGCAAGGCTTCTGGCACTGACTTGGGGTCTTTATCATCTTCTCTGTGCTCAGTTGATGTTATCTGTTCTGTCTTTTCACCAGCTTCCTCTGCTGACTGTGGCACTGTGGCCACAACTTTACTATCTTCAGTCGCATTTTCAACACTATTATCACCATGAGATGTGGAACTTGTCTTCTGTTCCTCAGAAGCTGGTTTTTTGTCCAGTGTTTTAGCCTTAGGAGTTGATGATTGGGCTGCTGCGGTTGCTAAGGAGGACTTTTTATGTCCATCAGATGACAGTTGCTTGGAAACAGTAGTTATAGCACTAATGGCTGAGGTCAAAGTTGACAAAGCCATTGCTGGTGTGGCACTAGAAGCTACAACTGGAGTTTCCTTTTTCTTGCGTTTGGCCTCTAGCAGATCCTTCTGTTCCTTTACTTTCTGTGTGAGTTCCAGCAGCAACATCTGTTTGTCACGTAGAGATGTGGCTGTGGCAAGGGTAGCCACCATGATGGCTGTCATTTCAGCAGGATTATCACTTTGGGCAATTTTTTCTATCATTTGTGCCACACTGTTGCTGGAACTTGAGGCTGCACTGCCTTGCTTACTTTCCTCAGCTTTGTCAAAGCTGACACTCTCAGGATCATAGGGGTCCTCATTATCTCCTTCAACACCACCGCCTGGTGAGTAGGGTGTGTCATCTGTAACAAACAAAATTTTATTGACCTTTTTATTTCTAACTTACCGGGTAATAATCTGATGTAAAATTGTTAAGTATGACATTTGACCTTTAAGTCTGACCAATGACCTCTAACATCATTCTTTTCCCCACCATACATAAAAGTTTGTGTTTGAACTTTTTATGACTTATACCCTTATACAATAGTCTTACCATAGCTTAAATTAAACAATAATGATAAAACTTTCAATATTCTTACCCTCAGGTGTTTTCTCAACTGGTAAGAGTTCCCCGGAGCCATAAAACTTGACAATAGGGTCCTTACTCTCTGACGTCCCAGGAGTGGCATTAGCACTACCAGGTGTGATGCTGGAGGAGGACGGTGTAGTGGAGGGGGTAGAGGACATAGGCGTGCCTTTCCCGCGCTGGGAACTAGTGGGCGTCAACCTACAACCACAAATCTCAGATTTTATTTGTTTGATTCAAACATAAGGACACATGATATCAGTTTGACCAAAAATATTTCCAATGAAATGCAATGTATTGTCCACAATGTTGTATTGTATGAAAACTTTGACTTGGTCTCCAAGAGTAAAAGGGGAGAGGAGCCAGGAAAGACTTTGAGGTTCAAGTTAAGTTTTAAGATTTGACATACCTTGGGGATGATTTTCTGGATTTTGTCTTAACACTGGGAGAGTAAGAATGTGGAGGAGATGTAAAAGACTCAGAGGAATGCAGACTATGTCGACGTGATTCTTTGTCATGAGACGACCTGGATTTCTTAGGATCTGATGGATCATATGGCTGTTTGGAAGAGTCGCTGCCGTGTCGTTTCGTCTTTTGCTTCACAATAACTGCCAGCAACATGTGTGGGCGGTTGTCTTCTAACCCTGCAGTTATAAAAAGTCCAGCAATAATTTCTCTAACTTTCTTTAGAAACTTATCTCCAAATCTAATTTTAGTTACAGACTCATCACCAAATATAACTTCAGTCAGAAACTCATCTCCAAAACTAACTTCAGTCAGAAACTTATCTCCAAATCTACATTTAGTCAGAAATTCATCTCCAAACTGACTTAGTTTGAAGCACTGGAATATTGAGACTTATTCTGTTAGAAAGTTATAAATGATTTTCAAGCTTTGAAACAATTTCTGCAAAACTTGATTTAATTTAAGATAGACTTGGGAATCATATCTCTACACCAATCTTTGGTCAGAAACACAAGCATGATAGAACAAACCTAAATGTAGTTAAAAACTCAATAATACAAAGGGCTGATGACAACATCATAAAACGCAAAGCCTTACACCTTCACTTTGTCCATCAAAAATGTGTAAACATTCTCTTCAGGACCTCATCCATCGATGGCATTCATTGTTCAGCAAAATTTGTTGAGAACCTAGAAGTGCGGTGGATAGGACGTAGCTCTCCTAATCAGAACCAATTAAAATAAAACCTGAGGCAAGAATTTTTTTGAGAACCTTGATGGGTTAGGTTGTTTCCTTCTATCATCCTTTAAAAAGATTTTATCTTGGTATGTACCTTGTCTGTCAAAAGGAAACCATATTGAGAGAATTTTGCTGTGTGAGGTCAGACCACAAACCTAGTCCTTCAAAGGGCAATAATATTGAGGGTATTCTATTGTGTCTCGGGCATGATTACTTACCTTGTCCATTGAGAGGCAATAATATTGAGGGTATTCTATTGTGTCTCGGGCAAGATTACTTACCTTGTCCATTGAGAGGCAATAATATTGAGGGTATTCTATTGTGTCTCCAGCAAGATTACTTACCTTGTCCATTGAGAGGCAATAATATTGAGGGTATTTCATTGTGTCAGGTAAGATCTCTTACCTTGTCCATTGAGAGGCAATAATATTGAGGGTATTCTATTGTGTCTCGGGCAAGATTACTTACCTAGTCCATTGAGAGGCAATAATATTGAGGGTATTCTATTGTGTCTCGGGCAAGATTACTTACCTTGTCCATTGAGGGGCAATAATATTGAGGGTATTCTATTGTGTCTCGGGCAAGATTACTTACCTGGTCCATCAAAGGGCAATAATATTGATGGAATTTTGCTGTGGGAGGCTAGAGGGAGAAGGTAGAAGTCCTTTATGTATTTGGCACAGTTTCCGACCACCCCACATCGTGACCGACTGTTTAGGTAGGAATATAAGTTAATATAGGAGGTCTTCTCTTCTTCTTTTCCAGGTATGAACCGCAAAATACAGATGTCCTGTAAAAAGTCAAGTTAATGATGATGATGCTGAGATAAGTGAAAGGCTTAACATATTAATGATATATTATAATTAACATACTGATAATATGTTATTATGTATTGAGAATTATCATGCCTGGTCATATATCCTACATACACGTATGCCAACACCTGTTCCATCTTTTCGTCATTGTGCCCTTGATCAAGGCTTCAAAGGACTTGCTAAAGACCTGACACACACCCACATATAACTGTATCAACATGTAGAATGTCTGTAGTTTCTGGACTCTGAAACAATATCTTGAAATATGTGTGTTTTGACTGACACCATGACTCTTTTTAGGATACCCACTTGGCTGACATTAATCCTAATAAAAAAAGAGTACCAAGCTTAGAGATATAACAATATACTGTTCAGTACATACCCTAGTGCCAATCTTTTTCATCTTCGACAGGTAATCCCAGACTTGTTCTGGAGCTATCCTACCACACACGTGGATAGTGTCAGGCAGATCCTGTAAAGGTAACAAAAATGGCGTTTAGTCTGGTATATATAGGTCTGATAAACAGTGGTGTTTAGTCTGGTATATATAGGTCTGATAAACAGTGGTGTTTAGTCTGATAAACAGTGGTGTTTAGTCTGGTATATATAGGTCTGATAAACAGTGGTGTTTAGTCTGGTATATATAGGTCTGATAAACAGTGGTGTTTAGTCTGATAAACAGTGGTGTTTAGTCTGGTATATATAGGTCTGATAAACAGTGGTGTTTAGTCTGGTATATATAGGTCTGATAAACAGTGGTGTTTAGTCTGATATACAGTGGCGTTTAGTTGTTATATACAGGTCTGATAAACAGTGGCGTTTAGTCTGATAAACAGTGGTGTTTAGTCTGGTATATATAGGTCTGATAAACAGTGGTGTTTAGTCTGATAAACAGTGGTGTTTAGTCTGGTATATATAGGTCTGATAAACAGTGGTGTTTAGTCTGGTATATATAGGTCTGATAAACAGTGGTGTTTAGTCTGGTATATATAGGTCTGATAAACAGTGGCGTTTAGTCTGGTATATATAGGTCTGATAAACAGTGGTGTTTAGTCTGGTATATATAGGTCTGATAAACAGTGGTGTTTAGTCTGGTATATATAGGTCTGATAAACAGTGGTGTTTAGTCTGGTATATATAGGTCTGATAAACAGGGGCGTTTAGTCTGGTATATATAGGTCTGATAAACAGTGGCGTTTAGTCTGGTATATATAGGTCTGATAAACAGTGGCGTTTAGTCTGGTATATATAGGTCTGATAAACAGTGGTGTTTAGTCTGGTATATATAGGTCTGATAAACAGTGGTGTTTAGTCTGGTATATATAGGTCTGATAAACAGTGGCGTTTAGTCTGATAAACAGTGGTGTTTAGTCTGATAAACAGTGGCGTTTAGTCTGTTATATACAGGTCTGATAAACAGTGGTGTTTAGTCTGGTATGTATAGGTCTGATAAACAGTGAATTTATTATTCAAGAAATGTATGGAGCACATGAAAGCAAAACAAAGATGAATATAAAGTGTGGTTTCCTCCAAGTTTGATAGCATCATTTACATACCATTGGTTAGGTTGTACACAATACAGCACAAAATGACATAATCAGTCAATTCTAAAAATTACGTTTCATGAATATGTTTGTTATGTTTACATGGTTAAACTTGTACTTTGTACGATTGATGGTGAACACACAGACTTAATATAGATGGAATACATACCAGTTTGACCTCTGGTCCTGAAACACGATAAGCTGTGGTGACAAACTTCGCAACATCCTGCATAAAGATGAACCCTTTCCACAACTGGGGTCCAGACGGTGTAAACATAGGCTTCTTCTCTAATCCAGATTGGAGAGCGGAGTCTGGAGACCTTCAAATAACACAACAATGCTAGTACAGTAAGAAAGTTAAATTATTGTGGAATCTGGTGACTCTCTCAAATATCAAACATCTGAGCAATGATAATGGAGAACATCTTGGGTTCAGGAAAAGAAAATGCCAGAATGAGTGAATGTTGGCTTAATTTAAGTCTACTTTTGTTGCTACCATATACTGTAAACTCCAGGTCACATAGTGTAAATTCCAGGTCACATAGTGTAAACTCCAGGTCACATAGTGTAAACTCCAGGTCACATAGTGTAAACTTCAGGTCACATAGTGTAAACTCCAGGTCACATAGTGTAAACTTCAGGTCACATAATGTAAACTTCAGTAAACTTCTCCACATAGTGTAAACTTCAGGTCACATAGTGTAAACTCCAGGTCACATAGTGTAAACTTCAGGTCACATAATGTAAACTTCAGGTCACATAGTGCAAACTTACGGTCACATACTGTGAACTCCAGGTCACATAGTGTAAACTCCAGGTCACATAGTGTAAACTTCAGGTCACATAGTGCAAACTTACGGTCACATAGTGTAAACTCCAGGTCACATAGTGTAAACTTAAGGTCACATAGTGCAAACTTACGGTCACATAGTGTAAACTCCAGGTCACATAGTGTAAACTCCAGGTCACATAATGTAAACTTCAGGTCACATAGTGCAAACTTACGGTCACATACTGTAAACTCCAGGTCACATAGTGTAAACTCCAGGTCACATATTGTAAACTAACGGTCACATACTGTAAACTTAAGGTCACATACTGTAAACTCCAGGTCACATAGTGTAAACTCCAGGTCACATATTGTAAACTCCAGGTCACATACTGTAAACTTACGGTCACATACTGTAAACGTCAGGTCACATAGTGTAAACTTCAGACCACATACTGTAAACTTACGGTCACATGCTGTAAACTTAAGGTCACATACTATAAACTCCAGGTCACATACTGTAAACTCCAGGTCACATAGTGTAAACTTCAGGTCACATATTGTAAACTTACGATCACATACTGTAAACTTCAGGTCATATACTGTAAACTCCAGGTCACATACTGTAAACTCCAGGTCACATAGTGTAAACTCCAACTCCAGGTCACATAGCGTAAACTCCAGGTCACATAGTGTAAACTGCAGGTCACATATTGTAAACTTCAGACCACATACTGTAACCTTACGGTCACATACTGTAAACTTAAGGTCATATACTGTAAACTCCAGGTCACATAGTGTAAACTCCAACTCCAGGTCACATAGTGTAAACTCCAGGTCACATAGTGTAAACTTCAGGTCACATATTGTAAAATAACGGTCACATACTGTAAACTTAATGTCACATACTGTAAACTTCAGGTCACATAGAGTAAACTTCAAGTCACATATTGTAAACTTACAGTCACATACTGAAAACTTAAGGTCACATACTGTAAACTTAAGGTCACATACTGAAAACTTAAGGTCACATACTGAAAACTTAAGGTCACATACTGTAAACTTAGGTCACATACTGTAAACTGAGGTCACATACTGTAAACCTTAGGTCACATACAGTTAACTTCAGACCACATACTGTAAACTTAAGGTCACATACTGTAAATTTAGGTCACATACTGTAAACTTAAGGTCACCTTCTATAAATTTCAGGTCATAGACTGTAAACTTCAGGTCACATACTGTAAACTTAAGGTCACATACTGTAAACTTAGGTCACATACTGTAAACCTCAGGTCACATACAGTACACTTCAGACCACATACTGTACACTTAAGGTCACATACTGTAAACTTAAGGTCACATACTGTAAACTTAGGTCACATACTGTAAACCTCAGGTCACATACAGTACACTTCAGACCACATACTGTACACTTAAGGTCACATACTGTACACTTAAGGTCACATACTGTAAATTTCAGGTCATATACTGTAAACTTAAGGTCATATAGTGTAAACTTAAGGTCATATAGTGTAAACTTCAGGTCATATACTGTAAACTTAAGGTCATATAGTGTAAACTTAAGGTCATATAGTGTAAACTTCAGGTCACCTTCTATAAACTTTAGGTCATATACTGTTAACTTCAAGTCACAAACTGTAAACTTAAGGTCACATACTCACCCCACAGTGACTGTAGAATCCACAATGGGAGGAGTTTTGTCAGTCTGGATCTTGGCTTTCTGTATTGCTTTCAATACTTCTTTGACAACTTGCTCTGCCTTCTTTTGTTCTTCCACAGTTTTCTTAGATGATGCTGCCTCAGTTTTTTCTTCTTCTTCGGAATCCTGTAAATCATCAACAATAAATTTATCTGACCATCTACCTGAACTGAATCATGAAATTAAGAAACCATCTCAAGAGTTGTTGTTGGGTATTCCAACAAATGTGATGTTTTCAAATTAAGTGGATAGTTTTCAAAAATGAAAGTCCCTTTAACTTCACTTCCAAAGTAAGTAAGAGTATACCTGCATCTACCATTCTAGGCTTCAGTATCACAAATGTTTTCTCAAATATCAAGTTTGCACTCAGCTGAGTGTTGCCAACGTAAAATTCCAATGAGATCTTCAGCTCTGAGGACCAATACAACCGTGCCTGTATGACTGCCCATGTACAGTATCAATATCACAATTATGTTTTCTTTACCTCTACAGTGGGTCGGCGGGCAACCTTCACTTTTTTGGAAACTGGTTCCTGCTCAGCTGGTGGAGCTATCTTGCCCGTACAGATCTGACAGTTGAGGTCAAACAAATGCTGCTTGTGTTGGGAAGTTGTGTCATTGACAATTAACTCTGACAAGATGTCTGCCTTGGGAGCATCTTCTGGGGTTTCTGATTTCTGTTTGTTGATCTCTGGTTTCGACTAAAATGTTAATAAAATTAAAATATTTTTGTTTAAATGCAAGCTGGCTTAGACTGAACTTTTTCTTAAGATTAAGTGGAAAGTGAACTCTTCCAAAGTGTTTGGCCATATTAAAATTTGATCAATAATTTCAATGAACAGTTTCAGTTAAGTTCAGAAGAAACTCTTTTTGTGGAGATTACAAATTAAACAAGACATCTAAATAACAATTATCATTCTTCAGGTTATTCTCGTTCACATACATCTAATGTACTTAGATCTTCCTCCTCCAGAGTGACCTCCCCTTTGTGAGTTTTCTTCACAATTGTGTGCTGTTCATTCATGTGCTCTTTCTCTGTCATCTCAATCATCTCTAGATTCTATGGACAAACAAACACACAGGACTATAACAAGCAGATACATGAAATCTAAACAAACAGACTTTGGTTAAGGCTTTATGCAACCTTAATGTAAAAGCTATCTCCTTTCACAGAGTTTCACAGACAATCATCATATGACACCACTACATCCATTCTGTTAGTATTCTCAATTATGAATGAATGTACTAAGGTAAATTCTTGGGAGAAAACACTCAACAAAGACATGATGGATAATAAAGCATAAATTCTAGAAAATTTAAAACTAACTAAAGGCAATAAGCGATAACACATTTCTAGAAAAATTTAAAACTAACTGAAGGCAATAAGCGATAACACATTTCTAGAAAAATTTACAACTAACTGAAGGCAATAAGCGATAACACATTTCTAGAAAAATTTACAACTAACTGAAGGCAATTAGCGATAACACATTTCTAGAAAAATTTACAACTAACTGAAGGCAATTAGCAATAACACATTTCTAGAAAAATTTACAACTAACTGAAGGCAATTAGCGATAACACATTTCTAGAAAAATTTACAACTAACTGAAGGCAATTAGCGATAACACATTTCTATGAAATTTACAACTAAATGAGCACATTTCTAGAAAATTTACAACTAACTGAAGGCAATTAGCGATAACACATTTCTAGGAAATATAAATTTACAACTAAATGAAGGCAATTAGGGATAACACATTTCTAGAAAATTTACAACTAACTGAAGGCAATTAGCGATAACACATTTCTAGGAAATTTACAATTAAATGAAGGCAAATAGCAATAACAAATTTCTAGGAAATTTACAATTAACTGAAGGCAATTAGGGATAACACATTTCTAGGAAATTTACAACTAAATGAAGGCAATTTGCGATAATACATTTCTAGGAAATTTACAACTAAATGAAGGCAATTAGCGATAACACATTTCTAGGAAATTTACAACTAACTGAAGGCAATTAGCGATAACACATTTCTAAGAAATTTACAACTAACTGAAGGCAAATAAAGATGAAACATCTCTAGAAAATTTACAACTAACTGAAGGCAAATAGCCATCACACATCTCTAATTTATTGTCTTTCTCCAGTAACATTACTATCCTACATTTCTCCTATAGCAGAGTCCATTACTTACATGTTTTGTTTCGTATTCTCGCCACATGGCTAGTTCCCTGGAGGCCAATTCCTCCGCAGTCATACGTACAAGTTTGTGAGGCTTTATGGTACCAGACAACACTTTCCTGAATAAACCCTGCATTAAGAACAGACATATTCAATATAACTTTATTATCAATATATGTCCATACCAACACAAAACATGGCACAGATGTCAAAACAGATATGTTGATAGCATTCAAACCTACCTTTCACCTCAGTAACAAACTCCATACTTTTATCCTATGTTCAGACATAAATTGAATTTTAAACTGAATTTTTGAGTCACTGAGATATGAGATCATTTTTTTTTAATTGATTTTTGGAGTCACTGAGATTAGAGATAATTTTACATGATTTTTTTTAGTTAAGATTGAAGATAATTTTACATGATTTTTTTTAGTTAAGATTGAAGATAATTTTACCTGATTTTTTTAGTTAAGATTAGAGTTAATTTTTACCTGATTTTTCGAGTCCTTCAGATTAGAGTTAATTTTTACCTGATTTTTTAGTTAAGATTAGAGTTAATTTTGACCTGATTTTTTTAGTTAAGATTAGAGCTAATTTTTACCTGATTTTTCGAGTCCTTCAGATTAAAGATAAGACTTCTATATTTTGCTTTATACTTGGTGTTGGTATCCTTGAAACATTTGAAGAGCTCTCCTTCTACACTCAATGCTAGTGACTTGATCTCACTGTTAGAAAGCATCATGTCGTCAGCCTTGCCAGCCCTGTATAAATAATCAAACATTCAATACAATTTGATCTAGTAGTTGTACTAAATTAAGAGATAATATACTGTATTTTCCAGGCTATAAACTGCACCAAAGTATAAGATGAAGGGCTGATTTTAAATGATTTTTTCAATTTGATACACATATAAGACGCACTGGTCTCAAATGTCATTTTGCCATTTTGATAAAAAAGCTTAAATTTTCACATTTGGCTTTAGGTCAGAGGCACCTATCTGACATAATGAGGGGCAATCACCAGGAATATTTTACAAGGAGTCTAATAGGATATTTACCTGTGTGTGAGATTTGACTAGTTATTTAACTGTGTGAGATTTGACTGGATATTTACCTGTGTGTGAGACAAGACTGGATATTTACCTGTGTGCGAGACAAGACTGGATATTTACCTGTGTGTGAGATTTGACTAGATATTTACCTGTGTGTGAGACAAGACTGGATATTTACCTGTGTGAGATTTGACTAGATATTTACCTGTGTGTGAGACAAGACTGGATATTTACCTGTGTGCGAGACAAGACTGGATATTTACCTGTGTGTGAGTTTTGACTAGATATTTACCTGTGTGCGAGACTTGACTGGATATTTACCTGTGTGTGAGATTTGACTAGATATTTACCTGTGTGTGAGATTTGACTGGATATTTACCTGTGTGTGAGATTTGACTGGATATTTACCTGTGTGTGAGATTTGACTAGATATTTACCTGTGTGTGAGATTTGACTGGATATTTACCTGTGTGTGAGATTTGACCTGTGTGAGATCTTTACCTGTGTGTGAGACTTGTGTGCGACTGGATATTTACCTGTGTGCGAGACAAGACTGGATATTTACCTGTGTGTGAGATTTGACTGGATATTTACCTGTGTGAGATTCAACTAGATATTTACCTGTGTGTGAGACAAGACTGGATATTTACCTGTGTGTGAGATTTGACTAGATATTTACCTGTGTGTGAGATTTGACTGGATATTTACCTGTGTGTGAGATTTGACTAGATATTTACCTGTGTGCGAGATTTGACTGGATATTTACCTGTGTGCGAGATTTGACTAGATATTTACCTGTGTGCGAGATTTGACTGGATATTTACCTGTGTGCGAGATTTGACTGGATATTTACCTGTGTGTGAGATTTGACTGGATATTTACCTGTGTGTGAGATTTGACTAGATATTTACCTGTGTGTGAGATTTGACTGGATATTTACCTGTGTGTGAGATTTGACTAGATATTTACCTGTGTGTGAGATTTGACTGGATATTTACCTGTGTGTGAGATTTGACTAGATATTTACCTGTGTGTGAGATTTGACTAGATATTTACCTGTGTGTGTGTGAGATTTGACTAGATATTTACCTGTGTGTGAGATTTGACTAGATATTTACCTGTGTGTGAGATTTGACTAGATATTTACCTGTGTGTGAGATTTGACTAGATATTTACCTGTGTGTGTGTGAGATTTGACTAGATATTTACCTGTGTGTGAGATTTGACTAGATATTTACCTGTGTGTGAGATTTGACTAGATATTTACCTGTGTGTGAAATTTGACTAGATATTTACCTGTGTGTGAGAGCATCCCTGAGGGATTTTCTGACATTTAGTCGGACTGGATCAGGACCTTCATCAGCCTTCTTTACTTCCTTTGGTTCTTCTGGCTTTGGTTTCTCCTTCTCAGTGACATGCTTTTCCCGATCTTTCTGTTTCTCTTTCTCCTTGCCTACAACGAATCAGTGTACAATATTTAACCCATTTATTATCATTATCCTTATGTCCTGATCCAATATGTGAATATTTTAAATAACAACCTATCTTTACATACATAGATTTGAATAATCAGTAAATTTCTACACATACATATTTTAGCAGTACATGTAATCTTATTTTAGCACTTTTTGCGTGGACAATATTGACTGTACTTTGCAGATTACACTACAACATTCAGTAGTAGATGTTAGGCAGCAAATACCTATCTGACCCATCTTCAGTACTTTATCTATTTTATCTTACCAGGCTTAGTTCTGATCAGGCATTAAGAATGTACCTTGAGTTTTTTGTTTATTTCAAAATAACTTTTCAGAATAGTTGTGTATACAAACTGTGTACTGTTATGCCTAACAAGTACCTCCATTAAGCTGGTTAGATAAGACAAAGGTAAGACTTCCATTAAGATGGTTAGATAAGACAATGGTAAGACTTCCATTAAGCTGGTTAGATAAGACAAAGGTAAGACTGAAGGAACAAAGGATAGCTTTGATGCCAACACTACTAACAATAGACTTTCTGTCTGGGATGTTTTTTCAGTCACAATGAAATACTTTAAATACTTTGGTACTTACTTCCATAGAATGTGGATGGTTTCTTGGTGGGACAAAGGATTTCAAAAGACCGGTGACTCTCCAGCCAGATTTTGATATTGGCCTCAGTTGGAGCGTTGTTACCTGTCAGTATTCGTCCAGTCTTTTTCTCAAGGACGTAGACTTTCCTCTCCGATTTGTCTTTCAACTGAAATATATGTATCTTATCTTACCAAAAACTGAACACAACACCAAAAATTATGTTTGTTATTACTCTGATAGCAGATTACTTACATGAGGGACTGATAACAGAGTATTTATGTGAGGGAGTTATTACACTGATAACAGAGTATTTATGTGAGGGAGTTATTACACTGATAACAGGGTATTTATGTGAGGGAGTTATTACACAGATAACAGGGTATTTATGTGAGGGAGTTATTACACTGATAACAGAGTATTTATGTGAGGGAGTTATTACACTGATAACAGGGTATTTATGTGAGGGAGTTATTACACAGATAACAGAGTATTTATGTGATGGAGTTATTACACTGATAACAGAGTATTTATGTGAGGGAGTTATTATACTGATAACAGAGTATTTATGTGAGGGAGTTATTACACTGATAACAGAGTATTTATGTGAGGGAGTTATTACACTGATAACAGAGTATTTACGTGAGGGAGTTATTATACTGATAACAGAGTATTTATGTGAGGGAGTTATTACACTGATAACAGAGTATTTATGTGAGGGAGTTATTACACTGATAACAGAGTATTTATGTGAGGGAGTTATTACACTGATAACAGAGTATTTATGTGAGGGAGTTATTATACTGATAACAGAGTATTTATGTGAGGGAGTTATTATACTGATAACAGAGTATTTATGTGAGGGAGTTATTACACTGATAACAGAGTATTTATGTGAGGGAGTTATTACACTGATAACAGAGTATTTATGTGAGGGAGTTATTACACTGATAACAGAGTATTTATGTGAGGGAGTTATTACACTGATAACAGAGTATTTATGTGAGGGAGTTATTACACTGATAACAGGGTATTTATGTGAGGGAGTTATTACACTGATAACAGAGTATTTATGTGAGGGAGTTATTACACTGATAACAGAGTATTTATGTGAGGGAGTTATTACACTGATAACAGAGTATTTATGTGAGGGATTATTATGTGAGGGAGTACTGATAACAGAGTATTTATGTGAGGGAGTTATTACACTGATAACAGAGTATTTATGTGAGGGAGTTATTACACTGATAACAGAGTATTTATGTGAGGGAGTTATTATACTGATTACAGGGTATTTATGTGAGGGAGTTATTACACTGATAACAGAGTATTTATGTGAGGGAGTTATTACACTGATAACAGAGTATTTATGTGAGGGAGTTATTACACTGATAACAGGGTATTTATGTGAGGGAGTTATTACACTGATAACAGAGTATTTATGTGAGGGAGTTATTACACTGATAACAGAGTATTTATGTGAGGGAGTTATTACACTGATAACAGAGTATTTATGTGAGGGAGTTATTACACTGATAACAGAGTATTTATGTGAGGGAGTTATTACACTGATAACAGAGTATTTATGTGAGGGAGTTATTACACTGATAACACAGTATTTATGTGAGGGAGTTATTACACTGATAACAGAGTATTTATGTGACAGGTGTAATTACACTGACATCAGTATTTATGTGAGGGAGTTATTACACTGATAACAGAGTATTTATGTGACAGGTGTAATTACACTGATAACAGAGTATTTATGTGAGGGAGTTATTACACTGATGACAGAGTATTTATGTGAGGGAGTTATTACACTGATAACAGGGTATTTATGTTAGGGAGTTATTACACTGATAACAGAGTATTTATGTGACAGGTGTAATTACTCTGACATCAGTATTTATGTTAGGGAGTTATTACACAGATAACAAAGTATTTATGTGAGGGAGTTATTACACTGATAACAGGGTATTTATGTGATGGAGTTATTACACAGATAACAGAGTATTTATGTGAGGGAGTTATTACACTGATAACAGAGTATTTATGTGAGGGAGTTATTACACTGATAACAGGGTATTTATGTGAGGGAGTTATTACACTGATAACAGAGTATTTCTGTGAGGGAGTTATTACACAGATAACAGATTATTTATGTGATGGAGTTATTACACTGATAACAGAGTATTTATGTGATGGAGTTATTACACAGATTTATGTGAGGAAGTTATTACACAGATAACAGAGTATTTATGTGAGGGAGTTATTACACTGATAACAGAGTATTTATGTGATGGAGGTATTACACTGATAACAGGGTATTTATGTGAGGGAGTTATTACACTGATAACAGGGTATTTATGTGAGGGGTAATTACACTGATAACATCAGTATTTATGTGAGGGAGTTATTACACTGATAACATGGTATTTATGTGAGGGAGTTATTACACTGATAACAGGGTATTTATGTGAGTGAGTTATTATACTGATAACAGAGTATTTATGTGAGGGAGTTATTACACTGATAACAGAGTATTTATGTGAGGGAGTTATTACACTGATAACAGGGTATTTATGTGAGGGAGTTATTACACTGATAACACAGTATTCATGTGAGGGAGTTATTACACTGATAACAGAGTATTTATGTTACAGGTGTAATTACACAGGGTATTTATGTGAGGGAGTTATTACACAGATAACAGAGTATTTATGTGAGGGAGTTATTACACTGATAACAGGGTATTTATGTGAGGGAGTTATTACACTGATAACAGAGTATTTATGTGAGGGAGTTATTACACTGATAACAGAGTATTTATGTGAGGGAGTTATTACACTGATAACAGGGTATTTATGTGACGGGTGTAATTACACTGATAACAGAGTATTTATGTGAGGGAGTTATTACACTGATAACACAGTATTTATGTGAGGGAGTTATTACACTGATAACAGGGTATTTATGTGAGGGAGTTATTACACTGATAACACAGTATTCATGTGAGGGAGTTATTACACTGATAACAGGGTATTTATGTGACAGGTATAATTACACTGATAACAGAGTATTTATGTGAGGGAGTTATTACACTGATAACAGGGTATTTATGTGAGGGAGTTATTACACTGATAACAGAGTATTTATGTGAGGGAGTTATTACACTGATAACAGAGTATTTATGTGAGGGAGTTATTACACTGATAACAGGGTATTTATGTGAGGGAGTTATTACACTGATAACAGAGTATTTATGTGAGGGAGTTATTACACTGATAACAGAGTATTTATGTGAGGGAGTTATTACACTGATAACAGAGTATTTATGTGAGGGAGTTATTACACTGATAACAGAGTATTTATGTGAGGGAGTTATTACACTGATAACAGGGTATTTATGTGAGGGTTATTACACTGATAACAGGGTATTTATGTGACTGATAACAGAGTATTTATGTGATTATTACACTGATAACAGGGTATTTATGTGAGGGAGTTATTACACTGATAACAGAGTATTTATGTGAGGGAGTTATTACACTGATAACAGAGTATTTATGTGAGGGAGTTATTACACTGATAACAGAGTATTTATGTGAGGGAGTTATTACACTGATAACAAGGTATTTATGTGAGGGAGTTATTACACTGATAACAGAGTATTTATGTGAGGGAGTTATTACACTGAGTATTTATGTGAGGGAGTTATTACACTGATAACAGAGTATTTATGTGAGGGAGTTATTACACTGATAACAGAGTATTTATGTATTTTATGATAACAGATTTATGTGAGTTATTACACTGATAACAGAGTATTTATGTGAGGGAGTTATTACACTGATAACAGAGTATTTATGTGAGGGAGTTATTACACTGATAACAGAGTATTTATGTGAGGGAGTTATTACACTGATAACAGAGTATTTATGTGAGGGAGTTATTACACTGATAACAGAGTATTTATGTGAGGGAGTTATTACACTGATAACAGGGTATTTATGTGAGGGAGTTATTACACTGATAAGAGTATTCATGTGAGGGAGTTATTACACTGATAACAGGGTATTTATGTGAGGGAGTTATTACACTGATAACAGAGTATTTATGTGAGGGAGTTATTACACTGATAACAGGGTATTTATGTGAGGGAGTTATTACACTGATAACAGAGTATTTATGTGAGGGAGTTATTACACTGATAACAGGGTATTTATGTGAGGGAGTTATTACACTGATAACACAGTATTTATGTGAGGGAGTTATTACACTGATAACAGAGTATTTATGTGAGGGAGTTATTACACTGATAACAGTGGGGAGTTATTACACTGATAACAGGGTATTTATGTGAGGGAGTTATTACACTGATAACACAGTATTCATGTGAGGGAGTTATTACACTGATAACAGGGTATTTATGTGAGGGAGTTATTACACTGATAACAGAGTATTTATGTGAGGGAGTTATTACACTGATAACAGAGTATTTATGTGAGGGAGTTATTACACTGATAACAGGGTATTTATGTGACACTGATAACAGAGTATTTATGTGAGGGAGTTATTACACTGATAACAGAGTATTTATGTGAGTGAGTTATTAGGGAGTTATTACACTGATAACAGAGTATTTATGTGAGGGAGTTATTACACTGATAACAGAGTATTTATGTGAGGGAGTTATTACACTGATAACAGAGTATTTATGTGAGGGAGTTATTACACTGATAACAGAGTATTTATGTAACAGATTTATGGGAGTTATTACACTGATAACAGAGTATTTATGTGAGGGAGTTATTACACTGATAACAGAACTGATAACAGAGTATTTATGTGAGGGAGTTATTACACTGATAACAGAGTATTTATGTGAGGGAGTTATTACACTGATAACAGGGTATTTATGTGAGGGAGTTATTACACTGATAACAGAGTATTTATGTGAGGGAGTTATTACACTGATAACAGAGTATTTATGTGATAACAGGTATTTATGTGAGTTATTACACTGATAACAGGGTATTTATGTGAGGGAGTTATTATACTGATAACACAGTATTTATGTGAGGGAGTTATTACACTGATAACATGGTATTTATGTGAGGGAGTTATTACACTGATAACAGAGTATTTATGTGACAGGTGTAATTACACTGATAACAGGGTATTTATGTGAGGGAGTTATTACACTGATAACAGGGTATTTATGTGAGGGAGTTATTACACTGATAACAGGGTATTTATGTGAGGGAGTTATTACACTGATAACAGGGTATTTATGTGAGGGAGTTATTACACTGATAACAGAGTATTTATGTGAGGGAGTTATTACACTGATAACAGAGTATTTATGTGAGGGAGTTATTACACTGATAACAGAGTATTTATGTGAGGGAGTTATTACACTGATAACAGAGTATTTATGTGAGGGAGTTATTACACTGATAACAAAGTATTTATGTGAGGGAGTTATTACACTGATAACAGGGTATTTATGTGAGGGAGTTATTACACTGATAACAGAGTATTTATGTGAGGGAGTTATTACACTGATAACAGAGTATTTATGTGAGGGAGTTATTACACAGATAACAGAGTATTTATGTGAGTGAGTTATTACACTGATAACAGTATTTATGTGAGGGAGTTATTACACTGATAACAGAGTATTTATGTGAGGGAGTTATTACACTGATAACAGAGTATTTATGTGAGGGAGTTATTACACTGATAACAGGGTATTTATGTGAGGGAGTTATTACACTGATAACATGGTATTTATGTGATGGAGTTATTACACTGATAACAGAGTATTTATGTGAGGGAGTTATTACACTGATAACAGAGTATTTATGTGAGGGAGTTATTACACTGATAACAGGGTATTTATGTGAGGGAGTTATTACACTGATAACAGAGTATTTATGTGACAGGTGTAATTACACTGATAACAGGGTATTTATGTGAGGGAGTTATTACACAGATAACAGAGTATTTATGTGATGGAGTTATTACACTGATAACAGAGTATTTATGTGAGGGAGTTATTACACTGATAACAGAGTATTTATGTGAGGGAGTTATTACACTGATAACAAAGTATTTATGTGAGGGAGTTATTACACTGATAACAGAGTATTTATGTGAGTGAGTTATTATACTGATAACAGAGTATTTATGTGTGGGGAGTTATTACACTGATAACAAGGTATTTATGTGAGGGAGTTATTACACTGATAACAGAGTATTTATGTATTTATGTGAGGATGGAGTTATTACACTGATAACAGAGTATTTATGTGAGGGAGTTATTACACTGATAACAGAGTATTTATGTGAGGGAGTTATTACACTGATAACAGGGTATTTATGTGAGGGAGTTATTACACTGATAACAGGGTATTTATGTGACGGGTGTAATTACACTGATAACAGAGTATTTATGTGACAGGTGTAATTACTCTGACAACAGGGTATTTATGTGACGGATGTAATTACACTGATAACAGAGTATTTATGTGACGGGTGTAATTACACTGACAACAGGGTATTTATGTGACGGGTTTAATTACACTGATAACAGAGTATTTATGTGACGGATGTAATTACACTGATAACAGGGTATTAATGTGAGGGAGTTATTACACTGATAACAGAGTATTTATGTGAGGGAGTTATTACACTGATAACAGTGTATTTATGTGACGGATGTAATTACACAGGTAACTGGATACTATAAGTTTTCAGGTATGTAATTATTGGCAGGATTCACTCACCTTAATGCCCTGGTCCTCTTGATCCTTGCGTATGATTTTGAGTGACTCATCAGAATGTTTGATGATACAGTCCGTACAACAGTAAACTGTCCCATACACAGCATCTTTTTTACAGCCTGGACCGACACATTTCTGCAGCGTTCTTTTCTCCTGTCAAAAGTTGGTTAGACGATATCATTATCATGTTAACAATAACACCCAACCCAAGGTCACATCTACCAAAACCATTGATACCCAAGGTCACATCTACCAAAACCATTGATACCCAAGGTCACATCTAACAAAACCATTGATACCCAAGGTCACATCTACCAAAACCATTGATACCCAAGGTCACATCTACTAAAACCATTGATACCCAAGGTCACATCTAACAAACCCGCTGATACCCAAGGTCACATCTGACAAAACCATTGATACCTAAGGTCACATCTAACAAAACCATTGATACCCAAGGTCACATCTACCAAAACCATTGATACCCAAGGTCACATCTAACAAAACCATTGATACCCAAGATCAAATCTACCAAAACCATTGATACCCAAGGTCACATCTACCAAAACCACTGATACCCAAGGTCACATCTACCAAAACCATTGATACCCAAGGTCACATCGACCTTAATCATTGATACCCAAGGTCATATCGACCTTAACCATTGATACCCAAGGTCAAACTACCAAAACCATGTAAGCATTATATGACGAAGCATTCTTTATGTCGTGACTTTTGCTTTAGATGAAAAAATACAGGGAGAGTTATGTGTTAACCAATATAACTCTTGAAATGATGTTTTATTTTAAAAAATAAGAGAATTTTAATCAATCACTATATATACTAGTTTAACTTAAACGCATTTATACAAAAAAAAGTCATGATTTTACCATATTTTCCTGGTTATAAGTCGCACCAGTGTATAGGTAGCAAAGTTAATTCCACATATAAGCAGCACACCTGACCCACAAAAGTTGTGACTTATAATCCAGAAAATACAATAGATTTTCAGGTGTGTGATCTTTTATATATTTATTATTAAATGAAGGTATCATTTTGCTATTTGTTTCCATAGATTGTATAAATGTCAACACAATCTCACCTTAATATTTTTTAGATTTCTGTCTCCACCCGAGGACAATCTTCTATGTATATCACCATGAGATTTATCGGGAGTACGTGTATCAGTAGACAAGACACCAGGGGACTTAAGAACTGGAGATTTAACACTATGGCCTACAGAACTCTTTCGACTAGAGTCAAGTTTGTGAGATTCTGATGATTTTTGTCCTGAGTGATGCCCGTGACTTGAGTCACGTCTGTGAGAATCTGAAGACTTCTGTCCAGAGTGATGCTTGTGTTTTGTCTTATCGTCATGGTGACCTGAAGTTGATGAACGTCTTTCTCCTGATTTCCCATCTGTTGAGTGTTTGCGTTCAGAGCTGTGGTGTTTGTCGTGATGTCGCCCTCGAGATCGATCATCAGATGACTTTCTCTCCAAACGAGATTTATCCTGCATGTACATTAAAGTAAAACAAATGTCAGCTACAAAATCTTACCAAATATATCTAAATTCTATTAAACAACCTTATAATACCCTTTGATTGGATGACCAGAAATCATTTTAGCTATACAAAATTGTGTACAAAACTTATACATTATTAAATGAGTTATTTTCCACTTTGAAAAATTGGACAAAAATTTGAAACTTAAACATCTTGTTGTTACTTGTGTTAATTAAAATGGTTCCTAAAGGGTCACAGAAGTAAGAGTAGTTTTATAACATGATGGTAGGGTCTGGAGAAGAAGGAATGGGTTTACAACCTGATGGCAGGGTCTGGAGAAGTAGGAGTGGGTTTACAACATGATGGCAGGGTCTGGTGAAGTAGGAGTGGGTTCACAACCTGATGGCAGGGTCTGGAGAAAAGGAAGTGGGTTTACAACATGATGGCAGGGTCTGGAGAAGAAGGAATGGGTTTAAAACATAATGGTAGGGTCTGGAGAAGAAGAAGTGGGTTTACAACATGATGGCAGTGTCTGGAGAAAAGGAAACAGGTTTACAACATGATGGCAGGGTCTGGCTAAGTAGGAGTGGGTTCACAACATGATGGCAGGGTCTGGCTAAGTAGGAGTGGGTTTACAACATGATGGCTGGGTCTGGAGAAAAGGAAGCAGGTTTACAACATGATGGCAGCGTCTGGCTAAGTAGGAGTGGGTTCACAACATGATGGCAGGGTCTGGAGAAAAGGAAGTGGGTTCACAACATGATGGCAGCGTCTGGCTAAGTAGGAGTGGGTTCACAACCTGATGGCAGGGTTTGGCGAAGTAGGAGTGGGTTCAAAAACTGATAGCAGGGTCTAGAGAAGAAGTGGGTTTACAACATGATGGAAGGGTCTGGAGAAAAGGAAGTGGGTTTAAAACATGATGGTAGGGTCTGGCAAAGTAGGAGTGGGTTTACAACATGATGGCAGGGTTTGGCGAAGTAGGAGTGGGTTCACAAACTGATGGCAGGGTCTAGAGAAGAAGTGGGTTTACAACATGATGGAAGGGTCTGGAGAAAAGGAAGTGGGTTCACAACCTGATGGCAGGGTCTGGCAAAGTAGGAGTGGGTATACAACCTGATGGCAGGGTTTGGCGAAGTAGGAGTGGGTTCACAAACTGATGGCAGGGTCTAGAGAAGAAGTGGGTTTACAACATGATGGAAGGGTCTGGAGAAAAGGAAGTGGGTTTACAACATGATGGTAGGGTCTGGCAAAGTAGGAGTGGGTTTACAACATGATGGCAGGGTTTGGCGAAGTAGGAGTGGGTTCACAAACTGATGGCAGGGTCTAGAGAAGAAGTGGGTTTACAAAATGATGGCAGGGTCTGGCAAAGTAAGAGTGGGTTCACAACATGATGGCAGGGTCTGGAGAAAAGGAAGTGGGTTTACAACATGCTGGAAGTGTCTGGTGAAGTAGGGGTGGGTTCACAACATGATGGCAGGGTCTGGAGAAGAGGTGGGTTTACAACATGATGGAAGGGTCTGGAGAAAAGGAAGTGGGTTTACAACATGATGGCAGGGTCTGGTGAAGTAGGGGTGAGTTTACAACATGATGGCAGGGTTTGGCGAAGTAGGAGTGGGTTCACAAACTGATGGCAGGGTCTAGAGAAGAAGTGGGTTTACAACATGATGGAAGGGTCTGGAGAAGAAGTGGGTTTACAAAATGATGGCAGGGTCTGGCAAAGTAAGAGTGGGTTCACAACATGATGGCAGGGTCTGGAGAAAAGGAAGTGGGTTTACAACATGATGGAAGGGTCTGGTGAAGTAGGGGTGGGTTCACAACATGATGGCAGGGTCTGGAGAAGAAGAAGTGGGTTTACAACATGATGGTAGGGTCTAGAGAAGAAATAGTGTTTTTACAACAATTATTCAAGAACAGGTAAAAGGACTTACTCCTCCACTTTTTTCGTCTTTTGATGATGATCGATGTCGATGTTCACTACTGTTGTGACGAGACTCTTTAGTTGAGACAGATTTTTCCCCTTTGACAGAAGAAACCTCACATTTATTTTCCTTTTTGGGTATTTTGGGCAGTGTGCTCTCCTTTTTCACTCTCTCCTCATCTTTGGATTTAGGTGTAGATTCTTTTCTAGAATCTGGTGATTTTTCGGGACCCTTTGTCTTTAGCTTTGGACCTTTATGATCACCTGGAGAAATAGATAATGTTGAATACTGATCATGTCATCTTACCTCACTCTTTTGGATTACTCTACTCAACATGGTTAGACAATAACACACCGCAATATTTTCTGTATTCTTTTATCAATATATCATGCAATCATTGATAATACAAAATGATTTACAATCTGGCTTAAAACATTTATTTTCATAATGCATCTTGTTTTAATTTTGCTGAATTTTTTATTTAGTACATTATAAGTAGGTTGACTGTAACAACCTCTGTATTTACCAGTACAGATTGGACAAATATATTCCTCCCCATTCTCTTCCATTTCCTTGTTACGGGCTTTAGTCATGTTAACACAGTTACCATGGAACCAGCCTTCACATTTATCACAGCAGATCATAAATCTGGAAAAATAGTACACAACAGGGTAAAGGTTAGCTACATCAGTGTAAAGATTGCCTATTTCTGTGTAAAGGTCACCTACATCAATGTAAAGATTGCCTATTTCTGTGTAAAGGTCACCTACATCAGTTTAAAGATTGCCTATTTCTGTGTAAAGGTCACCTACATCTGTGTAAAGATTGCCTATTTCTGTGTAAAGGTCACCTACATCAGAGTAAAGATTGTCTATTTCTGTGTAAAGGTCACCTACATCTGTGTAAAGATTGCCTATTTCTGTGTAAAGGTCACCTACATCAGAGTAAAGATTGCCTATTTCTGTGTAAAGGTCACCTACATCTGTGTGAAGATTGCCTATTTCTGTGTAAAGGTCACCTACATCAGAGTAAAGATTGTCTATTTCTATGTAAAGGTCACCTACATCAGAGTAAAGATTGCCTATTTCTGTGTAAAGGTCACCTACATCTGTGTGAAGATTGCCTATTTCTGTGTAAAGGTCACCTACATCAGAGTAAAGATTGCCTATTTCAAGGTAAATGTCACCTACATCAGAGTAAAGATTGTCTATTTCTGTGTAAAGGTCACCTACATCAGTGTAAAGGCAGGAATAGTTTCCTATAAATAGTAATAGTGACCTTGACCTTAAATCCATGAAATCTGAATTCATCTGGCGGTACATTATCTTAGCTAAAATATAACAAAATCCTGACGCTGTGTCATAACATAACATCCCCTTCCTCAAAATGCCTGGGGTACAGAAACAGCTGTATATCATTACTATAATCAAACACGGCTTATCCATAAAAAGATCTACTGATTCTCCTGTCTATTTATATCTAGGTAGCTCATGTAACCTAAGGTTGGACATTTTCTCACCTGTTACCATGGGGCTGGTTACAAATACAGTAAAGTTGATCGGGAGGTTCATAGTCTGAATCATTCTCATCATCCTCATAACTCAGATCACCGTCATCTCCTGAAATAGAGCCTGCTGTCAGCTTCACTGGTTCTAGGATAAGAAAGTCTTAACTTTCTTGATTCTTTCCATACTGTTTCCTCACCAACCTCTTGCATCGCCCCATCCCCACCCCCCACCCCCAACCCCCAAAGCCCCCAGCCAAGAAACAAAAGGAACCTGACTAATCTATATATGACAATGAAATATCTTAGTATTTATCTAGTTGTCTCTGGCTAATAATACGCAATTCTGTCAAAATCCAAGACAAGATGGACACAGTTCATGGACCAAGTGTAAGATAAATAAAAAATCTTATATTTCCAAATATGATGTTTCTGAAAGAATTGGTTTAATTTTTATAAGGAACAAATAACGTTAATCATCTCATGAAATTTTCAGCTGTCATGTTATCAAACATTAGAGAAAGAAGCAAAGTATTTGTTTTCAAAAAATGAAATTAATTCTTTCATTTTTTAATCTTGATATTTCAATTTTTGTATTTAATGTTAAATATCAATTTCAAAAATAACTGCAGAAAGATACAAATCTGGAAATTTGGTCCAGATCCATTCCTATTTTGTATAAGTGTAGGTACTACCCATTTAACCATTATAATGTTTTTGAGAAGAACCCAACATGCTTGAAATTTTAGTAAACTTTTCAGTGAGTGAAAAATTCTTTGAATCTGAATTTTTTACTCATGATGACAACTTAGTCGTTTTTTAAGGACCAATATGGTTAAATTATTGGTATTGATTGAGGAACGTTTGCACATTTTTACATCACTAAAATTGTTTTACAAACCATTTTCTTGTTGAATTTGCTACCTGACCAAATAGGTAGAATAAACATGGTAAAAAATACTTTTATCTGTATAATGACCTCATTTTAACCGACCAGTTACAGGACCTATCCCAGAGTCCTGAACCATGGTCTATCATTAATTAGGTAGGGAACATTTAACAAGTGTGCTCCCAAGCATAGCAGTCAGCAAGGATGAACTTGTATTCGATGGCACTAATTAGATAATAATATATATTTCATTTGTGATAACATACAACTGTCTAGATTCATACATTTCTTTAGTGATAACACACAACTGTCTAGATTCATACATTTCTTTAGTGATAACACACAACTGTCTAGATTCATATATTTTTAAAGTGATAACACATTACTGTCTAGATTCATACATTTCTTTAGTGATAACACACAACTGTCCAGATTCATACATTCCTTCAGTAATAACTTACCACTTTCTAGATCTGCCTGTGATGACTTTCCAACCTTTAATGGTTTAGTTTTTGTAGTTTTCTTCTTTTCTTTAACTTTTTGTTTCTTCTCCTTTCTTTGATTTCTCTCAGGAATTTCATAAGGAAAGGAATATGTTTTTGGTTTTCTTTCTCTTTTCTGTCTGACCTCTATATCACTGCCACTTGTGGGCGTATTTTGACCTTCAACCTCTTTAAGTAAAGTCTTTGAGTCTTGAGTTTTTGGAGTGTTCAAATTATTGTCATTTATTACAGTTGGTTGTGGTACCTTCTGTAATTTTACCTCTGTAATTTTTGAACATTCAACTGAAGAATCTATATTTTCCTGAACTTTCACTTCGGGAGTTATCTCCTCTTTAGTTTGTGAAATCACAGCACTTCCTTCATTAGAAACACCACCAGAGCCTTTGTCACTCATGAGGGCTTGTTCAGAAAGCGAACATTTCTCACTTTCTGTATCAACAGCAGTCACCTCCTGTTTACAAACAGAATCAACTCTATCCTTAGTTTCCATCTGAACACTATCACCGACAGCCTCTTTTATCTGAGGTCGGATCTGAACACTATCACCGACAGCCTCTTTTATCTGAGGTCGGATCTGAACACTATCACCAACAGCCTCTATTATCTGAGGTTGGATCTGAACACTATCACCGACAGCCTCTATTACCTGAGGTTGGATCTGAACACTATCACCGACAGCCTCTATTATCTGAGGTTGGATCTGAACACTACTGCTGACTGTCTCTTTAATATGAGTTTTGTCAGCATCTGTTACAAAATCACTTTCACACTTAATCTCTGGAGTTTGTACATGTGTTGCCACCTGCTCCTGCTTATCCTGTTTAATGGTATCCTCTACTGTCAAAGCATCAGCACCGGTTTTAGTAAAATCCATGTTTTCACTCACACCTATTGTTTTATCACTTGAAACAATAGCTTCAGATTCCATATTGTCCTTTTCAACTTTAACATCCTCAATAAGGTCAACAACTTTATTTTTGCTGTCTTTTTTGGTATCAGAATCAGCTATAGTCAAACAATGGCTCTCTGACACTTTACTCTCTTGTTGAACATCTACTTTGTCCTTGGACATCTCAGACTGTGTAGGTTGATGACCCTTAACCTCTACACTATCCATTGTGTCATGTTTTTCCTGAATGACTCCGTCAGGTTTAAACAAATCCATGACAGTTGGATCTATAACAATCTCCTCAGACTTCCGTGGCTTCTTCTTCACAGGTTTTGGAGTGACTTTCTGTACAGCAGATTCCTCACTCATTTTGGAATCTACAGAATCTAGTCTCTTTCTATGAGAATCCTTTCCTTCTTTCCCTTTCACAGAAACTTCTTCCTTCTCTGAAATTGTCCTCCTCCTTTTCCCTCCACTGGGGGTGTCCTTCAAGTCCTCCTTTCTCTTACCTAAGCCTTTCCTTTGTTTAGGAGTTGTATCCTCTTGTTCCTCACCTGGGCTTTCTTTCTTTCCTGTCCTTTCCATGACAACCGTAGGTGTCTCTGTAGCTTTTCCCCGTCCACTTTTCCTTCTATCTGAAGCTGGTGATTCCTTTATATTTTCCTCTTTTTTATTTCCTGCTCTAACAGTTTTCGTTTCAATAGTTTTCTTTTGCATCACTTCCAATTTATCTCCCTTTATCACTGATTTTATATCTCCTTTCCCCTTCCTTTCTGTTGGATCTTCCTCCATAACTTCCTGTTTCTTTTTCTTTCCTTTTGTAACAGGTTCTGTTGCATCTTCATCATCCTTAACTTTCTTTCCTTTCTTTTTGTCTGCTTTTGGCATTTCTTCCTCTTCACTGCTCTCTCCTGCTTTTACTGTTTTACTAACTGCTACTTTCCTTCCTTTCCTTGCCCCTTTTGTTCCTTTTGATGGACTAACTTTTTCTTCCTGAACACTGTCATCATCCCTCGCCTTAGCTTTCCTTCCTCTCTTAGGTTTCCCCTTGACAGGTGAATCCTCCTCATCACTTTCCCCATTTTCCTTTTCAGTTTTTTTCCTTCCTTTTGGAGTTGGTTTTACTTCTTCACTGTCTTTAATTTTCTTTCCTTTTCTAAAAAGTTTCTTTCTCCCTTTGGGTGTGATCTCCTCTTCCTCTTCTTCACTTTCCTGCTTCTTCTGTCCCTTCTTTATCACTTTCTTTCTCCCTTTTTTCCCTCCCTTTTTCTTGCCTTTAGGCGTTTCCTCCTCTTCATCCTCACTGTTTTCTTTCTCTACTTTTCCTTTTTTCCCTCCTTTTTTCTTGCCTTTAGGCGTTTCCTCCTCTTCATCCTCACTACTTTCTTTCTCTACTTTTCCTTTTTTCCCTCCCTTTTTCTTGCCTTTAGGCGTTTCCTCCTCTTCATCCTCACTACTTTCTTTCTCTGCTTTTCCTTTTTTCCCTACTTTTTTCTTGCCTTTAGGTGTTTCCTCCTCTTCATCCTCACTACTTTCTTTCTCTACTTTTCCTTTTTTCCCTCCCTTTTTCTTGCCTTTAGGTGTTTCCTCCTCTTCATCCTCACTACTTTCTTTCTCTACTTTTCCTTTTTTCCCTACTTTTTTCTTGCCTTTAGGTGTTTCCTCCTCTTCATCCTCACTACTTTCTTTCTCTACTTTTCCTTTTTTCCCTCCCTTTTTCTTGCCTTTAGGTGTTTCCTCCTCTTCATCCTCACTGTTTTCTTTCTCTTTCACCATTTTTCCTTTCTTTCCTCTAGTTTTCTTGCCTTTCGGCGTTTCTTCCTCTTCATCATCACTTCCGTCTTTCACCATTTTCCCTTTTTTCCCTCCTTTTTTCTTGCCTTTAGGCGTTTCCTCCTCTTCATCCTCACTACTTTCTTTCTCTACTTTTCCTTTTTTCCCTCCTTTTTTCTTGCCTTTAGGTGTTTCCTCCTCTTCATCCTCACTACTTTCTTTCTCTACTTTTCCTTTTTTCCCTCCTTTTTTCTTGCCTTTAGGTGTTTCCTCGTCTTCATCTTCACTGTTTTCTTTTTCCATTTTCCCTTTCTTTCCTCCTCTTTTCTTCCCTTTCTGTTTGGGAGAACTTTCCTCTTCATTGTCACTTTCTTCTTCCTTTTTGGCTAGTTTCTTCCCTCCTTTTTTTCCTTTCACTACTGCTTTTTTCTTAGAACCTCGAGTTGTTTTGATTTCTTTTTCACTGTCTTCATTGTCTCCATCACTCTTATCTTCGTCCCCAGCTTTCACCATTTTCCCTTTTGATCTCACACCTTTCTTGCCAGTCTGTAATAAACAAAATCATATCTTTCATAACATTCCATCAAAATTCGACATGAACATATATACTTCTGGCTATTTATGAGTTCCAACTCATACATAACAGTACACAACAGATGAACATGGGTAGCACACAGAATGGTAGAATGATAAACAAGAGGTTCTAGGGGCCTGAATCGCTCACCTATTCTGCACCTTTCATTCCTTCATTCAAATTTCTGCTATCTTGAATGCATACTCCTCTAGCATTATACTACACAAATACCATGAACTTGAAACTATCGCTTGTTAAAAAAAATAAATTTTAAGTTCATTACATATTGATCTGATCAAACTTCGTAGGCCACGATCCCAGCATGTTACACATGTAATATCAGTACCTTGGACGTTTACTGAGTTACTGAGTTGTTTTAAAACTTGAACACACTTGAGCCCTTTGACTTTCAAAGTTGGTCAAAGTCAATTATTTGAACAAACTTGGCAGCATGATACTGCTAGATATCAGTACCCTGGGTGTAATTGTTTAGAAAGGAAAAGTTCATGACAGACAGACCAAAGGATGGATGCTGAACCAGTGCATAAGCTTACTAGCCATTCTCGCAGGTGAATGAAAAATGATTACCAGATCCATCCACAATGAGTCCTTATAATAAAATCTCTAACTCAAAGTGGAGGGGCTTAGTAGGATGACAAACTTGTTCCGAAAACCAACCTTTCTTGTATTCTTTTTCTCATCAGCAACTTCTTCCTCCTCCTCCTCCTCCTCATCATCATCATCTTCATCCTCATCATCACTGTTTTCATCTATGTCATTTTTCTTTGTCTGAAAACACAAGAAAAGTTGGAGAATATCAGATTTCAAATTCTCACTTAGAAAATGATGATTCAATATCTTTCACTATTAAGTACCCTTCATTGTTACTCCTTGTCTCCACACCAACAACCAGTTACCCTAGTAAACAGCTACCCTATACATGACTCCTTGTCTCCACACCAACAACCAGTTACACTAGTAAACAGCTACCCTATACATGACTCCTTGTCTCCACACCAACAACCAGTTACACTAGTAAACAGCTACCCTATACATGACTCCTTGTCTCCACACCAACAACCAGTTACCCTAGTAAACAGCTACCCTAACACCAACAACCAGGTAGCACCCATACATGACTCCTTGTCTCCACACCAACAACCAGTTACCCTAGTAAACAGCTACCCTATACATGATAACACCAACAACCAGTTACCCTAGTAAACAGCTACCCTATACATGACTCCTTGTCTCCACACCAACAACCAGTTACCCTAGTAAACAGCTACCTATACATGACTCCTTGTCTCCACCCAACAACCAGTTACCCTTCAGTTACCCTATTTCTGCTCCACACCAACAACCAGTTACCCTAGTAAACAGCTACCCTATACATGACTCCTTGTCTAGCATTATACTACACCAACAACCAGTTACACTAGTAAACAGCTACCCTATACATGACTCCTTGTCTCCACACCAACAACCAGTTATAAATTTTACAGTTCATTACATATTGACTCCTGTCTCACACCAACAACCAGTTACCCTAGGCCACGAACAGCATGTTACACATGTCTCCACACCAACAACCAGTTACCCTAGTAAACAGCTACCCTATACATGACTCCTTGTCTCCACACCAACAACCAGTTACACTAGTAAACAGTTGTTTTACAAACAGTGACTCCTTGTCTCCACACCAACAACCAGTTACCCTAGTAAACAGCACTATACCTATTACATAGAGCCCTTTGACTCCTTGTCTCCACACCAACAACCAGTTACACTAGTAAACAGCTACCCTATACATGACTCCTTGTCTCCACACCAACAACCAGTTACCCTAGTAAACAGCTACCCTATACATGACTCCTTGTCTCCACACCAACAACCAGTTACCCTAGTAAACAGCTACCCTATACATGACTCCTTGTCTCCACACCAACAACCAGTTACCCTAGTAAACAGCTACCCTATACATGACTCCTTGTCTCCACACCAACAACCAGTTACCCTAGTAAACAGCTACCCTATACATGACTCCTTGTCTCCACACCAACAACCAGTTACACTAGTAAACAGCTAACCTATACATGAAACCAACAACCAGTTACCCTGATTACCCTATACATGACTCCTTGTCTCCACACCAACAACCAGTTACACTAGTAAACAGCTAACCCACACCAACAACCAGTTACACTAGTAAACAGCTACCCTATACATGACTCCTTGTCTCCACACCAACAACCAGTTACCCTAGTAAACAGCTAACCTATACATGACTCCTTGTCTCCACACCAACAACCAGTTACCCTAGTAAACAGCTACCCTATACATGACTCCTTGTCTCCACACCAACAACCAGTTACCCTAGTAAACAGCCACCCTATACATGACTCCTTGTCTCCACACCAACAACCAGTTACCCTAGTAAACAGCCACCCTATACATGACTCCTTGTCTCCACACCAACAACCAGTTACCCTAGTAAACAGCTACCCTATACATGACTCCTTGTCTCCACACCAACAACCAGTTACACTAGTAAACAGCTAACCTATACATGACTCCTTGTCTCCACACCAACAACCAGTTACACTAGTAAACAGCTACCCTATACATGACTCCTTGTCTCCACACCAACAACCAGTTACACTAGTAAACAGCTACCCTATACATGACGCCTTGTCTCCACACCAACAACCAGTTACCCTAGTAAACAGCTACCCTATACATGACTCCTTGTCTCCACACCAACAACCAGTTACACTAGTAAACAGCTAACCTATACATGACTCCTTGTCTCCACACCAACAACCAGTTACACTAGTAAACAGCTACTCTATACATGACTCCTTGTCTCCACACCAACAACCAGTTACCCTAGTAAACAGCTACCCTATACATGACTCCTTGTCTCCACACCAACAACCAGTTACCCTAGTAAACAGCTACCCTATACATGACTCCTTGTCTCCACACCAACAACCAGTTACCCTAGTAAACAGCTACCCTATACATGACTCCTTGTCTCCACACCAACAACCAGTTACCCTAGTAAACAGCCACCCTATACATGACTCCTTGTCTCCACACCAACAACCAGTTACCCTAGTAAACAGCTACCCTATACATGACTCCTTGTCTCCACACCAACAACCAGTTACACTAGTAAACAGCCACCCTATACATGACTCCTTGTCTCCACACCAACAACCAGTTACCCTAGTAAACAGCTACCCTATACATGACTCCTTGTCTCCACACCAACAACCAGTTACACTAGTAAACAGCTACCCTATACATGACTCCTCGTCTCCACACCAACAACCAGTTGCCCAATAAACACACCATCCAGTTACCCCAATACACACACCATCCCCCATAATCATTATTTGATATTTGACTTCAGCCTCAGAACACAGTCCTTCCAAATTACTCATTTGTGAAACTAATCAATATCCTTTATTCCTCTCAGCATTACTATTCACTTTGTGCTCACACTTGTCCACATTGTAAAGTTTGTGATCAAATACCTTTTTATATGGTTTTTTTCTCCCTTTGGCATTTTTAACTTCCTTCTCCCCCTCACTTTCCTGAACCTGTTCTTCATCGTCTGTCTTGGTTGCAGCTTTGCGTCCTCGACCACCCTAAAAAGATACAGTAATAATAAGCTGATCACTGTCCTACTACTATTTACTAACAAAATATCTGTAGGACATGAATACCCCCAACAAGGATCTGATCAGGTGTAGAACCTGGAATTAAGATACAACAGAATAAATATGAAAGGAATCTGTTCAGAGGGTCTCAGGATATGACATTAATTCAAGATTGGAAACGATGGGATAGGACTGAAACATATAGCTAACATCATAGACCTTCCCTTTCTCATCACAAAGTGTGGCATCAAACACAAGTTGAAAGGCAAGAAATACAGAAGTGGCAGAACACTGTTTTACAGAGAAAGAACATCATATTACAAACTTAAATCGTGATAGTTTCAATCACAACATACCCCAGCATCATTTACAGATTTATTGGCCGACTAGATTCGCCTCTGTAAGAGAGGCTTCATCAGTATATAGCAAACTTATAATCATTGTTATTGAGAACAAAGAATGATGTGGAAGTTTAAAATACTAAACACTTGGAAATTTTCAAGGCGTCACATATACAGAATACATTGTAGAATGCAAGAGTGACTTCAAGCCAGGTTGAAGTGAAGACAGGAAGCCTCCATTAATATCCTTTATTTTAAAGATTTCTCTTAAGCTGCCATGGTTCATTAATCAAAATCCGACAGAAATATTTTTTGTGTTAACAGAAGCATGCAGCTGCTGTGTTAGGTCACAGTATCTATTTACCAATTTAAAACTTGTAAAAAAGTACTTTGACCTCAATATACCCAGACCTTTAGTAATGGTCAAGAGACTTGTAAATTGTTACAAATATACCTGTGAGACATTTCAAATTTGACCATCACCTCTCACCTTATGACATAATTATCATTCTGTGATAAAAAAATCAATTAGTTTGAAATTTTTCTATTTACTTTTCTAACAGGTGTCTTTCTGTCGTCTTGTTTCTCTCCAGCCTTTCCAGTCTGCAGAGCTTCCAAAGCCTCCTTCTCTCTTTGTCTATTTTCCTGTAATATCTTCTCTGCCATTTCACGCTGTTCATGGTCACCGATTCTGGTCGACCGCCTGTAACACACATCAGTCAATCAAGGAAGCATTATTAACACATCCACACAGAAGGATTCTGGTGTCTGTTGACAAGGTAGATAACTCTGGCTAGTAAAGGGAAATCTGTTTCCAATCCCTTATCAATTATCAGATATACTCTCAGTCTTTCTGATGTAGTTAATCACTTACTGATGTGTACAATATTCATAGATAGAAAATATTAAGTTATGATATAAGATCATGAAATATTTTAATTGATTATCAGATCAGCTGAGGTGAACGAATAAGTGAATTGTAGTTGTATTCCATTATCTTTCAATCACTAGCTGCAGTAAAGTTAAAATATCCCTTAACCTGATACTGAGCTGTGACTGTTCCACCTTTCTTCCCTTTGGACGTCCTCGGCCCCGACTAGGAGTCTCTTCTTGCTCCTCTACCTCCTCAACAACCTCTTCCACCTGAACCTTTACTTCTACAGTAACATCCTCGCGTGTCTGCTCAACATCCTTCACTTCATCAACATCATCATTCTGCCCCTTACGAATGGCGATGCGTGCACTCTTGCGTGGGGAGGATGATGGTGTGCTTGAAGTCTGTAACACTACTGCCGGTGGCTTGGGCATTTGGTAGGAAGGGAGGGCATAGGCATGGTCAGAGAAAGCTGATGATCTATCATCTGACTTCTGTTAAAAACAAAAAGTTTTCATGTAGGATAAATACATTCCTTTGGATTTTACTTACATTTCACGGTCACCCAGTAATCGAACTGGATGTGCACCGTTCAACCATAAAGTTGTAATACCAAATTTCATTTCTATAACTCGAAGCATAAAGGGAAAACTGCGCAAAGCAATATTCCTGAGAAATTTTCCAAGTTCAAAGGGACATATCACTGCCAATAAGGGTTACAGACTGCCAAGAAGCGAACTCGATGCGCAACTTTTGACCAAGAACTCATATACAAAATTGCATTTTGATAACTCGAAGCATAACCAAGAAAATTGTCCAAGTTCAATGGGGCATAACTCTGCCAAGAAAGCCGAGAATCGAACCTTATCTGTAATGTTTGACCATGAAGCCATTTATCATATTTCATTTCAAAAACTCATAAAAAGCATAATCAAGAAAAGTACAAAAAAAACAAATTCTCAAAGAATTTTCTGTACCCTTCCAACAAGAAGCCATATACCAAATTTCATTTCTATAACTTGAAAAAAGTCCGGAAAACTTTCGTACGGACACCACCGCCTATGCGTGATGATGGACAAAGTGATCCCTAAGTGTCCGCCAGCTCTGCAGACGACACAAAAACCTACCAGAAATTACAGAGATCAGTCAAAAACTGATGACAGGGAGATAGTCACAGTTAGGTAACATAACCTCACAAAATTATAGAGATCAGTCAAAAACTGAAGACAGGGAGATAGTCACAGTTAGGTAATAAAACCTCACAAAATTATAGAGATCTGTCAAAAACTGATGGCAGGGAGATAGTCACAGTTAGGTAATTAAACCTCCCAAAATCATAGAGATCAGTCAAAAACTGATGACAGGGAGATAGTCACAGTTAGGTAATATAACCTCACAAAATTATAGAGATCTGTCAAAAACTGATGACAGGGAGATAGTCACAGTTAGGTAATATATAACCTCACAAAATTATAGAGATCAGTCAAAAACTGATGGCAGGGAGATAGTCACAGTTAGGTAATAAAACCTCCCAAAATTATAGAGATCTGTCAAAAACTGATGGCAGGGAGATAGTCACAGTTAGGTAATATAACCTCACAAAATTATAGAGATCAGTCAAAAACTGATGGCAGGGAGATAGTCACAGTTAGGTAATATAACCTCACAAAATTATAGAGATCAGTCAAAAAGTGATGACAGGGAGATAGTCACAGTTAGGTAATAAAACCTCACAAAATTATAGAGATCAGTCAAAAACTGATGGCAGGGATATAGTCACAGTTAGGTATTATAACCTCACAAAATTATAGAGATCAGTCAAAAACTGATGACAGGGAGATAGTCACAGTTAGGTAATATAACCTCACAAAATTATAGAGATCAGTCAAAAACTGATGGCAGGGAGATAGTCACAGTTAGGTAATATAACCTCCCAAAATTATAGAGATCAGTCAAAAACTGATGGCAGGGATATAGTCACAGTTAGGTAATAAAACCTCACAAAATTATAGAGATCAGTCAAAAACTGATGGCAGGTGGGATTTCTTGTTTGAAAAAAATGTACAGAAGAAAAACAATACCAGAGTATCACAATGCTCCTGTCTTAATATCTTAATGGATGTCTACTAATTTGGTATGTTCACACTGATATGTTATACATTTACGACAGGAAAACCTACATCAAACATATCAAGTGTCAGAAGGTCTTCACTGGTGTTAGCAGAATCCTGACTACTGTCCAAACCTGCCACTTGGGCCATGGTCTCGGTGAAATCGCCTTCGTTTGTCTGTTGAAGAATCTTTCTAGCTTCTTCGGAGGACAGAAATTCGTCCAGCTTGCTCATGTGCTCCTCAGAAAAACCACTAAATGGATTTTTGTCCTATAGGAAATATATTAATACAGAAAGAGTAATTTGATATTTAAAAAGAAATTTAATTTATTAAGAAGTGCTTTAAGTCCATTAATCTGAAGTTGTTTTAAGATTGTTGCCATCTTTTAAAATATCCACCTGAAATCTCTGGATAATCACTAATGAAAAACACCAATATCTTAATTCTTGCAGACATGTTAACCTTTTTGTTTGTAAACAAGGAACTGAAGTGCAGCTTGACCTAATTGGGTGTAGTATTCGCATGTCGTTTCTTTTTTCTCTTGAAATCTGGAACACATCCTTCATTGACAGAGGATGTCCATTTGAAACCTCTTGCTGATTGTTGTCTACAAACTAAACACAATGGACAAATACTGAATCACTTTGGTGTTTGTAATGACCATAAATTTGAATGCCTGTATGATAATGTTGTTCACAAGCTGCATTTAATACAGAACACTCAAGAACAGTGGAAATACAATGGCTTTGTATAAGGATTTTTATCATTAGAACGAATAATAATTTGTTGAAAAAGAAAAAATGATGTTGATAACAAAGTTGTGTAACAGAAATATTTTCAGTTGGTGAAAATGCCAATTGGTAGAAGAAAGGAATATTTTGTACAGCTGATGCAGAAATCTGGCAAAAAATAAGTAATATTAATTTATGGACTCTGTGTTCGCATATGAAATGTAATTTAATAGGGGAATCATTCTGACTTCAGAAAGAACAAGAGAACCACAGGGCAGAAAAATATACATCAATTCCAGGCCAAAGAACATATTGAAAGATAATAATGAATCAAAAAGTAGCGAGCAAATACAGTGTTAGGTGTTTTAATGATAAATTGAAACTATCAAGTTTTAAAGAGATGGGTGGAAAACTGAAAGAAATCTCATGACAAGTTTAAAATGCTGAAAAAAACAAAAGGAAATTTTCTTTTTGAAATATTGTTGAATTGAAATGTTATTCATGAGACCAGAGTATCAAGTTGTTGTTTTCAAGCCTACCAAGTCTGAAAGAATTTGGTTGAAACTGAGGAAGGAGATATCTGAACCAAATAAAAATGTTGAAAATAAATGGCAATTACTCTTTTCAAAATTGTAAAATCACAATGGCAGAAAGAAAAAAAATTGTAAAGGTTATAAAGCCTACCAAGTTTCATAGAAATTGGTGAAAACTTGGGAAGAAGATCTCCATACAAAAATCAAATTGTTAACAACAAAAAACAAGCATGAGGCCCATGGGTCTTAATGGTCATCTGACTATAAAGTCCCATATAAGATGATGCCAATTGGCCCTGAATTGCTAATCTGTTCTAAAGCTTACAAAAAATATTTTGATCAGTTCATAAAGTCAGTTTCTGAACATTTGAAATTCTATTCCTAATACATGCTACTACACAAATACCATCACCCAGGAAGTTTTGCTTATTGAAAGAAGAAATTCTAAATTCATTTGACCAAAGTGACCTTGAAATTGGGTCAAGGTCAATCATTTGAATTAATTTTGTAGCCCTTCACTCAATTATGCTACAGGACCAATATCAATAGCCAATACCTCTTTGTTATTAAGAAGTCCTTTGAAGATTTTACGACAATTGACCCCAGTAATCTTTAAAGTGGCTCAAGGTGATTTAAATAAAAAAAAACTTGTCCTCACTTCACCCTTGCATGCTACAGGCCAAATATCTGCATCCTGGGCCTTTTGGTTATTGAAAACAAGTTGAAGCTCAATCCCACCGGTGAAACTTGAGACAAAATAGGTGTTGTACAAGGTTGAAGAATAACAACACTTTGTTGGCTACTTTTCTTTAACATTCCCCTCAATTTTAGCTCAATGGCACCAGTAGAACTGGAGAAGTTTAAAATGTTTTTCAAGATGACGGCCATCTTGGATTTCAGACAGACCTGAAAAATAACAACACTTGGTCTGAACAATCCCAGGATCATTTCATGCAAGTTTGAGCTCAATCCCACTTGTGGAACTTAAGAAGAAGCTTGAAATGTCAAAATTTTATGCACAGCAGACAACGGATGAAGAACAATGACTATAGTTCATCATTAGGATCAAATGACCTAAAAGCGTGGAATCAACCTGCTGTGAGAAAATACCACTTCATGTCATGATAATTGAAGCATATCAAGTTTGAAAGTATGAAAGTTTGAAATCAACTGAAATCTGATCAGGAGAGAGATGAACATAGTACAATTAACAATGGGCAGTAACTTTTTCAAATAATGTAAAATCAAACTTCCATTCATGAACAGACAACTTCATGTCAAGGTGATTAAGTCTATCAAGTTTCAAAGAAATCGGTTAAAAGCACAGAGGAGATCTCCAGATAAGATTAACGCAATCCAAACAACAAAAGGGTGATAACTCATTAAAAACTGTCATTCAAGTATAGGCAACTTCATGTCATGGGAAATTGTAAGCCTTCCAAGTTTAGAACAAAAAAAAAAAAAAAACCGATTGAAAATTGTTGGAGATATCCAGAAAAATAAAAGTTTATAAATGGACTGAGGGACATACCAGTCCTTTGCAAATTTAAGAAGTCAAAATGAAGGTTTCTGAGGGTCAATGAAGCCTACCAGGTTTAACAGAAATCTCTTGAGAACTGAGAGATAGGATGGACAAGAACAGCATGAAAACAAGCATGGGCAGTAACTCCCTTTAAATCAGTCAAATTTTTGATGGGCATATAAATATAATCAACATTAACATTGTTGAATTGGGCTGAAATATAAAGGCAGGAAAAACATTGATTTTTGTACCAGTTTAATTGACCAACTGGTCTAAATTCACCATATCACATTCATTCATTCCAGGAATGCAGACATATTCCAAGAAATGACAGAGAGTAAAATGAATATTACATATGGCAATGGTTTGAAAAATAAAACTGTCCTTCATTACCTCAAATCCTTCTAAAGGCCAGCCACCCTGGGGAGTAGGTCCAGAGTGCTCTCCCCTTTCTGGTTTTGTAGCACAAGAGTTATCATTACCAACAGAAACAGTGGAAGTGGGAGGACCAGCACTGCCAGAACAACCTTGATTATCACTTAAAGTCACTGCTATAGCATGACTTGTTTCTGTTCGTTCACTTTCGGACATTTCACACCTTTGAATATCTGTAAAATAATTATCAAAATTAATAGAGCAACATAAAAGAACCTAAAACTATCAATATAACAATCTTTATGTATGTTCTATTTCACAAATTTGTCCCACCATAGCAAATAATACTCATTGAAAACATCTTTTGGAATAATACCTTCCGAAGGAAGAAATAATCATAACTCTGGTTCTGACCAGAGAAAACAAAGTTGTTAAATAATTGTTTATTTGACAAGAGATTATTATCATGTCATTAAAATGTTTCTGAATTTGCAATCTCTAACTCTAGCAACTTAAGCAAATATAGAGGACCAGACAACATCGTAGGAAGAATTAAAACTGTTTAACTGTTGACATGTTTTGGCATATTTGCTGTTTTCACATCTTTGAACCAGATTCCTGTATTCCACTAGGAATCGATCCTAGGAAGACTGCTGGTATTACTGAATCTAACAGACCAGACATTGGATCTTGTTTTCTTTGTATTATAGTCTCTGTGTATTTAGTAACTTCACATTCAGTTAACAGTATAATTATTGTTTGCTGCTGCCCACATGAACTTGGTCACATAACAAATTTTGACAATGTACGTATATAACAGATTTCATCACTTACTTTATTTACAGGTTTCTGTATAAATATTCAATATCCATTTAAAATGATCCCACATTCTTTATTGCCAAAGCATATCAAGATGTTAATAAATGCTATGCAGGCCTTGTCTTGTACCATGCAGACCATACCCAAACATTCTATAAATAACAATGACTGCAAAATTCCACGCGGTACACGATGGATTTCATGACTCCGTAAACAATGACAATTTATTGTTCTTTCGAAAAACAATCATTTCGTCAGTTTCATAGTATAGTATTGTGTCGCAACATCAGCTGGCCTGTTTGTTTTTAACAAAATCACGTGCTTTTGCTTATCAATATACAAGGCCTCATGCGCAGGCAAAGCGATGCTGACGAGTAATGATGTCGACTGAAATATCAGTTGTGTCTGAAAAATACAAACCTTAAGCATCCCACAAATAACGTGTTTGCAATAGCTTATGTATTTTAGGTTTCCTCTGCTGAAAGACTTTTCCATCCAGTTGCAAAATATACCAAAATAGCAGGTGTCCTTGCAACACACTACCGTATCTCATCAATATTCAAGCGCCATGTTTTCCTAGACGTCACGTGACATTGTGTTTTTCTTAGTTCAGAGGGTCTTCCTTCGATAGTTTGATATTACACATGTGCATTTTTTCTTATACCCAATACTATGATGATATAGAAACATACCATCATAATGAGTACAATTAATTAAACAAATACATTATCAATTTTATCCAATCAAATGATAAGTTTTATTCACATGTCTATCGGTAGCCATCGGGACTTTATATAGTGTTGATAGCGGAAGGAGAGTGGCATCGAACAAAATTGCGGGAAATCATGAAAACTTTGTGTTCTGACACGAGACGTCATTCTAAATTCTAATATGACAGTTGAGAAATGGAAAGAGATTCTTTCGCCTTCATATTCCAGCATCCGAAAATCTCTGGTCCGATCCTTTTTCAGACGGTAAGATCAATTTCGATATTTAATATCTGTACAGAGTGCAAACTATTCCACACATGTATTTAGTATTAAGTTTCTGTAGTTAAAAAAGAAAAGTTCTTCATTCCTTCTTGCACTTTTTCAAATGAACTCTTTCGTTTGTTTATATTTTGACATAGGTTATTGAATTTGAAGTTGGATTATTGTTCTGTTCACATGATGGTATTTTCTTATTGTTTTTTTTACCTAACATTGAAAACTGAATTTCGCCAGATGATGTACGCAAAAATAATTGCTCCGAAACTGTTACGGATATTAAGCAATTTCACGAATGTTCGCAATTAAACTTGTTCTTTCAACAAACAAGATTGCATATTATCTGTATTTTACTTTACTTGTTAAATTTAAGCAAATTCAGTAAGTAATTCTGTCGAATTAATGCATTTGCTAAAAAAATACAGCTGTTTCCCATCACTGCCGAATACAGTAAAATATATATGTGGCAGATCTATATATTCCAACAATGGCACTGCCATTTTTTCTGTAGCTAGTGAATATGTCTTCTCGTTGCCCAGAAATATATGATCCAAGGTTGAGAAACGTGAATTGACCTCATGGAATTGAACCGACGATACCCGCAGTAGTACTCGCCCACGGTAGTCCTGGAGCTCAACTGACGTTAGCTAAAGAGTGACAACGGCATGTAAAACGTTGCAATATTCTAACTTTTGTTAAAAATCTTGGTTTATATACAACATTTTGTGATTTATAAAATTTCTGGTTTATATTCTTCATATTTTGTTTTTAATACCCAGAACACAACTTTTACAACATAACGTGACGGTACCCAAAAAGGATTACTTCTCAAATATTTCATGCAGATTTTTATTTTGCAATACAAGTGATTATTAACTATTCTAAACAAGAATTGACTAATTTATGAATAATTGTAGCATTTTTTTTATCAACCCATGTCTTCTATGTTGCTTATAATCTCAATTTAAATTTTAAAAATGAAGTTATACATAAAAAAAACCTGGGAAATGACGCCATGCAACAACGCGACTATTCTCTCACCTGTTTGATGTGTTTTATAGATAAACAAAAGGGATTGATGAGAAACGTGGTCAGGTAATGCTACCCAAATTGGAACACTTTTTGAGGAAAATTGTTAAAAAAAAAAAAAAAAAACTGTACCTATCCGAAGCCATTTCATGAATATTACATAATTGTTCCCTACCTCTGTTGTTCAGTCAGATCACCAGTAAGGCCTATAATCTATTGTTTAATTAAGATATCAATACCATGTTTGGTTCGTTCGTATCCTTAATTTTCCAAGAAATATTGAAAGTGAAAATGCTATCGCATTTCTGGCATCCAAGAAGTACAAGCAATGGGCGATAGACACAAGTTTATTTCGTCACGAAACATTAGTTTCTGGTATCTTTGGAAGTTCGTTGTACAAAAATGTATATTTCTAGAGGATCTGTTCAGTTTTGGTTATTGCTATGTTTGAAGAAATGCAGTTGCGTTCGCTGATTCTGTGCGTCACTTTCGATTATATGGACAATTGTGATGTTCTGACCCAATCTCGGCATGTTTTCAGTACCTGTTAAGAACAGGAAAATTGTTTGTTGTAAATTGATGGTCTGATAAAAGTTAGAAATACAAGTGAATCGTACCAGTCCTAGTGTGGTAGACAGGATCGTCTCCACCAGTTCCCTTTCAGTATATAGGTCGGTAAGGAAGCCTCCTCCAGTCGTTGATTTGTATTAGTTGTCCCTCCCATTCCAATTTGATAGGCAGGCTTTTCTCCTCAAGCCCCTTTCGGTAGGTATGTTGGTGAGTTTGTATCCAGCCCCTTTTGTATTGGTTGTCCCATCTAAGCCAATTTGATAGGCAGGTTTTTCTCCTCCAGCCCCTTTCGGTAGGCATGTTGGTGAGTTTGTATCCAGCCCCTTTTGTATTGGTTGTCCCATCTAAGCCAATTTGATAGGCAGGTTTTTCTCCTCCAGCCCCTTTCGGTAGGCATGTTGGTGAGTTTGTATCCAGCCCCTTTTGTATTGGTTGTCTGCTTTAGCCCAATTTGGTAGGCAGGGTTTCCTCCTGTTTTTTGGTGGTAGGATCGTATCTTCCTGTCACGTACATGGTTTAGATGAAATACGTTTACACGTCTCACGGACTGTCAAGTACAAAACGGCAGAGAAAAATCCAAAGGTATAAGATGTCCATGTTACTAATTTTCTAACTCATTTGTCTTACTGGCCGAGACGTTGATAGTAGTTCATAATTTAAACGTGGTTAAATCAGCATAAACATGTTTGCAAGTTTATCACACGATTTATTCTATTTTAAGAGTTGTCTAATTTTTCACAGATATTCTTGTATTTTTAGGTGTCCGGATTTTTTCACAGACAGTTATGTATTACATGAAGACAGCAAGATTCGGTAATGTCTCCTAAGGACGTAATTTGCGCACATGCTTGTTGAAATTTTGTGACCAGGAAAATGAACATGGAATGTAAAAAGAAACCACCAGACAGAATTGTTCCAAAAAAACCATCACAGCACAAATCAACACCATCCAACCGCGGAAAAGAATTCAGGAATAATATCTTATCACAACAAGAACCGACATTATCCAATCGAGATAAAGCATGCAGGAATAAGATCATATCATCGCAAAAACCGACGTCATTCAACCGAGACCAAGAATGCAGGAATAGTCTCGTATCACAGCAAAAACCAACGTTGTCCAACAGAGACCAAAAATTCAGAAATAACCTGGCATCGAAATATATCGATCACATGCCCTATGTCAATGACTCTAATACTCGACTTTCGGCCTGGTGCGATATTAAGGAGGTCCTCTTTCCGTCCTGCTCCGATCCTAACTGTGACATTGTGCTAAACGCTCTCAAGGTCGTGAGTAGATATCCGTGGGAAGGGAGCAAAATGCAACCATGCACTCCCAAACAGCAAATGATCTTTCTCAGGAATTTCCGGTTGGTGCCTTCCGGTACACTTCTTGTGGATCTCCAGTTTGTAAAGGACAACATCAATGACCTTTGGGAGATGGTCTGGCTCAAACACGGTACTTCACTCGACGCCTGTAGCAGGAGATGCCATTATGCAACTACACAGTTGATGCGCCCCGCCGACAATGATCAGACTTTCTTCGACAAGAGTATGCAGTGTAACATAGTATAAACATAGAATTTATTAATATGGCTGTAAAAAGTTCCAGAATAGTTTATCCTATATTAAACATGATGTTACAGGTTCTAATGTTAAGTGCGTTAGACAGTAAGTCTTCTGCATTTGGTTAATTCATACCGGCCTGTATATTACCCTAAACATATTCGAAAGTCGGTTATAATTATTGTGACGTCTTTGCAATTGCAATTTCTTTATCATATCAACTTTAACATAAAGGTAGTGAAATGTAGTCTCTAGTAAGAATGTACAAAACACACACGTGAATAGCATCTTTAAATAATTTAGATACAGTAGAGCCAAACAATGAAACGGCATCATACACCCGTCTCGTCAATGTAAGACTCGTCAGTGATGCTAAAGTTTAAAGGCGACATTTTGGAAAATCAAAAGCTATCAAATAAAAAGTCAAAATCTATATGGGGAGGTTCAGCAGCATCATGATTAAATAAATTTCGTAATTTTCATACATCAGATAATTTTAGAACAGCGTCAATGTGTATCTCCTGAACCGTGCCGCTATTCACATGAATTAAGGCCGTGCGTAATTTATCTCTTTAACATTCTTGTCTTAATTACAGATAAATAATTAAAGAATACACCATATGAAAAATTTGTTTCAATTTGCGCTGCCATTTTATCAAAAAACATTTTCATAATGCTATGAGAACTATAACATTTTTTGCCATTTGGTACCATGTTTTATAAGTAGTAACCCCAACAATACAACTGTCGCAGCAGGCTTCATGCAATATGCTAAAAACTAAAAGATGGCTCATAATTTGGTTGACTCTATTTAACTTTTGTTTACAGAGAAACAAAATAATACCCAAGCATGTAAAACCAGCTTGAACGGATCTGATGTTAAAGTAGAGGAATCTTACACTGAGACATCGAAATTCCTGGATAATGAATGCAGTACTCAAGGAGATACCACCAATACAGATGTTCATCAGATAAATAATGTCAATATGAAACAGAGCCTATATCAATTGGACAACGATTGCCTCACTGACAACAGGACACAGCAAACTTCGACTGAAGCAAAATCTAAGATGGACAAATCATTTCCAGAATATCGGTATCCAACTATAGAGACATTGAAATTAATACCAAGGAGAGTTGACACGTCCAACAGCATATCTATAAATACCAAACATGTGGGATACACGGTAATACCTGTTGTGAAGTCCTGTGACAAGGATACTGACGACCTTTCATTTTGCTCAGGTGCAGAAGTTTCGGCTACATTCCCTCAGCTTCATGATTACCTAGACAGACTCTCTAGTGAATTTGTAGCTGGTCATACTGACTCTGCCAAAAACAAAATCAGGCGGAGTACAAATATTGAAGGACGATGCTTTACGAACTGGAAGATCAGAAGACATGGATGGAGTAAGTACTACTGTAGGGGTTATCTCAAGTTAAAACACGAGAATGTCCAGGTTTAAAGACTGTACATGGTTGTATCATAATAGTTGGTGGGCAAAACATTGAATTTGTAAATGTCAAATACCATGGGCGCCATGGTAGCCTTGATAACATTACAACTTTATATAGTAAAACATTCATACATCACCCAAGAATTATCCTTCTGATGTTTATAGAATATTCCTACCTAGAAGATAATAAAAGGTCTACAGTGTTTCTGTGTTGTGGACGACATTCACGGGACATTCTAGACCATACTAGTAGTAATGGTTGCTTAAATTGGATAGTTAGAGTTCTATAGCAACGCTAGGTCATCCACGACTACAAATCACATGATGAACGATGTACATATGAAAACGTGGAAATGGCGAATAATGTATATCGCGTTTCATTGGAAAAATGTGATTACTATGCTGTTAAAAACAAATGTGTCTTTTGGTACTTTTTCAGACGTGCCTTGGCAACACATGACATCAAAAGACATTGTCGTTGCTTGGAATTCAGTGGTAAACGAGCTTCAACGTCTCGCGGGAAAGGCAGTTGATGGAAATGACATTTTACCTGTGCCAAATTCCGGTCCGATTAATTACAAGGTGATACATTCCTTTTTGCCTGTGCCTAGCAACATACATTGTAGATAAAGCACGATTTAATAAGATGATATAATTTCTACATCATCTTTACATTTTTCAGAAAAAGTCCTGATGTATTAATTTTCTGCTACAAATTTCAAAGAGCGCGTGAATATTCCAGTAAATGTGTTGACGATAATGTTTTTAAATTATAATTAGTTAAATTACAGACCTTTAATTGCAGGAAAATTTTTCACATCTGGTTTGCGACAGGAATTTTTCAAATTGGATGTCAACGAGCAATTGTCGAAAGCAAGTTTACCCTCCAAATAAAGAGAATCATGTACACAATATCACACTTGCGAAACAGAAGCCAGATCAATCGATAAATCCAAAGACATTGTACGAACTTTGTCAGGGGCAGGTAAAGAGAAATGGTGAACGGAAATACGTCATCCCAGGGGAAAAACCTAATGGTATGGAAAGGAAGTCTTTTCCTAATGTTAACAGACGTGTTCAAGAAAGAAGAAATGCAGACCTTATCATTTCTATGAAAGTTCGAGATAGTTCTGAAGCTGCCACAACGGTGAAGGAAGTCATGCCAGTGAATCAGATTACATGTGTTACAGAAAATGGGAACAAATTTGATAGTGTCTGCAAGAAACCGGGTGTAATCGGCCCCCACGCAGAACAGCGATTTGATAGGTTACAAATATATATTGGAAAGTACAAACAAAATGCACATAATAGGTTACCCGGAGGCACGGACACCAGCACCCAAACAGGAAAATATATAGCAACAAACGTAGGAAATGTTGATAAAACAACACATCCAAAGAAAAGACAAAGAGTGAAAAGTCCAACAGAAGCACTGACGCTGGACGCTATAAAAAGCGTAGATGTTAGTCTTAACAAAAACCAGAACGCATTGGATAGTAGTGATAAGGATGGTCCAACACTGGCACAATTGCTGTCACATCAAACCCCGATACAGAGATTACCAACTACTTCATGTTTATCGTATATAAATGACGAACATAGCTCCATAAACCAAAACGCATTACATCGCAACAAAGATGATGTACCACAGTTATCAAATGTATATATTGGTAGGGTGTCAGAGTTATCTCAACAACCTGCACAACGGTCTAGACTATTTCAATACCCAACTTCCCTATCAATGGATCCTTTTGACAGAACCAAGTGCCAGACTGAAAATTCAACAAATGATCAGACTTTTCACCACTTGCGAAAATGTGAATCATTTCCAAAGAAAACCTTTGAAAAGTACAGCGGTATTTGGAATAGAATAGCAGATGCTTCAAATGAGCAGTTGGCCGGCAGGCTCCAAAATACATCATCTCATCCAACAAATACATCCAAAGGGACCACTGCCTCTACGTCCATGTTAAAGTCCAAACCACAGTGGAACATCGATCAAATTATCAAAGACCATCCTCGACAAATAAAAGGCGACTCATTGTATGGAATCAGTATTAATAAAACACAAGCTCACTACGCATCACAACTACGTAACACTTCCAACAAATCCGGCGCCAAAACGCAGCAGAGCAAGCCGCACTCTGGATGTTTTCAAAGACAAAGTACCAATGAAGTACTTCCAAGTGTAGTAAAGGCAAAAGGTTTGATGCTATCAACGCCTTCCGGCAAACCGACAGACACTAAGAAATATCACCAGAAGAAGAAAGAAATATGGTATAGAAATGAGTCGATCAGCAAGCCCAAGTGCAATATACATGCAAACAATCTGCTTGAAATGGTGTCAGCCAATCCGTTCAATCAGACTATCGAATCCATGATCGCTCTTCGACGATTTAACTGTGACTTTGATGCTGTAAATGGAAGCCTTCCTAATGCGACCATTGGACCAAGGATGTCTCCGTTGCCAAAGATCGATCCAGGCAAAGTATCTACGTCTCAAAGAGTCAGATCTGGGAAACTTGATAACAGTTTGCACCATCAGGATAACCTGATCTGTGATCACCCTATCTCAATGACTAGTGAATCGGAAAAAACTGAATCATCTTCATCAACGAAAAGCCAGATAAGTAAAAAGGGTACAAGAACCTCATTTTTCATTCAGAATGAAGAGAAATACTTTCCTGCCAAACCAAAAACAGTCAGGTCCGTAAAAGAAGACGGAATGGAAAACAAACGAATTCATTCAAAGCATCAGAAAACCATAGCAGTCGAGAAAAGCTCACTACAGGAAGAAAAGACTGTAACTGAAATAGGCACTAGAAATCATTCAGATGAACTGCCAAAGTTGTCAAAAAGTGAAAACTGCCTCAAATCAAAGGATTTTTACAAAGAAAATACATCTGTTTTCAAAAGTGCATCATCTCCAGGTCTCCTATCAAATAAGTACAAAGTCGAGGTGAACGATTTAACCTTGAGGTTTATACGGTTAAAAGGAAAGGAAGATATGGAAAAGAAAATGCCTTGTCAAAATCAAAAACAAGCTACTGAAAAAGTTCAGGCAAAATCTGTTCAATGTGGAAAAGAGTCTCAGGCTGAGAGCAAGACTGTAGATAGTGAGGAAACCTGTATACCTGGAGTCATAAATACAACAAAAGCAGCAAAAATTGGTTTTCAAAATCAAGAGACGGTTCCGGTGGAAGACAAACGAAAAAACGTATATAATGATCACCCTGTCGGCAGAAATTCTAGCGAAAAAACGAAGTCGTGTTGTCAAAGTAACAGATGTCATTGCCAAATGATTAACGTGGATGATATGAACGCAATGAAATCAAACATCAATATTGAGGCTAGGATGGACAATGGCGTTGGAAATTCCAGTAGACCTGTTCAGTATTTGCATAATAAAAAACGATGGTTGATTGAATACAATCAGAACACCGGCAGTACAATTGATGAAATCAACGAAAAAAATCCATCGACTCAACTTTCAAAGGTTGATACCATGCTTGGTTCATTTTCCGATAAACATCCTGAAAGCACGGAGTCGGAGTCAGATTTCCAAAACGTAAATGTACTCCCAAGTGGCAGTTCAGAGGATGGAAATGAAATCCTGTCGGAAAATGAAGAAAAGATCCTTTCATGTATACCACCATTGGATGAAGAAAGTCACACATACATAGTGTTAGACAATCTGGATGATGCATGGTGTATTTCTAGGGATACTACGCATTCTGAAGTAACTGATATTTCTATTCCAACAATATCTGACGAAATTCTACTCGTTGATGAGAATGAACTAGGATTGGTGGAAGAGGTCGTTGATCATGTCGATCATGTTTCGGTGACCGATGTCTTGAAACCTAAAGACCACACACAATCAACTATAGACGAGAAAAATGAAAAACATCATCAGAACCAAAATGGTGTAAATATGAAGAAGACGATAGAGACGAGTGTTAAAGCGTCTAGTGTTGGGAGTGATACCGAAACTCCATTTGAAGGCTCGGTGTATGTTTTTGATGATAGTAAGAAAAACGGTTCCAGAAAAGGTTCAAAGAGTGGTGTGAATATAATTCGTAGGAGTGTTCGACAACATCTCAGCCCAAGGAAATCCATGGCAGAGGTTTCAGAGAAGTCAATATATAGTGGGTCAGAAAGGACAGCGTCTAAGAATGCGAAAAAGACAAAGGGCAATAAGTCCGCGAAAACAAAATCTGCTTCAAAGCTGAAAACACAGACTTCAAGAGAAGATTCAGCAAAGAATTCGACAGAGAACAAAGGCCAATCGTCTGTCTGTAGATCGTATTTTGACGCAGAGAGCTTCCCCAGAAGCAAAGTTATAAGTGATACTGCAGTCACAGATGCAGATAAATGCTTGGAGGACTTTGATACTAACCTTGATACTGTTTTCATGGATAAAAATAAAGTTTCACCAGACACACTTGCAGACACAAATACAGCTGTAAAGAGTACAGGTAGAATCAAGGACGATACAATAGAGAAAATAGAAGATATTGCATCATCTTCAATTTCTTGCACGGAGAGAAAATGTTCTGGACATACAAGAATTAGCGTCAAATGTCCAAATAAAGTAAAGCAGAAAAACATCACTCAACACGACATGAATACTGCCAACAAAACCATACAACACTTGGCTGCAGAACAGAGAAGAATGCTAGACATCATCAAACAGTCTTCATCGTCGCGATCATTACCGTCGCCTGCCGCTTACCCGCCACGAACAACAACAAATCAAACGGACAGTTTGACCATCGGTTCTTCCTCATTCAGGTTAGTGACATAGAACATTGGCATTGTAATCCAGTATTCTTCTAAATTTTAATGACCTCATATTATAAAGAAAAGACGATATTTTAGCTATTTTGATAAAACTGTTTTATATGTAAGGGGAGTATAGTGTTACCTAAATCCGTCCGTCCTGTCCTCTCGAATCAGTTTCATATCTTGATAACCATTTAACAGATTTAATTCATATTTACCCGATAGTGTCATAGCATCAACTATCAAGGTGAAAATGTCAAATTAATTTGCCAACTTCTGTATCATTATCAAACATTGATATTTATATGTCTGGGAGGTGAGGTTATCTGTTAATTAAAATTATAAATTCGTGGTAGAATGTGACATTTAGTGATTCATAGTTTCTCTAATACACGAAGGAAATGTTGTTTTCTTGTAGTTTTGTCCCTGTGTACATGAAAGACCAGGCATGTAAAGGAGGATATGCTCACATGGAAGGTGTGACATGTCCGTACGTCATCATGGACGGCTATAAATTTGTTGCTTTCCAAGATGTCCTTCAAATGTTCCCCAAATGTGACAAGGCTTGTAAAGTGATAAGAAATGTCCTCACCCAACACAGGAGTTTGTCACGTACTTTCTGCGACTGGGACCAGGTAGGATAGAGAATACATGTACATAGCGATTGTCTCAGATATCAGCTGTAACTACGAGACTAGGTTGTGTAATCATTTTTTATGTAATTGACATTAGTATGCGGTCCTAGTTATCATTTAATTCATTTGCATGAGAAAAATGTGACTTATTTTCATTGGATAGATAACCTTACAATCTTTCTGGATCTGTTTCAGGTTTACCTGCTGGACCAATTGTTTATTCAGAAGGGTAGATCTGTGACGACGGGGGATACATTGATTAGGGTCGACTCCCTCGTCAAACACCTCCCGTCCATCAGGGATAGCATCAGGGAGGAGCATTTCAAACTCCATCGAAAAGGAAGGACTAATCTACAGTGTGTTCGGCAATATTGAATGTTCGCTGTCCATCCTACCTACCTTTCAGTGTAGAATTCCACGAAACAGAAGACAACAACGAATTTCATTAACATAATGATTACTTGTAAATAAAGTTTTTTTTATAGTTGTTGACATTCACGTCATTATTACAGAAAAGGGCGGTGTTGACCTTCACGTCATCATTACAGTAAAGGGCGGTGTTGACCTTCACGTCATCATTACAGTAAAGTGTGGTGTTGACCTTCACGTCATCATTACAGTAAAGGGCGGTGTTGACCTTCACGTCATCATTACAGTAAAGTGTGGTGTTGACTTTCACGTCATCATTACAGTAGAGGGTGGTGTTGACCTCCATGTCATCATTAAAGTAAAGGGTGGCGTTGATCTACACGTCATCATTACAGTAAAGGGTGGTGTTGATCTTCACGTCATCATTACAGTAAAGGGCGGTGTTGACCTTCATGTCATCACAGTAAAGGGCGGTGTTGACCGTCACGTCATCATTACAGTAAAGGCTGGTGTTGACCTTCACGTCATCATTACAGTAAAGAGCGGTGTTGACCTTCACGTCATCATTACAGTAAATGGCGGTGTTGTCCTTCACGTCATCATTACAGTAAAGAATAGTGTTATTCACTAACTTTTACTGTCCATCCCTTACTATTTACTGTAAGGATTGATTTTCTAATTAGTTCGGGATATCGCATGCGATGAACGCTGATACATGGAATGATTGTATATTTTATAACTATTACCAGGGACGTATATAATATGTATTATACGTCCCTGTTATTACAATTGTGATTGGTATTACAAAAGATACAGAATTACAACGAAACTGTAGATATGTATTGAAATATCGGGCGTAATTTCACAGTGTTTTTTTTTATATTTCATTAGTATATTATACAATGGGAGAAAACAATAATTCTAAGGAATACACGTTCATAGTATGTTTACAAGAGAAAATCTTTGTCAGTATATAAATAAGCACACAAGGCGGAGATGAACAGACAACCCCAGTGAATTAGACTTGGTGGTAACAAATGAAGAACATATTATTGAAAACTGGATGACTACTGGAATGGGCAGGAAATAAAGCACGACGACTACAAGCAAAAATACGTATAACAACCGGAAGTGAAAATCTAAAATTACAATAACAATTTTTATGAGTCCAGCGAAGAGGATCCTTAACGAACCTGTGCTGGAAAATATCATTAAGCATTATTAAGTATTCTATTACACGGGATAAGACGTTTAGCGTTGTTCCTGCTAATGGATAGAAATAGTTATATCTCATGGAAAACCACAACACAAACTCCCATTGTGTAACCATACGGCTCCTAATGTAAAGATCATAGGGATTTTTCTGAAACCTCACATAGCCTACATGAGAAAATTGAAGTGACGTTCTCCATTAATCTGAATTCGTTTCCGCTATCATCACGAGTTATGTCCCTTTAAAAATGGCTGCTCCCATGTGTGAACACGCGATGTTTTTAGTATGACAATGAATGTCCCGATAACGAGGAAAGATGAGCTCAAAATTGAAAATCAAAGTTCTTTCTAGAAATCCAGATGAATACATAAGGGAGACAAAGCGAGATATTCATAAAGGTAAGTGTTATATTTCATCTATAAAAATACACGGCTTGTGGAATAGCCGAAACGTAAACAAATGGCATAGGCCTATATGGTATAGTTATCATTCCATCGGCAATCCTCGTGATGAAATAATATGTATGTATCAGCATTTATAACATCGGAAGGGGCAAGACCTTATATATAATTCTAAACATTGAGGTGATCGCACCACAAGATTCGACGTTCTATATAGAACATCCTGAGATCACATACAAAAATTAAGTAAAGCCATATGTGTTCAGTGTAAAGCATGTTTAAATGTTATTTTAATATTTCAGTTCCAAGAAACTACGACCCAAGTCTTCATCCATTTGAAAATCCGCGTGAATATGTACGTGCATTGAATGCGACCAAGCTTGAACGGGTATTTGCTAAGCCATTTGTTGGTGCCCTTGATGGCCATAAAGACGGTCTGAACACCTTATGCAAGCACCCAACCAGTTTGAGTCATTTGTTGTCTGGCGCCTGTGATGGAGAGGTATGTTAAGCTCCTTAACTGTTGATGTATAATCATAGGAAACAGAGGTATTGTATGTAACCATAGAAATGATACTGAAATAACAACGGAGTCCTACATTTAAAAGTTCAAAGATATACAGGAATCCTGCTCTTTGAGTAACATAACTGTTATTTCACACATGGAAACGTCCTTTTCTATGGCTTAATTCTCACTGTTTTTGATTCAATTTTAGTCAGTCATAATATTTCACACTGATTTGTAGGTACGTGTCTGGAATCTAGCTCGCCGACAGTGTGTGAGTGACATCCAAGCTCACGATGGCATGGTGCAGGGCCTGACCTTTCATCCAACAGGAAAAACCTTCCTCACAGTATGTACAACAGGACATATTGATTAGAATAATTTATCTTTTTGAGTCAGTGAGTCTTTAATTTTTTTTTTAACAAATGTTTTCAGCAAAAAGAGAGTGATTTTCAGTGAAATTATAAAACAAATACAGATTTCTGTATTAAATTTTTTTCTCAATGTGTTATCGGTTTTTAACAATTGTTTAATTCTGACAAAAAGCGAATAATACAGAACACCTTAAAAATAACAACATGTAAAGTTTGTGTTTTTTTTTTTTGCTGGTTACAGGTTTTCCATCTCCTTGGCTGGCCTTATTTATTTGTAGACAATGTCTCACCAACAAACGTCAGTGTTCTGATGATGTTGATAGTATGTTCTACCATGGTTACATACTAGTCTGTGATTCTACGTGATACAATTTTGATTTGAATAATAGTTGTCTCCCTTATCCACTTTACCTTTGATCTGTTACAGAATATTTTTATTGATTCTTTCTACCAATTGCGACTGAGGAGCATTACCAACAAATACTATTTAAATATGTTCATCCTCTGGCTTTGTATTCCTGATATTCTTTAAATGTGTTTCAACACACGCCCTCCCTTTTCTGTGTTTTGTTTTTGTTTCTTTGCTATATTAATGATTACCACATGACACAGTAATACACCATACTTGAACTAATGTGCTTTTTACTTCAGTGTGGTAGTGACAAAGTAATAAAACAATGGATCATAGATGAAGAAGGTCAGATAGAAAAAGAACCAAGGACTACCATCCTTGGCAAGGTATAATGATTTTAGTTTGACTAAACTAATCCTGTAACAAACATTTTTTCCCAGATTTAGTGATGTTTTATTTTAACTCTCAAAAACAAGTTTCACAAACCTTAAAAAAAAAAGAAAAGATGGCAAAATTCTCTTTACTAAAGATTACTGAGGTACATTGTAAGGTGTCATAAATATTCCCGAAAAGTGAACGAAGTTACAAGTGTATAATTTGAAGTGGCCATGTACTGTTATTTATTTTTACAAATGTGAAAATTTGAAATGGCCATATATTGGTATTTAATTTCGCATTTTGTCATAAATACTTCAATAAATACAACTGATGGGAAAAAACAGAGTCCTTACAATTTTACAAACCTTATTAACACTTTGACCAGACAGGATTTCTCCTTGTGACCTTAACACTTTGACCAGACAGGATTTCTCCTTGTGACTTTAACACTTTGACCAGACAGGATTTCTCCTCGTGACCTTAACACTTTGACCAGACAGGATTTCTCCTTGTGACCTTAACACTTTGACCAGACAGGATTTCTCCCCCTGACCTTAACACTTTGACCAGACAGGATTTCTCCTCGTGACCTTAACACTTTGACCAGACAGGATTTCTCCTTGTGACTTTAACACTTTGACCAGACAGGATTTCTCCTCATGACCTTAACACTTTGACCAGACAGGATTTCTCCTCATGACCTTAACACTTTGACCAGACAGGATTTCTCCTTGTGACCTTAACACTTTGACCAGACAGGATTTCTCCCCCTGACCTTTACACTTTGACCAGACAGGATTTCTCCTCATGACCTTAACACTTTGACCAGACAGGATTTCTCCTCATGACCTTAACACTTTGATCAGACAGGATTTCTCCTCATGACCTTAACTCATTGACCAGACAGGATTTCTCCTCATGACCTTTACACTTTGACCAGACAGGATTTCTCCTCATGACCTTAACACTTTGACCAGACAGGATTTCTCCTCATGACCTTAACACTTTGACCAGACAGGATTTCTCCTCATGACCTTAACACTTTGACCAGACAGGATTTCTCCTCATGACCTTAACACATTGACCAGACAGGATTTCTCCTCATGACCTTAACACATTGACCAGACAGGATTTCTCCTCATGACCTTAACACTTTGACCAGACAGGATTTCTCCTCATGACCTTAACACTTTGACCAGACAGGATTTCTCCTTGTGACCTTAACACTTTGACCAGACAGGATTTCTCCTCGTGACCTTAACACTTTGACCAGACAGGATTTCTCGTGACTTTAACACTTTGACCAGACAGGATTTCTCCTCATGACCTTAACACTTTGACCAGACAGGATTTCTCCTCATGACCTTAACACTTTGACCAGACAGGATTTCTCCTCATGACCTTAACACTTTGATCAGACAGGATTTCTCCTTGTGACCTTAACACTTTGACCAGACAGGATTTCTCCTCATGACCTTAACACTTTGACCAGACAGGATTTCTCCTCATGACCTTAACACTTTGACCAGACAGGATTTCTCTTCATGACCTTAACACTTTGACCAGACAGGATTTCTTCATGACCTTAACACTTTGACCAGACAGGATTTCTCCTCCCTTAACACTGACCTTAACACACTTTGACCAGACAGGATTTCTCCTCATGACCTTAACACTTTGACCAGACAGGATTTCTCCTCATGACCTTAACACTTTGACCAGACAGGATTTCTCTTCATGACCTTAACACTTTGACCAGACAGGATTTCTCCTCATGACCTTAACACTTTGACCAGACAGGATTTCTCCTCATGACCTTAACACTTTGACCAGACAGGATTTCTCCTCATGACCTTAACACTTTGACCAGACAGGATTTCTCCTTAACACTGACCTTAACACACTTTGACCAGACAGGATTTCTCCTCATGACCTTAACACTTTGACCAGACAGGATTTCTCCCCCTGACCTTTACACTTTGACCAGACAGGATTTCTCCTCATGACCTTAACACTTTGACCAGACAGGATTTCTCCTCATGACCTTAACACTTTGACCAGACAGGATTTCTCCTCATGACCTTAACACTTTGACCAGACAGGATTTCTCTTCATGACCTTAACACTTTGACCAGACAGGATTTCTTCATGACCTTAACACTTTGACCAGACAGGATTTCTCCTTGTGACCTTAACACTTTTACCAGACAGGATTTCTCCTCATGACCTTAACACTTTGACCAGACAGGATTTCTCCTCATGACCTTAACACTTTGACCAGACAGGATTTCTCCTCATGACCTTAACACTTTGACCAGACAGGATTTCTCCCCCTGACCTTTACACTTTGACCAGACAGGATTTCTCCTCGTGACCTTAACACTTTGACCAGACAGGATTTCTCCTCCTGACCTGACCTTAACACTTTCTCCTCACCTTAACACTTTGACCAGACAGGATTTCTCCTCATGACCTTTACACTTTGACCAGACAGGATTTCTCCTCATGACCTTAACACTTTGACCAGACAGGATTTCTCTTCATGACCTTAACACTTTGACCAGACAGGATTTCTTCATGACCTTAACACTTTGACCAGACAGATTTTCCTCATGACCTTAACACTTTGACCAGACAGGATTTCTCCTCATGACCTTAACACTTTGACCAGACAGGATTTCTCCTCATGACCTTAACACTTTGACTCCTCATGACCTTAACACTTTGACCAGACAGGATTTCTCCTCATGACCTTAACACTTTGACCAGACAGGATTTCTCCTCATGACCTTAACACTTTGACCAGACAGGATTTCTCCTCAAGACCTTAACACATTGACCAGACAGGATTTCTCCTCATGACCTTAACACTTTGACCAGACAGGATAGCAGACCAGACAGGATTTCTCCCCCTGACCTTAACACTTTGACCAGACAGGATTTCTCCTTGTGACCTTAACACTTTGACCAGTCAGGATTTCTCCCCCTGACCTTTACACTTTGACCAGACAGGATTTCTCCTCATGACCTTAACACTTTGACCAGACAGGATTTCTCCTCATGACCTTAACACTTTGACCAGACAGGATTTCTCCTCATGACCTTAACACTTTGACCAGACAGGATTTCTCCTCATGACCTTTACACTTTGACCAGACAGGATTTCTCCCCCAGACCTTTACACTTTGACTAGACAGGATTTCTCCTCATGACCTTAACACTTTGATCAGACAGGATTTCTCCTCATGACCTTAACACTTTGACCAGACAGGATTTCTCCTCATGACCTTAACACTTTGACCAGACAGGATTTCTCCTCATGACCTTAACACTTTGACAGACAGGATTTCTCCTCATGACCTTAACCCTTTGACCAGACTGGATTTCTCTTCATGACCTTTACACTTTGACCAGACAGGATTTCTCCTCATGACCTTAACACTTTGATCAGACAGGATTTCTCCTCATGACCTTAACACTTTGACCAGTCAGGATTTCTCCCCCTGACCTTTACACTTTGACCAGACAGGATTTCTCCTCATGACCTTAACACTTTTACCAGACAGGATTTCTTGTGACTTTAACACTTTGACCAGACAGGATTTCTCCTCATGACCTTAACACTTTGACCAGACAGGATTTCTCCTCATGACCTTAACACTTTTACCAGACAGGATTTCTCCTCATGACCTTAACACTTTGACCAGACAGGATTTCTCCTCATGACCTTAACACTTTGACCAGACAGGATTTCTCCTCATGACCTTAACACTTTGACCAGACAGGATTTCTCCTCATGACCTTAACACTTTTACCAGACAGGATTTCTCCTCATGACCTTAACACTTTGATCAGACAGGATTTCTCCTCATGACCTTAACACATTGACCAGACAGGATTTCTCCTCATGACCTTAACACTTTGACCAGACAGGATTTCTCCCCCTGACCTTAACACTTTTACCAGACAGGATTTCTCCTCATGACCTTAACACTTTGATCAGACAGGATTTCTCCTCATGACCTTAACACTTTGATCAGTCAGGATTTCTCCCCCTGACCTTAACACTTTGATCAGACAGGATTTCTCCTCATGACCTTTACACTTTGATCAGACAGGATTTTTCCTCGTGACCTTAATACTTTGATCAGACAGGATTTCTCCTTATGACCTTTACACTTTGACCAGACAGGATTTTTCCTCATGACCTTAAGACTTTGACCTGGCCTGATATCTCCTCATGACCTTAAGATTTTGACCAGACAGGATTTCTCCTCTAACAGACAGTGTTCCAGTCCATTAGTCACCATGGTGCAAAGAACATATTTGCCACATCTGGAGAACAGGTAGATATCTGGGACTCCACACGGACAGAGCCACTTCGCAGCTTTACCTGGGGCGTTGATAGCCAGCAGTTTGTCAAGTTCAACCCAGTAGAGGTAAGGGTTCTATGCAAATGATGCATGCTGGTGTTAGTTGTAAACTTGGGTATTATTCATTTTTTGCCAAACTGCCCCTGCAGCCTGTGCTTGCATTAATAATGACAATAAATTTGTTTATTCTGGTAAAAACAATAAAATATCTTAATAACTTTTTGTCTTTGTAAAAAAAACATGTGACTTCACTACAGATCGTAATGCAGGGCTGAAATCTTTCACACATTCAGAGAGTTAAACCAACATCTGTTGTACATTTCAGAGATAAACCAACACCTGTTGTACATTTCAGAGATAAACCAACATCTGTTGTACATTTCAGAGATAAACCAACACCTGTTGTACATTTCAGAGATAAACCAACATCTGTTGTACATTTCAAAGATAAACCAATATCTGTTGTACATTTCAGAGATAAACCAACATCTGTTGTACATTTCAGAGAGATAAACCAACATCTGTTGTACATTTCAGAGATAAACCAACACCTGTTGTACATTTCAGAGATAAACCAACATCTGTTGTACATTTCAGAGATAAACCAACACCTGTTGTACATTTAAGAGATAAAACAACATCTGTTGTACATTTCAGAGAGATAAACCAACATCTGTTGTACATTTCAGAGATAAACCAACATCTGTTGTACATTTCAGAGATAAACCAACATCTGTTGTACATTTCAGAGATAAACCAACTCCTGTTGTACATTTCAGAGATAAACCAACATCTGTTGTACATTTCAGAGATAAACCAACACCTGTTGTACATTTCAGAGATAAACCAACATCTGTTGTACATTTCAGAGATAAACCAACATCTGTTGTACATTTCAGAGATAAACCAACACCTGTTGTACATTTCAGAGATAAACCAACATCTGTTGTACATTTCAAAGATAAACCAATATCTGTTGTACATTTCAAAGATAAACCAACATCTGTTGTACATTTCAGAGATAAACCAACATCTGTTGTACATTTCAGAGATAAACCAACACCTGTTGTACATTTCAGAGATAAACCAACATCTGTTGTACATTTCAGAGATAAACCAACATCTGTTGTACATTTCAGAGATAAACCAACACCTGTTGTACATTTCAGAGATAAACCAACATCTGTTGTACATTTCAGAGATAAACCAACACCTGTTGTACATTTCAGAGATAAACCAACATCTGTTGTACATTTCAAAGATAAACCAATATCTGTTGTACATTTCAGAGATAAACCAACATCTGTTGTACATTTCAGAGAGATAAACCAACATCTGTTGTACATTTCAGAGAGATAAACCAACATCTGTTGTACATTTCAGAGATAAACCAACATCTGTTGTACATTTCAGAGATAAACCAACTCCTGTTGTACATTTCAGAGATAAACCAACATCTGTTGTACATTTCAGAGATAAACCAACACCTGTTGTACATTTCAGAGATAAACCAACATCTGTTGTACATTTCAAAGATAAACCAACATCTGTTGTACATTTCAAAGATAAACCAACATCTGTTGTACATTTCAGAGAGATAAACCAACATCTGTTGTACATTTCAGAGAGTTAAACCAACATCTGTTGTACATTTCAGAGATAAACCAACACCTGTTGTACATTTCAGAGATAAACCAACATCTGTTGTACATTTCAGAGAGATAAACCAACATCTGTTGTACATTTCAGAGATAAACCAACACCTGTTGTACATTTCAGAGATAAACCAACACCTGTTGTACATTTCAGAGATAAACCAACACCTGTTGTACATTTCAGAGATAAACCAACACCTGTTGTACATTTCAGATAGGTAAACCAACATCTGTTGTACATTTCAGAGATAAACCAACATCTGTTGTACATTTCAGAGAGTTAAACCAACACCTGTTGTACATCTCAGAGAGATAAACCAACATCTGTTGTACATTTCAGAGATAAACCAACATCTGTTGTACATTTCAGAGATAAACCAACATCTGTTGTACATTTCAGAGATAAACCAACATCTGTTGTACATTTCAGAGATAAACCAACATCTGTTGTACATTTCAGAGATAAACCAACATCTGTTGTACATTTCAGAGATAAACCAACATCTGTTGTACATTTCAGAGATAAACCAACATCTGTTGTACATTTCAGAGATAAACCAACATCTGTTGTACATTTCAGAGATAAACCAACATCTGTTGTACATTTCAGAGATAAACCAACACCTGTTGTACATTTCAGAGATAAACCAACACCTGTTGTACATTTCAGAGATAAACCAACACCTGTTGTACATTTCAAAGATAAACCAACATCTGTTGTACATTTCAGAGATAAACCAACATCTGTTGTACATTTCAGAGATAAACCAACATCTGTTGTACATTTCAGAGAGATAAACCAACATCTGTTGTACATTTCAGAGATAAACCAACACCTGTTGTACATTTCAGAGATAAACCAACATCTGTTGTACATTTCAGAGATAAACCAACATCTGTTGTACATTTCAGAGATAAACCAACATCTGTTGTACATTTCAGAGATAAACCAACATCTGTTGTACATTTCAGAGATAAACCAACACCTGTTGTACATTTCAGAGATAAACCAACATCTGTTGTACATTTCAAAGATAAACCAACATCTGTTGTACATTTCAGAGAGATAAACCAACATCTGTTGTACATTTCAGAGATAAACCAACATCTGTTGTACATTTCAGAGAGTTAAACCAACATCTGTTGTACATTTCAGAGATAAACCAACATCTGTTGTACATTTCAGAGAGATATACTTGCCAGCTGTGCTTCAGACAGAAGTATCATCTTGTATGACATGAGAGGTTCCTCGCCCCTCAGAAAGGTAAGACCTATATCAAAACTTTAAAAAGGAAAAAACTCAACTTGTATCAGTTCCTGTTAAAAAAATGTTTCCCCAAGGTTGTAGAATTTAATTCTTTATTTATGAATACATTGTATATCTGAAGAAGTGACATAGGTCCCCCATCATGTTGTGAAGTTTGTAGCTCTGTAAACAATATGTAAATATCAGGTGTGATACACCTCGGCCCATATTCATGAAACCATTCTCATGCTCAAGCATAGATTTTGTGCCCAAGCAAACTTTTTTATAATTCACCTAAATCATATAAAATAATACAAATGTCAAATTTAAACCTTGAATGTGGCTTTGACTTGATGTCCTGTCAAAATTGTTTTCAAATCTTCGGCAAAATCAGCCTTATTTATTAATTTTTAACTTAAACAAGACATAAGGCTTGAGCACAAAATTCATGCTTGAACACCAGAATGTTTTCATGAATACTGGTCCTGATGACTATACATTAACACTACTAGCTACATGGGTTAAATCTTTATTGTAATTATCCGATTATTGTCGCTAACTATGGTGTGGTAGGTAGAATGATGAGTATTATCGTTATATTTTCTACAGACTATCTTAACATGACCTTATGGTAATATACATGTTATTTCACTTCAGGTGATACTGAAACTAAGCTCCAATGCTCTAGCATGGAACCCAATGGAGGCCTTCAATTTCACTGTGGCTAATGAAGACTACAAGTAGGTTACACAAATCCATGCTCATTATTGGGTTTCCTCTTTAGCTAGACATGGCCTTTTGGCCTTTTGTTAGGTCACCTTGGACAAAATCTCATGATGACCTGTTGCGATCACCTTTGTCCAGCATCATGCATCCGTAAACCATTTTACATTTTTGACTTCTTCTCAAAAAACCCTAGACCGATTTCAATGAAATTTTGCAGAAACCTTCCCTGGCCTAAGATGAACCAAATAGTGAATTATACAGTTCCCACCCCACAAGGACCTGAGGGGCAGGGCCAAAAGTGGCCCGGTTGACTCAAATTTCAAGTCTTCTTCTCAACATGTGGATATGGTAGATTCAAATACTTTTCATGGATGGAAGTATCTTTAGGTGCTCTACCAGAATTGTGAATTTCATGGCCCAAGAATCTTACATAATTTACATAGGAAAAGTAGATTTTGAGCATAATTTGTTTAATTTCCATTGGAAATATTTCAAACCTGGTTAGAATTATGAGTGAAGGACAACAGCTTGATGATATGCCAATATTGCTCCTAGCTGACCACCAGTGACTGATGGGCGAGGCCAAAAGGGTTCAAATTGATTCAGATTTCAAACATCTTTTCAACAACCAGATGCTCTCTCTTCATGGATGGAAGCATCTTAAGGTGCTTTGATTACTAAAATGGGTCTCACATTTCTTCCTCCAGAGGAAGTGTACTGTAATTTTAATAGAAAACTGCATTTTTGAACTGAACATTGTTTAACATTGTTTATTTCCAGTTTCATTGATACCCTTGTCTAATTGCAGTTTGTACACATTTGACATGAGGAAGTTGTCCATTCCTATGAATATACATATGGATCATGTGTCTGCTGGTGAGATATTATCTACTAATACTCTTATTGGTGAACTTTGAAAACAGTATTCTGTAAAGAAATATAATTAGTTTCTCTTAGATATGTGTCAAATTTAACTTAACATACACCTGTAACCTGCTGTCCAGGTCTTAAACTTCAGGCCAGCGACCTCTCAGACTGTTTGCTATACAGGTTTAAAATTTTTTGTCGTTTATCAATTTGAGAAGTCATTGACATTTGACATTCTGTATTATTATTTTTTGTCAGATTTAGATTTTAGTTTAAAAAAAAAAGTTTAGTATGGATGTGTATTGCTGTTTTACTTCCATTAGTTAGTATCTTTTTTAAGTCGTAACATTACATTTTACGATTTCGTATAACGTAAAATTTTCAGGTATTATTTATTTTGTAGTATACTGTGAATGTTTTTGTTGTTTCAGTGATGGATGTGGACTACAGTCCTACAGGCAAGGAGTTTGTTAGCGGCAGTTATGACAAATGTCTCCGCATCTTCCCCGTCACTAAAGGTCACAGCAGGTCAGATTTCAGCATATATTAGGATAAAAATAGACTAAAGTATTCATAGATTAATAAACTAACACTAAAAGACATCCATAGAAACTGGAAATAAGGCAATTTTGATTAAATACAAAATTAGCTTTAAGAAAGTCTTCTCTATTTTGTAATGTTGGAGAGGATGTATAAATGTAGATGTTTCCCATTTTTACATGTAACCTGTAATTTCTCCAATGGGACAGACAACACATTACCTCAAACACAAAGTCTGGGGATGGACTTACATGACTGTGAAATAACACTACAAGTTAACAATATATGTTGACTTGTTACCATACACAGGTTAATTGGCAGATAAATTATGTAGCAAAGCGACTTTCACAAGGTTAAAAGGTGCTGTGTTTTGATTTCACACAGATGAATTATGAAGTAGAGTGACTCTCACAAGGTTACAAGGTGCTGTGTTTTGATTTCACACAGATAAATTATGTAGCAGAGTGACTTTCACAATGTTACAAGGTGCTGTGTTTTGATTTCACACAGATAACCTTTGTAGCAGAGTGACTTTCACAAGGTTACAAGGTGCTGTGTTTTGATTTCACACAGATAAATTATGTAGCAGAGTGACTTTCACAATGTTACAAGGTGCTGTGTTTTGATTTCACACAGATAACCTTTGTAGCAGAGTGACTTTCACAAGGTTACAAGGTGCTGTGTTTTGATTTCACACAGATAAATTATGTAGTAGAGTGACTTTCACAAGGTTACAAGGTGCTGTGTTTTGATTTCACACAGATAAATTATGTAGTAGAGTGACTTTCACAAGGTTACAAGGTGCTGTGTTTTGATTTCACACAGATAACCTTTGTAGCAGAGTGACTTTCACAAGTGTTGTGTTTTGATTTCACACAGATAAATTATGTAGTAGAGTGACTTTCACAATGTTACAAGGTGCTGTGTTTTGATTTCACACAGATAAATTATGTAGCAGAGTGATTTTCACAAGGTTAAAAGGTGCTGTGTTTTGATTTCACACAGATAAATTATGAAGTAGAGTGACTCTCACAAAGTTACAAGGTGCTGTGTTTTTATTTTACAGGGAGATTTACCACACAAAGAGAATGCAGAAGGTGCGCACAGTACAATGGACACTTGATAACAAATATATTCTGTCTGGATCTGATGAAATGAACATTCGCATCTGGAAGGCCCGAGCTCATGAAAAAATGGGTGTGGTAAGATCATTTGTCTTTCTGCTTTTGTTATCAGTTGTCTGATTTAAGTTTTGGAGATGTGATTCTGTTGCACATTTGGTAGAGCTGTGTATAGTTACATCAGAAACATGGCGATGGGTTTCAGTTTACTTCATAACGCATCTTAGCATGATGACTTCATAAAGTTATGCATTACCATCTTGTAAAATTGAAGTGTACTTTATATAGATTTATCAAGTGATTTATTGAAAAATGGCATAAAGTCTAAAGACATATACACACACCTGCGTTTAGATCAAGATTTTCACTCCATGGTGTTTAACTACATATTTATAAACATACATGTACACAAACTGTTAGGTTTGGACAATGTGTCTGTGTATGCGTTTTTTATTTTCAGTGATTTTAATCAAAGTAGAAGTACTTATATTTTTTTTGCAGGCATTGTCATTAACAAAAGAAAGGATTTTTAAGGGGAAATTTATTGGTATCAGCACAGCCCAATCATTATTTTGGGTCTATAGATTAATAAGATAATGGGTGTTTTTGTAAATTTGTGTTCTAGTTACGACCTCGTGAGAAAACAGCATTAGAATATGGTGAGAAATTAAAGGAAAAGTTTGCCGACCATCCTCTGGTAAAGAGGATCTCAAGACACAGACATATACCACATGTAGTGTACCAGTCAGCCAAGGAACACAGAATAATGAAAGATTCTCAGAGACGCAAGTATGTAGTATCCAGGATATCTATGTTTAAGTTGTTATCATTACATTTTTAGTTGAGTCTTTTTTATGACAGCCACTAAAGGGGACAGAGTAGTATCCAGGATATCCTGGAAATTTTCAGGGCAGCATAAAGTCGCTGACCTTTGTTGAAATTTTATGTGTGAAGCATTACTTTGCCTACATTAAATTTCAGATATTGATACGTGATGTATACATTTGTCATACAAAGTCAAGGTGCAGTGTAGCAAAGTCAGGGCCTGTTACTCCTCAGTACAGAGTTATTTCCCTTGGTTAAAATTTTGTGTCAAAGCTTCGATTGCATTAAAACTAGAATACCATGAGATTTGGTGTATACATTGATTATACTTAGAGAATGTGCAGTATACCAAATTCAGCTCCTGCAAACCCTTTATTATAGAATTCAGGCAGTTTGGTAAAAATTTTCATCCAATAAAGTAATTTTTGGGGAGCATTCATCAGTTTCGCTGATACTCTTGTTTGGTTTCATCTACAGCCAATAAAATGATGAACATTGACTTTGCTTTTGCAGAGAGGCTAATCGCAGAGCACACAGCAAACCTGGAAAAGTACCATATATATCTGAACGCGAGAAACGTGTACTTGGTGAGGTGGAGTGAAATTCGTGTCTTTGGAGACAACACATCAATACATGGTTCTTAACTAACATTTTTTTGATACATGACTCAATGGAACATACATTTATCATGAATTTTTATTAAAATTGTTTTAAGAATTAAAGGTATTCCAGATATGTACCTTGGATTTGACCCCATTTTTGTCTACATATGTGCCACCTATATATTACAAAATGCTCATTAGTTTTAACACTTTGCTTCAAAATAAGGTAAACGAACTGTGTTAGTGAAATTTTATGTGTTGATGAAATGACAGATGTTGAAGTAATTCAACAGTAGGTGTTAGAATACCATTTCATAAATCTAAATTCACAATTCTGGTCGGCGTAACTTATACCTTTCCTGGTCCCCATTTTTTGGTGTTTCCGATGTCTGTTATTTTTTGGACCCCATATTTTTGGTGTGTGCAGCTGTCATGTTTGTTTTGTTGCCAGTTCAGTTGCAGTGTTTGATTGTTCCCTCTTTTTTCCTGAACCAAGTTGGGTACCGTTATTGTGAATATCTTATTGGTGGAATGATGCTGAAATTCATCAAAATGTTCAGTATTTGCAGCCAGATGATAGACCATAGTAACCAAAAGATGGACCATAGTAACCAAAAGATAGACCATAGTAACCAAAAGATAGACCATAGTAACCAAAAGATAGACCATAGTAACCAAAAGATGGACCATAGTAACCAAAAGATAGACCATAGTAACCAAAAGATAGACCATAGTAACCAAATGATGGACCATAGTAACCAAAAGATAGACCATAGTAACAAAAAGATAGATAATGTTACCTGGTAACCAAAAGATGGACCATACTAACCAAAAGATAGACCATAGTAACCAAAAGATAGACCATAGTAACCAAAAGATGGACCATAGTAACAAAAAGATAGATAATGTTACCTGGTAACCAAAAGATGTACCATACTAACCAAAAGATAGACCATAGTAACCAAAAGATAGACCATAGTAACAAAAAGATAGATAATGTTACCTGGTAACCAAAAGATGGACCATAGAAACCAAAAGATAGACCATGTTACCTGGTAACGAAAAAGTTGATGTATTAAACAAAAGATAGACCATAGTAACCAAAAGATGGACCATAGCAACCAAAAGATAGACCATAGTAATAAAAAGATAGACCAACGTAACCGAAAGATGGAGAATAGTAACCAAAAGATGGACCATAGCAACCAAAAGATAGACCATAGTAACCAAAAGATGGACCATAGTAACAAAAAGATAGATAATGTTACCTTGTAACGAAAAAGTGGATGTATTAAACAAAAGATAGACCATAGAAACTAAAAGGTGGAAGATAGAAACCAAAATATAGACCATGTTACCTGGTAACCAAAATATAGACCATGTTACCTGGTAACCAAAATATAGACCATGTTACCTGGTAACCAAAATATAGACCATGTTACCTGGTAATCAAAATTTAGACCATGTTACCTTGTAACCAAAATATAGACCATGTTACCTGGTAACCAAAATATAGACCATGTTACCTGGTAACCAAAATATAGACCATGTTACCTGGTAACCAAAATATAGACCATGTTACCTGTTAACCAAAATATAGACCATGTTACCTGGTAATCAAAATATAGACCATGTTGCCTTGTAACCAAAATATAGATCATGTTACCTGGTAATCAAAATATAGACCATGTTACTTGGTAACCAAAATATAGACCATGTTACCTGGTAACCAAAAGTGGACTATATTAACTAAAAAATAAGCCATAGTAACCAAAAGAAAAGTCAGAGTAGCCAAAAACTAGAACATAGAAACCAAATGGTAGGGCCAATACTTGGGAAAAGCTTGCAAGTGTGGCAATAAACAAGGGATTACGAATGTGTTTGCTGCAGTACTATTATTGTGAGAAACTTCTAAATTCTATTTCTTAGTATCCATTATAAATTTGAAAATTACAGTTCCAGCGAGTCCAAAGTAATAAAATCTCTAAAAGTCAAATTCCACAGAATGAGCCAAACACTTTTTAACATGTTAAATGAAAGGTGTGCACAAAATTTCAAGTCATTTTTAGTATATTTTTAGGACCCAAATTTCATATTTTTCACCTGAAAAGATGAACCATAGTAAATAAGTAGTTCTAATTTCTGTCTAAGTCTAGATAACAGAAATGGATTTTGTTGTGGACGACCACAGAAAACTTTTGTCTTGCTAGGGACATGTAACAGAGGGAGAATGCCTATACATACAGCAAAGAAACTGGACTAAACCAAACCTCCGGTGTTTGTGGACCATTTTCCTCAGTACATAATCTTTTCAAAATTATCAGTAATAGAAAACTGAATGATTTTCAAATTAGACATGCTAACTTTGGTGACAAATTATTTAAACATATTCAAGTTATTTATTTTTAACAGCTTCAGCCTTTTATTGTTTACCACTTTTAAATAAGTTGAAAATCGTTTTTAAATCAATAAAACATATAACCTTTGTACCAATTTAAAACAATTTTGTTATTACTTATCTGTATTGATATTTTTGTTAAATGAAAAAGAATTTAACTTCTCATTGACTGACAAAGTAGCTTTGGTCCCTGGGTCAGAGCCAAGTTGTTACAAGATAAAGTCTAGAGATAAATGGGGCACAGTTTGATAATATTATAGATAGTGACTGTGCATGTGAGGAGAAATGGTTTTGATGACTTCACAGATCAGTGAACAAATGGAGAAACACCAGATCAGCCTGCACTGGGCCTTGTTTCCTGTTCCTTGCAACTGTTGTAGCAAGACAACAAAATTAATGGAAAAAAATTTTGTTGTATAATCTTTTATTAACACAGAAGATCTTGGCATCAAAGTATAAATACATGTATGTGCAGGAATAAGACACAATTAAATAATTTTTCTTTTTTACAACCTTAAAATGTTGATATATCACTGGTACTCTGATGAACTTTTAAACAGAAATATGCTTCTTTTGATATACAGATCTACAGACAGGGCATATATGCCTACCATCTTGTATTGAAAGTTCCTCAAAAGTTTGTAAACACTGTTCATGAAACACATGAGAACATGACAGCAGAACAGTTTTTCTCCTTTTAGATGTTCCAGGTTCAGGTATTTCTGTATCAGATTTTGGTTTTGGCTTTGCTGAACCTGCAAAAGATTGTTTACTTGTGGGGGTTTTCTTTCTGTTTGAAGGGATCTGTTTAATGTTTGAATATGTAGTTCTTTCTGCAACAGATTCCAAGCTTTTGTCCAAACAGGATGGATGAACGTAGCTCTGTGTTAATAGACTTGTCAAACATATTGGGCAATCTTGAGCCTCTCGCTCTACCGCCTGTAAAAAGGACAGGATCAGAAAAATTCAAATTAATACATATATCAAGTTTTTTATCATTGAAATACTGTACAGTTTCTTGAATTCTGGGGGTCCAATATTTTGCTTTTATCTATGTTTCAGGTGTTTTAGATTATCAAATTTCATGCATGTCTGACAATGGTACATGTATACACAGATAATTAGAATTATCGCTTGGATCTAATTTCATGCTAGCAAAATTAAATCCCCCTCGAAATCACCAACTAATTAGTACCATGTTAATGGATTGATTTTTGTTCAATTTTAATTAACCACCAGACCATTATCAACACTGACCACGTAGCAGATATTTTGGAAATGATACCTTTAGTTGTATTGCTTCCCATTCATCATCGCTTATCACATGAAAGGTCTCGTCAAATCGTCGGAAGATGTCTCGACTGGCCTGTAGACTCTGGTCAATCTCCGTGAGGAAAGTGTTTACATTAAAATCACATGACCGTACAATCCTGTCGGTGATGGTGGACAACTGTTAAGAACAATACAAAAGAGTTACACTTTCAATTAGAAATAAACAGGGTGAACTTTTAAATACATCTTTCTAACAAGAAATTTATCTCATTTGAAATAATCATTGATGGTTCAAATTTTCAAATATAAAAAAAATAACAAGTAAAACATCAAATTTTTCAAAAGCAAATAAATGGGCCACAAACACAGAATAGAATCATTAATATACAATTGTACATCTAAACAGAAACTTTATTGCTGGGAAATCCAACATCAGTGTACAGAGTGCAGTTCTGTGGTGCTCAGCACACAGATTCCACAAAGATTTCAACAATCAAAGGGACAAAAAATTACCATAACAATGTGGCACCGGGTTGATTGACTTTAATCAAGAATGTTGACTAGTTTCCATAATTAAGATGTCTCTTTTCTGATCTTGACACATCTAATGTGTCAAAACTATTCAACGCTTGATGAAAGACGTTCAATCCAGTGCGATGTTGTTATGGTCATCTTTTGCCCAAAATTTTGTTGTTAGGAACAATGTACATGTGTAGATACACTGTACAGAAGATATATCTTATTATTTGGTAATATGTTCAGGCCCCACTTGTCAAGATTTTCCTCAGCTGATATCTCCTCAAAAACGGCTTGTATAAAATTTTCTCAAGGAACAGGAGGAAGGCATCGGCTAGGATGTCCTGAAATTCCTTGAGGAATTTTCATACAAGATATTTTCAAGGAGATATTAGCTGAGGAAAATCTGGGCTTGAGGAAATCTCAAGTTGAAATGTTTTATACAAGTGGGGCCAGGCCTGGTAATAAGCCCACCCATATCTTTTAATTCTGAAAGAAAGTCATGAAATACTCCTTTTTTCTACAAATGTCCTTTCCGCCACTTTTGAGTCGGAGAATATGTGTTAGCCCAAATAGCTATTTCATATGTAAATGGCCAGATACTGAAATTGAAATACACCAGTTCCCATTGATACATAGATGTGATGCTAAGGATCAAGGCTGTAAATATCTAGAAAGTGCATAAAAAACACTGTAATGAATATCAACTGCAACATATGTTGAGATATCAACTGGAAGATACACCAACTCAAAATAGTTCAATAAATTTTTTACTTTTTTTTTCAATATTATATACTATATATAGACCCTATCTAAATCTACAGCATTGTCATATCAGGTCTGATCTGGTGGGCTCAGTATGTACCATAGGTTTCTTTTAAAAAGTTATCACGACATAATGCTTTGGCTAACCTTCTCCTCATAGAACTTCTGTCGTAGTTTGGGGTCCTTGGGAGGAACAGTTTCCCGAAGTTTTCTATACCAACTTTTCACAACGTATCCTCTCCATGCAGCTTGTATTCTGAAACAAGAAAAATTGTGTCTGATTGTGAGGGAATGAAAAGCTGTCAATACAAACAATTATTTAGGACATATTAGCTAGTTGTACTAGTTTAATTATCTGACTAAGGCTGTCAGCTCTTTTAGTTTATGAGATTACAACAATAGAGAATAATATGAACTCTAAAAAATTTTAGAACAATTATGGGACAATTGGTAACTGACAGTGAAACAATTATGGGACAATTGGTAACTGACAGTGAAACAATTATGGGACAATTGGTAACTGACAGTGAAACAATTATGGGACAATTGGTAACTGACAGTGAAACAATTATGGGACAATTGGTAACTGACAGTGAAACAATTATGGGACAATTGGTAACTGACAGTGAAACAATTATGGGACAATTGGTAACTGACAGTGAAACAATTATGGGACAATTGGTAACTGACAGTGAAACAATTATGGGACAATTGGTAACTGACAGTGAAACAATTATGACACAATGATATCAAACTTTATTTAGGTAACTTTTTAATTAATACCATCATTTAATCAAAAGTTAAATACAGTGTTTAGCTCTGTGTGTAGAAACAATATGATTATAAAATATATATTGTGATCATTACAAGGGTTAAAGAAATTAAAATGGCTGAAATTTTCCTGTTAGAGTAACATAATGGCAGCAGTAGGATACCTTGTTGCACACACAATCCTGTATTCCTTAGCTCCCTCATGTATGACCCTCGTCTGATACTCTGCCTTCCGACACATAGGGCACGTCTTACGTCCTGTGAATCTCTCAAATGCCTGAAGGCACGCCTGCAATGGTCAACCATGTACAGTTCAAAGTTAGTGCACCATGAGAACCAAGAGGTTTTCCATTTTAGATTTAGTTTCATTAATAATTAATGATAATGTTATCTGTCATATTCCCCCTCACTTCCATCTGCTGCTTTTTTTACATTTAATTGTGTTGGAATAATTTTTGACAGGGAATTTAAGTGCTATATACCAGAAAAACAATTACCATGATTATTTCCCTTTAAACAAATTTATTGATATCTACATACTGATTGGAATTGTTATTAATTCATAGAGCAAATTTTTACACAAGCTTTTATATTACAGCTTTAACTTGAAAATACACTAAATTTAAGGAAAAGAAAAAAACAAAATCAGAGTACAATTGATGAACTTACCTTATGAAAGACATGAGTACACGACAGGAGAACCTGTAAATAACAACATCAATTAAAATAAAAACAATCTGGAAATAAAAGACACATGGTAAATATAATGTTAACAAAGATATGTCACCCCATCAAACTTTCTCAAAGTAAGTCACCCCATTATACCTTCTAAAGATATATTGTTCCATTAAACTATCAATATGGACATCACATTATACCTTACAAATATCTGTCAGCCACTCAAACTTCTTAAGATGTGTCACTACATTTAACCTTCAATGTTTATTGATCTGTGGAAGTTTTGTATCTGTCAAACAAATGGCACAATTGACCAGCATCGCTCACCTGGCTATTTCAGCTATTAGTCATTTGACTTAACATTTGCTGTTACTTGTTTGAGTCAGGGGAGCAATTAAAAGTATTGGTTAATGTAGCATTTGTAGCACAACCTAGATGTATAATTCATTTGCATGTTTAAATCATGTAGCACTTACAGTTTTCCTGATATGACATTGAGCAAGAGATTTCAAAGCATACTGAAAGACTTAATATTATGACACACACAAGTTCATATATCTAACAACGATACAAATAACTAAAGAAAGTATCCGGAAATTGGATTTTTATTTTCGACAAATAAATAATAATAATAATAGGCAAGAATGCTTCAGATAAATTTGGGCAAAATCCAATCAATCCTAAAGTGGAGTAGAATTTTAAAGGGTTTGTTCTTACCCCTACAGAGCCAATAATACTAAATTGATTCCCCTTCACCCAAGAATTCTTTAGACCAAATTTGGGTGAAATTCCTTCAGGAGGAGTAGGATTTTAGGAAGTAGGATTTTAAAGGGTTTGTTCTTACCCCTACAGAGCCAATAATACTAAATTGATTCCCCTTCACCCAAGAATTCTTTAGACCAAATTTGGGTGAAATTCCTTCAGGAGGAGTAGGATTTTAAAGGGTTTGTTCTTACCCCTACAGAGCCAATAATACTAAATTGATTCCCCTTCACCCAAGAATTCTTTAGACCAAATTTGGGTGAAATTCCTTCAGGAGGAGTAGGATTTTAAAGGGTTTGTTCTTACCCCTACAGAGCCAATAATACTAAATTGATTCCCACCCAAGAATTCTTTAGACCAAATTTGGGTGAAATTCCTTCAGGAGGAGTAGGATTTTAAAGGGTTTGTTCTTACCCCTACAGAGCCAATAATACTAAATTGATTCCCCTTCACCCAAGAATTCTTTAGACCAAATTTGGGTGAAATTCCTTCAGGAGGAGTAGGATTTTAAAGGGTTTGTTCTTACCCCTACAGAGCCAATAATACTAAATTGATTCCCCTTCACCCAAGAATTCTTTTGACCAAATTTGGGTGAAATTCCTTCAGGAGGAGTAGGATTTTAAAGGGTTTGTTCTTACCCCTACAGAGCCAATAATACTAAATTGATTCCCCTTCACCCAAGAATTCTTTAGACCAAATTTGGGTGAAATTCCTTCAGGAGGAGTAGGATTTTAAAGGGTTTGTTCTTACCCCTACAGAGCCAATAATACTAAATTGATTCCCCTTCACCCAAGAATTCTTTAGACCAAATTTGGGTGAAATTCCTTCAGGAGGAGTAGGATTTTAAAGGGTTTGTTCTTACCCCTACAGAGCCAATAATACTAAATTGATTCCCCTTCACCCAAGAATTCTTTAGACCAAATTTGGGTGAAATTCCTTCAGGAGGAGTAGGATTTTAAAGGGTTTGTTCTTACCCCTACAGAGCCAATAATACTAAATTGATTCCCCTTCACCCAAGAATTCTTTAGACCAAATTTGGGTGAAATTCCTTCAGGAGGAGTAGGATTTTAAAGAGTTTCCCTTTTTGGGCCTGATCCCAGGGGCCAACACCCATCAATCATACAAAAAATTTTCCCCTTCTCTCAAGAATGCTTCTGACTAAATCTGTTCAAAATCCACTCAGTCATTCATAACCATTAGTAATTATAAGAAAAAGTTTTTAGGTGGGCATTATGAAATGCTATTCCAGCTGGAAAATTGCATCACTTATAGCATATGCTAACGGCCTTTGAATGATTTTATCATGATACCTGCTCCTGTGTGCCGAAATCTTCCTTACAAATGACACAAGGTTGTTTGGAATCATCTCTCTTGTTGGATTTTTCTTTTACTGACTTCCATTCCTGCTCTGTAAGCGGCAACTCTGGGGCTTCAACGAGGCCCATCTTCTGGGCTAATTTAACACAAAGAAATTATAAAACAAGAAAATATGGAAGTAAAGCAAGAAGTTAGAAATTCAGGGATGTTAAGATTGGCAAATACCAATATAGTTTAGTGTCTCAACTTTTCAATTATGATGAGCTACATTACACTGTAAGAACTGTTCAAAAAGTATTTTCTAACAATATCAGCCAAAGTGGTCATCTTGGATTTCTTCACAGTCAACACTGTTCTTATGTTTTCATTTAAGATTTGACAGTGCTTAAAATGGAACTGAAATGTATTGAATTGAAAAATAAGTGAGACCATGTCATTCTATTGTTCAATATAATCAAACATTAATCCTTTTTGTGCACCCATTTCTGATGAAAATTATCAAAGAAAACCTGAATTTTAAACATCCTATTACCTAATGTTGTGTGTTTAACCACATTCTCTAGATGAAAGACATCCAACTCTAAACTAGTAAAAACTCGAGCCTTCTAGTCAGTTTCAGTATTTCATTGACTGATTTCACCTTTTTTTAATTACTATTTTTCATTTCTCATTTTCTTCCACTGATAACTAGAAACTAATAAGTCATTTTTCATTGGTCTTTTAAGTGAATCCAAGAATCCTTTTTAAATATCCAAGTTTAGGAAAATCTTAATTTGCCAATACACATTATGTTCAGAAGCAATTCCTAACAAACTGAGCCTTACCAAGAGACAACTTTGGAATTTTCTGTGGTTCCAGTACATATTCTTCTGCTTCTTCTTTCTTCTTTGGTTTTGTTTTTTGAAATCTGTCTATAAAAGATAAATAAAGCATCAACACATAACAGGACAGAATATTCTGAGGACAGGTGTATAAGAGACAGAATATTCTGAGGACAGGTGTATAACAGACAGAATATTCAGGGGACAGGTGTATAACAGGACAGAATATTCAGGGGACAGGTGTATAACAGACAGAATATTCTGAGGACAGGTGTATAACAGACAGAATATTCTGAGGACAGGTGTATAACAGACAGAATATTCTGAGGACAGGTGTATAACAGACAGAATATTCAGGGGACAGGTGTATAACAGGACAGAATATTCTGAGGACAGGTGTATAACAGAGAGAATATTCTGAGGACAGGTGTATAGGACAGAATATTCTGAGGACAGGTGTATAACAGACAGAATATTCTGAGGACAGGTGTATAACAGACAGAATATTCTGGGGACAGGTGTATAACAGGACAGAATATTCTGAGGACAGGTGTATAATAGAGGACAGGTGTATAACAGACAGAATATTCTGGGGACAGGTGTATAACAGGACAGAATATTCTGGGGACAGGTGTATAACAGACAGAATATTCTGGGAACAGGTGTATAACAGACAGAATATTCTGAGAACAGGTGTATAACAGACAGAATATTCTGAGGACAGGTGTATAACAGACAGAATATTCTGAGGACAGGTGTATAACAGACGGAATATTCTGAGGACAGGTGTATAACAGGTGTATAACAGGTGTATAACAGACAGAATATTCTGTAGGACAGGTGTATAACAGACAGAATATTCTGGGACAGGTGTATATATTCTGAGGACAGGTGTATAACAGACAGAATATTCTGACAGGTGTATAACAGGTATATATAACAGGACAGAATATTCTGAGGACAGGTGTATAACAGACATATTCTGAGGACAGGTGTATAACAGACAGAATATTCTGAGGACAGGTGTATAACAGACAGAATATTCTGACAGGTGTATAACAGACAGTATTCTGTGTATAACAGACAGAATATTCTGAGGACAGGTGTATAACAGACAGAATATTCTGACAGGTATAATAGACAGGTGTATAACAGACAGAATATTCTGAGGACAGGTGTATAACAGACAGAATATTCTGAGGACAGGTGTATAACAGACAGAATATTCTGAGGACAGGTGTATAACAGACAGAATATTCTGAGGACAGGTGTATAACAGGACAGAATATTCTGAGGACAGGTGTATAAGAGACAGAATATTCTGGGGACAGGTGTATAACAGACAGAATATTCTGGGGACAGGTGTATAACAGACAGAATATTCTGAGGACAGGTGTATAACAGACAGAATATTCTGAGGACAGGTGTATAACAGGACAGAATATTCTGAGGACAGGTGTATAACAGACAGAATATTCTGAGGACAGGTGTATAACAGGACAGAATATTCTGAGGACAGGTGTATAAGAGACAGAATATTCTGAGGACAGGTGTATAACAGACAGAATATTCTGAGAACAGGTGTATAACAGACAGAATATTCTGAGGACAGGTGTATAACAGACAGAATATTCTGAGGACAGGTGTATAACAGACAGAATATTCTGAGGACAGGTGTATAACAGACAGAATATTCTGAGGACAGGTGTATAACAGACAGAATATTCTGGGGACAGGTGTATAACAGACAGAATATTCTGAGGACAGGTGTATAACAGACAGAATATTCTGGGGACAGGTGTATAACAGACAGAATATTCTGAGGACAGGTGTATAACAGACAGAATATTCTGAGGACAGGTGTATAACAGACAGAATATTCTGAGGACAGCTGTATAACAGACAGAATATTCTGAGGACAGGTGTATAACAGACAGAATATTCTGAGGACAGGTGTATAACAGGACAGAATATTCAGGGGACAGGTGTATAATAGAGGACAGGTGTATAACAGACAGAATATTCTGAGGACAGGTGTATAACAGACAGAATATTCTGAGGACAGGTGTATAACAGGACAGAATATTCTGAGGACAGGTGTATAACAGACAGAATATTCTGAGAACAGGTATATAACAGACAGAATATTCTGAGGACAGGTGTATAACAGACAGAATAGAATATAACAGACAGAATATTCTGAGGACAGGTGTATAACAGACAGAATATTCTGAGGACAGGTGTATAACAGGACAGAATATTCTGGGGACAGGTGTATAACAGACAGAATATTCTGAGGACAGGTGTATAATAGAGGACAGGTGTATAACAGGACAGAATATTCTGGGAACAGGTGTATAACAGACAGAATATTCTGGGGACAGGTGTATAACAGGACAGAATATTCTGGGGACAGGTGTATAACAGACAGAATATTCTGGGAACAGGTGTATAACAGACAGAATATTCTGAGAACAGGTATATAACAGACAGAATATTCTGAGGACAGGTGTATAACAGGACAGAATATTCTGAGGACAGGTGTATAACAGACAGAATATTCTGAGGACAGGTGTATAACAGACAGAATATTCAAGGGACATGTGTATAACAGACAGAATATTCTGGGGACAGGTGTATAACAGGACAGAATATTCAAGGGACAGGTGTATAACAGGACAGAATATTCTGTGGACAGGTGTATAATAGAGGACAGGTGTACAGACATATTCTGAGGACAGGTGTATAACAGACAGAATATTCTGTATAACAGGTGAATATTCAGAGGTGTATAACAGGTATATGTATACAGACAGAATATTCTGAGGACAGGTGTATAACAGGACAGAATATTCTGGGGACAGGTGTATAACGGGCCAGAATATAACAGGGGACAGAATATTCAGGGGACAGGTGTATAACAGACAGAATATTCTGAGGACAGGTGTATAACAGACAGAATATTCTGAGGACAGGTGTATAACAGGACAGAATATTCTGAGGACAGGTGTATAACAGGACAGAATATTCAGGGGACAGGTGTATAATAGAGGACAGGTGTATAACAGACAGAATATTCAGGGGACAGGTGTATAACAGACAGAATATTCTGAGGACAGGTGTATAACAGACAGGATATTCTGGGGACATGTGTATAACAGACAGAATATTCTGAGGACAGGTGTATAACAGATGACAGGTGCATAACAGACAGAATATTCTGAGGACAGGTGTATAACAGGACAGAATATTCTGGGGACAGGTGTATAACGGGACAGAATATTCTGGGGACAGGTGTATCACAGACAGAATATTCTGAGGACAGGTGTATAACAGACAGAATATTCTGAGGACAGGTGTATAACAGACAGAATATTCAGGGGACAGGTGTATAACAGACAGAATATTCTGGGGACAGGTGTATAACAGGACAGAATATTCAGGGGATAGAATGGAGGTATATTTAATGTTGATAAAACATGTGAATTAAAAATGATAATGAATTTGAACTTGTTCATACAATGTACTTAATAAAGAAAACAGGCATGTTTGAAGTGTTTCTAAATTGTACAGATGACGATGATGTACTCCTTTTATGTTTGACCTGAGTAAGACTAAGTTCAATAACAAAGGAATTCTGACATAATACATTAGATTTTTGTTGTCTCAATAATTTCAACATCTTCTGGTTGCTAAGGTACTTTTCTTGAGTGTAGAACTTCCGCGGGCTTTGATAGATTCACTTTAATTTTGTATGTATTATCACCATAAATCACAGATTTCAAATTCGTGAGTCCTAATTTGGTGAACCCTTTCCCAGATTTTTAGGACTCAAAAAACAAATACCTACATGTAATTCAGTTTGTTTCTTGATCTTGGAAAATCTGACTATTTGTGTGAAAATTGCAAATATCAAACCACATTGATTTCCATTTTTTAAGTCATTAAAAGTATCAAAAGAAAATTTCAATATCCAAACAAAAGTCTTTAAAAAAGTTTAATACTAGAACATAATCAAATAAAGGATTTAAGGTATCTTGGAACATTTTCATTTCTTGGTTACTAGGCAATTTAAAGCTTGTTAGCAAATGAGAACTTAGAATTTTCACATTATTTTCTTTTATCAAAGTATCATACTCTTACCTTTTAAATAAAGACACAAAAAAATATTTTCAAAAAAAAGGCTGCTGTGAAAATAACAGAAAGAATGTCTGTTATTAAGAAAAAAACATGTGTGAAAAAGAAATATTTCCTGCCACATATATTCTGACACCTGTACTGGAAAAAATATTGCAGCAACATAATGATTTTTTGCTTATAATCTATTTTCTAAAATCAAACCTTTCAAAAAATTATCATCAGGAAAAAAGTTTAACACTGGTTTTTTCTTCTTCACAGAGGAGTACATCCCTAAGGGCTTTATGGTTAACTCATATTGCAATTAGAAAAACATGACATCATGATAAATTTCTTTAACATGATAATCACAAATCCAAAATGAACAGCTTACTTTAAGTTTTCAGTTTTTTTTAGCTTACTCTAAGTTTTAAGTTTTTTTTTAGCTTACTCTAAGTTTTAAGTTTTTAGCTTACTCTAAGGTTAAGTTTTTTTTAGCTTATTTGGTGATATTAAAGGAATACTATACTCTATGTATCCTTAGGAATAAAAAAAATAAAAAGACATTAATCCTGACAAAGCTTTTTTTCAGGAAACGTAAGCACAAACATATGTATTATTTGTAGGGCTTTTTGGTGCCATTGATGTCAAGATGTAAACAAGAAATACAAGGATATATTTCTTTTCAATAAACAACAATTAAGAAATCCTTAATTTTAGTTGTAAGATTACAGTAATCATTTTTTTTTTTTTTTTTTTTTTGTTGATTGACTGATTTTCCCTCATGGAAAACCCAGATGTTACAGGTTATTCTATACCACTTGACAACTGCATTCTTGTTTTCACAAGTCAAATATAAATCTATGATGTTGCCATATATCAAGTTCACTACAGTCACTTCTAGTAACTAATGACTGGAAAGTATGGCAGAAAAAAAAACAACCTTTTCATGATGGAGACAGAGGTATCACAATCCCAGTTTTAAACTTTAAAAATGTTTCCCTAAAATTCAAATAAATTTGTCTTCATCACCAAGAGTTACACAAAACAGAATCTATTACACAAAACAGAATCTATTACACAAAACAGTATCTATTACACAAAACAGAATCTATTACACAAAACAGAATCTATTACACAAAACATAATCTATTACACAAAACAGAATCTATTACACAAAACAGAATCTATAAGTCCTTGTAAATGTCAAAAATCTATAAGAATAATAGTACAAGAGTTTCTTTAGCTTTGATATACATACTTCTCCCAGTATCTACAACAGGTCTAGTTCGTGATTTGTGTTGAGCTCGAGCAGCTGGACCGAGTCCGATATTCCTCGGCCCAAATGTTTTGGTATTGCTAAAGTTTAAGTTGAGACTGCGGACTAAATGATCCTGTAAAGCTACTGCTGCTAAAGCTGTTGAATCTCCGCCTCCCTGGAACGAAAACGTGGCAATATTCAGGTCTAATTTTATATGGTACCCCACTTTTATACATATTTTTCATAGTGTTTACAACAACTCCTCTAGATTATTTCATCAGCACATTAAGACCGAAACAGATAAAAAATTCCTCTGCATGGAGATTACTGAGGTAGGATTATATAAACTTTTCAGAACTAAATGTCATTTCATTATTTCTAAGAAAGCATCTCAGTCACCAACTGCATCTTCTCTTGAAGTGAGCAACAGCAGCAAATCTGCACTATGAAGGAGTAATGGAAAACAATTGGTCCCCTGTCAGGATTTCAACAGGAACTTATAATTTTCCAGCCTGACACGCTACTGCTTAACCAAAGGGAATTCTCACTAGCTAGTAACCTGTACACCCAACTTCTACACAAAAATGCATTCACAGCAAAAACAAACTAACATCAATAACAAGCTAATGTAATCGTTTTGGGGAGTCCTCATTGGGACTCACTCATATTGGACGTTTGACAATGTCCTTCCTCTGTACCTCGTGTTTAGAGTGTCTTTTATTTCATATAAAAAATCACTTCACGAATCACTTAATTTTGCTTATCGAATCAAATCTTATTTCATTTATAACCAAAACCATATCTAATTATCTTTTCGGAAGCAGAAAGTCTCAGTTCAGTTTTAAACACGTAGACGTTGCTAACGTTAAACGATGTATTCAGCGTTATGGATTAGGTGGAATTAGGCCAACATTATGTCACCTTTAGTTTGTCATGTCTGTTTCGTGACATGTTTATACCGAGGCTCGAATCAGATTTCTTCTATAACAGCACAGTTTCTGCACAAGTACGCCATCGATTGGAATTGTGTCTCCTGGGTAGCAGTAAACAGTTAATTTGCATTTTTCCTGAAATTATTTGTCATGTTTGAGATATACAGGTATAGCAGATTGGTTATGAAAAATACATCATTACATGTATATATATTTATAAACTGTATAACAATTACATTAACAGTAGAGAGATGAAATTTGTGTAAAAAAAAAAATTCCTCTGATTTCTGACATTTGATTGTCATGGTTACCTACTGAAAAAATGCTAAAAATGCAAAAATACTGCTAATTCCAATCCAACACTACAACTTTCTAGGAGAAATTTAATTCTAATCACCTATCTTACAATCAACAACACTGTCGTGGTAACAAAGTACTTACATTTCAGCAAATTCCAACTCGGAAATTCTTCATAACATGACCACATGTAAACACTATGAAAATTTCACTTCCTGTAAAGCTAGTTTTTGGTGCGTAGACACAGATTCGAGACTGCCCAAATAGTAATCTCCAACACAAAGCTAAAATATTATCCTGAAAAAAATGAAACCCCACATTGTCCACTTTAACATGACAGGACCAATTTTAGCAAGGATTTTTTTTTCATTTTTAATTAAAACCTTTATAATGGGGTAATCTAATGAGCAAAAAAATCACCCATGGCCACACCGAGAAACTGTGTACTGCTACCCTGGCCGCCATATATAAACATTATAGTCCCGCAGTAAATACTTAAAACGATATACTACTTACCGACAAGTACATTTTCATGTCCGTCCGACACAGCCTAGAAGAGACTTAAAAATTGACGATCTGGGACCGATCCCATCTGCTGTTTGATAATTCTGTAGAGATCTATTGAAAAAGGAACAGTGTCAATATCTCTGTCTTCTGACATGTTAGAAGAAATGCACACGAGAATCTTATAAAAACAAAGTTTGATTCAGAACTGAGTTATTTTAAGAGCAAGACAGTTTTATTAAACATGGGACCGTCAGCTGTTCTTGTTTTACTGTCATTTTCGGTGATAACCCAAACAAGGGTACTTCACACTGTACATGTTTTATCAGTTGTTAAGGCTGGCGAATCGTATGGGACTTTAAAAGCATCATTCTCATCATTATTTCAAGAGATAACTGACATAAATGAAAAGGGTATTATAAAGATATCTGGAGAATATGTCAAAATCGAAGTAATCTGTGGCGGAGACATCAATTTTTTTTTACAAATTCTCTGTGGTATTTTAGGCCCACTCAGCAATTACCCTGTCCTTGGTGCAAATGTTACAAAAATGATCGATACGTCGAAATCGTGGGATTTTTATCGCTCGGACACGGCGAAACGCACTGTTTCCGGGGTTTCTTTTTCTGAAAAGTTCGATGTAAAAACACACCCCTTCTAAAATACGTATAGGAACAAATTGTTCCGGATTAGCTACATTTGATGACGAAGATTGGTGAAATCATTTGACGTAATTTGATAGAGGACGCCTAGGAGGGAGGTGATGAGGCAGAGGTGGCAGGAAAATCTTGTGAGTGAGTAGACACACTTGTACAACAAATCAGAGAGTGTGCTGTATCTTTCCAAGTGTAACGTGCACCGTTATGGTAGCGTGCGTGCACGCCGGACTCTCAATTTATACGGAGCTACCTGCTCCAGGGGCGATCGGGATACCTCGGCTACCTGGCCGAACAGTTGAACAAAATAACACAAACAATATATCAATATACACTACAATAGGAGGGACAGTACCCCTGTCCTCCCTACACCGTCGCCTAGACGTAGATCACACCACAAGGCTACAACACACAACAGCCTGCCAGCACCACGACACTGTCACTACTACAGGCACGTTGCCGTGCTGACCACCGTACAGCTCCGACGCCGCCTGCCAGTGTCCTGCTGTTACAAAGTACTAAGGTAAGGTGTCAGTTTTTGTATCAGCAGCCAGGCGTACCAGAGCAGCCTTTGCAGGCGACTCCTTATCCAGGAGCTTCTGGCGTACCTGACTCGTCAACTTACTGGCACCAACCACACGTACACTGTTACCCGAATAGCCTTATTCAGGCAACCCCTTATGCAGGAGCTTCTGGTAACAGCATGCAGCCAATGTTCACCTTATCGTTTACGCTGTACACTCTGTGTGTCTTCAGAACTTCCAGCCCACAGTACTGGTTTCAATTAGCCTTTACATAAAATTTGGTGTAACATTATGGGTGTCATTATTTTGCAGTTTAACAAAGCACCAAAAGCTATCTCATAATCCAAAATACGTAAGACGTATATATTTATTCACTTATAAAGTATGATTACATATATAGAAAACACCAGTTTCTTTACAAATCACTCAATCATTGTTAATTACATTAATTAGGTATATTACATGAAGGGAGATAACTCAAACTGAATAAAATCATCACATTTCCCCCTCCTTAAGTCAATGCGTCCCGCATGACAAATGCAATACTTATAAACTTATGCAAAACACATGGTAACAACAACAGTCTTTCACATTTAATAAACGTATAGCTTTCAGTAGGTCCAAAGGACACAAACACTTCCGCCCACACTTATTTAACTGTCCAGTTTTGTAGCACCGCAGACACCACAGAAGGTCTCCGTCTCCTGCATTTCCACCAGTTCGATTTCCTTATCTCCCTCGGTGTACCTTGTCGTTTTCCAGACCACATACCTCTGTACAACAGGTTTTGTCTGCGTAGACACACTCGCCACTGCTTTTAACACCTTAGGAACTTGATGGAGATTAGTAGGAGGCCTCTCTACCCTTGGGAGTTTCTGTGGGATACAATTCCTGGGATCCTTGGGACTCAGTTTCTCTGGCGCCCGTTTAAGGGTGAACACTTTATCTGGCCGTGAAGTCTTCCTCACAGTAGTATCGGGAATGGCCTCTACATCAGGTTCCACGCCAGCAGAATCATTATTGTGTTCTCCATTGTCCGACACATCACCTAGGATGCTAGCAAGATCACCAGGGTCATTGTCTTTCCACGACTTTTCATCCTCTCTTTCAGTCGACAGGCTGCCTCCTTCGTGTGAGAGTCCTGGCTGTGCCGTATCTTCTGCACTGTGCCTTCTCCTTGTGTGCCAGAGAAGATTGCTTGCTGAGGTGGTAGCAAAGGAGCATTCTTCACATACGAAGGATTTCTTTTCCATTTTCTTCAAACCACACCTGACAATATGCTCCTTCATCCTTTCAATATCCACACAAGTGAATGTACACATGGGACATCGCTGTTCCTTCCTTGGAGTGGTCTTTGTCTTCACCATCTCAGATTCCTGGGGGATGTTGAGAGTATTGGCAACAGCCACACGATAATACCCTATATTCACCATACTTAGCAACTCAACCTCCTGCTGTCCAATTGTAAGTTTCTGCTGTGTTACATCGACAAAACACTTTTCATCTTTCATAAAATCCAACCCAAGAACTCCATCAACTGATAGCTTGGCTACCGCCAGTCCCTTCATGTACAAGTGGTTATCAAGTAATAATGGTAAAACTGTATGGCCACTTACTGCCAGTGGTTCTCCGTTCGCTGACAAGATGTCGCGGGACACTTTCGTCAAGGGGTGCTGGTACCCATCTCTACTGCATATTGCTTTAAACACATAGTCAGATACGAGCGACACAGTCGCTCCCGTGTCCACTAGAAAGTTTCCTTTTACTCCCTGAATCTCCACATTGACATAGATTCCTGGCTCTCCAGCTTGTCTATTCACGCCAACTTGTTCTTTCTTTGTCGCGGAGTTGGCTTTTCCTTTTTTATTACCTTGCTGGTTATCCTTTCTCTCTTCTGGACAATTCCTCTGAAAATGACCCTTTTCACCACAGTAAAAACATTTACCGCCGGTACCTCTGCTGCGGAATTTAGATGTCGGCCGCCAATTGCGGTGTCTAGACTCCAAGTCCGCTACTTCAGTTTTTAAACCGGCCAGGGATTCTTGTACCTCGGTCATAGCTTCAGTCAAAGCTTTTATTCCCTGGTCAGTCTCTTGGGCATTAGTCTCCTTCTGCGCTATAGGCCTTAAGAACCCTTGCGACTCCCTGTGCTTCTGGTCTGACTTAATGAAGGCCTCTAATTCAACGGCCTGGCGTATAGCTTCATTGAGACTAGCCGGCCTGGCTTGTTTAATCCGCAATCTCATGTCCAAGTCTATCAAAGCGTCAATGAACTGCTCTTTTGTAAGCACCTCTATGACATCGGACGGTGCAGTCGGGTACGCTTGGTTTGCTAACCTCCTTATGCTTTGCCCTAGCTCTGGTAGTCACTCGGTTGCCTTCTGTCGCTTTTCTCTTAACCGAGCACGATAGAGTTCGGTCTGGTTGGGTGGAGCAAACCGTTCACTGAGAACACATACCAGGTCCTTATATTTCTTTAGTGGTCCCCCTGGGAGGTTACCAAGCACTCCTTGTGCCTGGCCCCTGATGGAAAGTGCTAGGTACAAACCCTTCTCATCCTCGGTCCAGTTAGCCAGCGCAGCACATGATTCAAAATGCGCCTTGTAATCCAACCAGGAACCACTGCCGTCGTAGGTTGCAGGCTTGATATTAAATGTTGGTATACGCCTGGTCTTTGTGTCGTCTGTATTCGGGCGCTTGCTGCGAGGTTGGGATGTACTGTCATCATACTGGTACTCCGGTCGAGCCAGTGGATCACTAGATAAAGATTCGTGTCTGTAGTAATCAGACACGGGACCTGGTTGCTCCTGTAACAACCTATCGCCAGTATTATTTCTGTATCTCTCCTTGTCTGGTGTCTGCGGGGTAAACTGTACAAACTTAGTACGTAGGTCAGCATCCTTCGACGTCTGCCCCAAACCAGCACCGGAATCAACATCTGAACTGCGCACAGTCACTATTCCGGAGTCACCTATGTTCTCCAGGTCTAAGGTCACTGTGTTAGTACACCTCGGAGTCGAGTGCCTGGCTGGACCACCTCTTGATCTCTGCCCTACACCATAGGACGCGATACGGGCCTCTAGCTCCTCAATGGTCTTGTTTATATCATCCATTGCAAATTAATACATACAACAAATACAGCTACGTTCAACTATGATCCCACCGCTGCCACCATTAAAATGTAACGGGCACCCTTATGATAGCGTGCGTGCACGCCGGGCTCTCAATTTATACGGAGCTATCTGCTCCAGGGGCGATCGGGATACCTCGGCTACCTGGCCGAACAGTTGAACAAAATAACACAAACAATATATCAATATACACTACAATAGGAGGGACAGTACCCCTGTCCTCCCTACACCGTCGCCTAGACGTAGATCACACCACAAGGCTACAACACACAACAGCCTGCCAGCACCACGACACTGTCACTACTACAGGCACGTTGCCGAGCTGACCACCGTACAGCTCCGACGTCGCCTGCCAGTGTCCTGCTGTTACAAAGTACTAAGGTAAGGTGTCAGTTTTTGTATCAGCAGCCAGGCGTACCAGAGCAGCCTTTGCAGGCGACTCCTTATCCAGGAGCTTCTGGCGTTCCTGACTCGTCAACTTCCTGGCACCAGAGACGTATATAACACAGAGATAGGAAACTCTCTCTATGGCTTACCATAATGCTATAGTACCGGAAGTAGACAATCGACGCCAACTCGTCGCCATATTGTTTTAACGCTTCGAAGTCATCAAAGATACGCTGCTTTTTCAAGACAAATTTTGTGGTGAAAAGGACGAAAATTAAACGTAAGTTGTATTGTTATTATCTGGACTGGTGTTATAAAACGCCTCT